CCCTCCCCTGGCCCCCTGGGCCTCGGACGAGGGCCGCGAGGCAGGGGAACGGGGGGTCCTCGGGCGCAGGTGAAAGGACCAACGCAGCACAGATGTAGCCTGGGATGGGTCAGGGCTCAGGGGGGTGGCCTCTTGGGCCTCGCGGTCGCACCGGCACGGATCCAGGCGTGGACGCATGGTGGCGGGGGTGCAATGCTCCCGAAACTACTTGAGACTAGCTCCGGACAGCCCCCACCCCCATGAAAGCAACAGGCACAAAATGTGCACGGCCCCTCAAATTGAAAGACAGATTCAAAAACAGACCGGAGAGCAGCCTGGACTCCCGGACCTCACAGACTTGCACACTACGACAAAACGACACAGAGATAAACCCAAATCCCAGCGAAGAAACCCTTGACCGATGAACAGTAGACCTAATGGAGAAGTGACAGAAACGAGAACAGACTGCCCAACACACTACTCGAACACCCTAGCTACCTCAGATAGGCAGAAATGACAGCTCCCCTTTCCAGGGATCCGGTACAGGCCCCACGGGGGACAAGCATAGGCAGTGGATGTGGAATAGGAACTTTGACTAATTGGTGTCTACCTAGCCAAAAGTGAATGTTTACATGTTATTAAGATATATGCAAATGTTGAATGTTCACTCTTGTTAAACTGCTGTCACATCCTGTTCCTCGCTGTGGATCATTCTGGCAATGGCTTCTGGTATCCAGTACTGTTTTTGCTGTCCTTGCTTGGTTTTTCTGGTTTTTGGTCTATGTCTGGTTTTCTTTATTGCTGGGTTTCTGAGTTCATTCTTATATTCTGTCCCTGGATTTCCCAGTCTCTTGGATTCACTTAAATGTTTGTTTTCCACTTTCCTTTTGTTTCAGCTTGGACCTGCAGCAGTGTTTCATGTCTCTGCCCTTTCTTGCAGGTAAGTGCTATTGTGGTTTAGTGTGGCTGTTTTAGCATACATTAGGCAGTGTAGGACCTGCCAGATATGGGGTACATTGGCATTGTTGGCAGGCTTGTGCAATGTATGATCATATAATGTGACTAAATCCCCATACTTTTCATAATTAGTGCTTAGCTATGTTTCCTCTTGTTTTACCTTGTATATCTTGTCCTGTTTTATTTTGTCTTTTAATCCCAGTCCATGTACAGTCCTGTTCAGTCATGCCCATGTTATGTTCTTGTTTTCCTCATGTCTTGTGTACATGTTCTAGGCAGTGGCGTACATACCAGGGTCGCAGGGGTCGCGGCTGCGACCGGGCCCGGCCCACCAGGGGGCCCGGCCGCCCCTGCGACCCGGTATGTACACACAGGGCCAGCCTCTTCCCCTGGGGGGCCCAGGAGCCGGCCACCCCAGGGCTCCCCGAGGCTGGCCCTGCTGACACCGGGCGGGTGGCCACCTTATTCCAATTAGCACCCCCCCTTATTAGTATTTAGGCCCACCGCTCAGGGGTGTGGGCCAGACAATAGGTCCCCCCATCATATTACTTTAGGGCCCCAACCCGCCGCTCAGGGGTTGGGGCGGTGGGGCAATAGGTCACCCCTTTAGTTTAAAAGCCCCCACGCGTACGTCGCGGGTGGGGGCTTGGGAGGGGAGACCCTATTTTTATTTTTATTTTTTAATTTTACTTAGTAGTAGTAAATTTGGCTGAAAGACCAATTTAGGTCTTTCAGCCTTTTGGTAGATAACTCCCTAATACCGTGGGAATTAGGGAGTTATCTATTAAGTGGCTGCAATAGAAGTGCTGAAGTTGCCGAAGTTGCAGAAGTTCGGAAGTTGCCGAAATTCCGAAGTGTTGAATTGCCGAAGTCCCGAATTTTGAAAATCCCGAATTTCGGAATGCCGAACCGAACCGAAAATTTTCCCCATGCACATGCCTAACAGCCAGAGCCCTAATGTGGCTCAAGCAGAAGTACTATGAAAAATGCAATAAAGCAGACTCAATGTTCGCACCGAAACTGAAACACCACACCCAATCGAAACATATTTTGCAGGTCCGCACACCAACTGGACAAACAAGTGACATTCCAGAACAGATAGGTAAAATTTTTCAGACCTATTACACTGACCTTTACAACCACGACACTACACAACAATCAAACACACAACACTACGACTTCCCACATTAAACCCAGAAACTAGCCAGATATTAGTGGAAGGTAATGGTCGAAGAAATGACCATAGCATTAAAATCATTTAAACCTAACAAAAGCCCGGGCCCGGACAGCTTTGGAGCTCTATACTATAAAGTACACAGCTCACACCTACTCAAACACCTGTGCGCAGTTTTCAACGCCATGCTCAGAGGGGACAAGCTACCTATGGACATGGTAATGGCAAATATATGCACACACCTACAGTCCAAGTTCCCCTTACGTAAATGCAAGGCGACCATAGCCTACCTAGGCATCAGACTCATGCCAGAAGTCACATCACTATATCAAGAAAACTACACTCCGATGCTAAGAAAAGCGCATGCCGATCTCAAAACATGGGAATCCTATGGGATCTCCTGGATGGGTCGTGTCGCCTCCATTAAAATGAATCTTCTACCCCGATTCTTGTATATTTTTCAGACCCTCCCTATACCATTTCGCAAACCAAACCTCACCTCATTACAATCGTCCATAAACAAATTTATATGGAATGGAAACAAACCTCGAATACGTCGAGAAACCCTATATATCCCTAGAAAAGTAGGAGACCTGGGCCTGCCCAACCTTCAACACTATCTCTATGCAACTCACCTTGCCCAGATCCAAATGTGGTACTTGCCGCGTTCAAAGAAAAGATGGGTGGACATAGAGCACTCCATATTTGGGTGGGATCACCCCTCCCTATATATGTGGCTACCAAGACAGGCACGCCCACTACACCCACCCCCAACAGCACCCACAATACATGCTCCTTAGACATGTGGGACAAGCTACACACAAAATTCTACCTATCCTCATACCTATCACCCATGACCCCCATCCTCCGAAATAGACTCTTCCCACCAGGAATGGAGGCCAAACACTACACCCAATTCGAGAAACGGGACATAACGAGAATAGGAAACCTCTTCCTGAATGACCAATTCATTGACTTTCATGACATCCCAGACACCACAGCCCTCTCAACATTGAATTACTTCAGATACATACAGCTCCGAAGCTTCGCCACAACTCCCGGCATACAACAGGCTGGCAAAGCACAATTAACCAGCTTTGAGAGAGACTGTGTCAGGTCACCCGCCAGAAACAATGGGGAGAAGAAGGGATGTTTTATCACTACTGGTGGACATGCCCTAAACTAAAACCCACCTGGCAAGCCATCACCTCACTTCTCACTAGAATCCTATCCAAACCTTGCCCGCTCGACCCCTGGGCCCTCCTGTTATCCAAACGAAAACAAACTGATAGCCAGAGTAGCCCTCGCTACCCGCAGAGCAATGGGGGAGATGTGGGCCACTGCATGGATACCTACGCAGAATACAATTGCCCAAAAAATACAGGAGAGCATAGAAATGGACAGATTAACAGCGCAAATACATGAAACACCTAAAACCTTCCACAAAATATGGGACCCATGGCTGGAAGGAGACACGACTCAACCATGGTAACCAACCAAATCACACCCAACTCTAACAGTCATGTTAGAGACCCGGACATTTAAAAGAAGAGAAGAAATTTGCCCCCTTTATCTATATCTACCCTTCCCTCCTACCCTCTGGCCCTCACCTACTGGGAACACAACCCATCCAACTACCCACCCCAAACCACACTAATGGGCCGCAGAGCATGTAACCATATATGTACACTGTAATATACGAAGAAATCACCTAACGCTTCCGCTTTGTTCTGTATAAATGAAACTGAAAAAAGATACAAATAAAGATTTTTTTTAAAAAGTCGTATTTTAGTAATCTGAACTCTTTTTTTACTTTTAGTCTAGTTTTAGTCGACTAAATCTTAAAGATTTTAGAAGATTATAATCTGACTAAAATTGTTAATCGACAAGATTAACAGAGCCCCACTACAATCAGTATTAGTACGATTAGATCCAAAAACGTCAGGTTCCCCTTCTTGCCACTCATTTGGCCACTCCTGCACTCCATCAGTGCCATCTAAAAAATGTGCCAAAACCTGTACTACCAGATGAGTCCGTAAACACATTGAGAGCCATGCGTGAGACGGTGCCAGATGTCCATATATACAGCCCATTAAAATCCATAAGCAACTTTGCCCACAATGATACGTTAGCACTGACTCCCTTCCAGATATTGACAAGTGTCCTGGGACAACATAGCAGTGATTGAGTCATCTATTCAGTTATTAAAAAATATGCCCATGAGTATTACTACATTGGTATAAATTAACAATCCCAACAGTGACTGCACGTATTTCAAAGCTTTATAGACTATCCTCAATATGCCTTGAATAGCTTCTAATACCTTAGCAATCCAGTTGGTGTGCAACCTACATCAAACTCTTGTAAAAATTGCGGGTTTTATCAGCCATCAAATATACTCAAGAATTAGAACCATTTGAATTGTTTATTCTGTCCACTAGGTGTCACTGTTAAATAAAAAAACAACAAAAACATTTTATCTTCAACACAAACACACACTCCAAATCCACTACACAAACACACACACTCTGCATTCACTATACACACAGCATCCACTACACAAACATCCTGCATTCACTATACACACACTACATCCACCACACATTTAAAAACTCTGCATTCACTATACACACTCTGCATTCACTATAAACAGACACTGCGTCTAATACACACACTGCATCCACTAAACACACTGCATCTAATACACACAAATACTACTCAAACACAAACTACATCCACCATACACACATTCTGTATTCCCTGTACACACATTGCATCCACTATACAAACACACACTACATCCTCTACACAGACACACACTATGCGTTCACTATACACACTGCATTCACTATACACACACTACATCCACCACACATTTAAAAACTCTGCATTCGGTCATTTGGAGCTTGCTCGTCGAAGGATAAGCATTTTATTGTCCCTAGAAAAACAAAAATGAGTAGGTGTCGTGTATTAATTGGTCGTCTAAACCCTGCTGCCTGGGAGAAAGATGTTGAGAGATTTTTTAAAGGCTATGGTCGCATCAGAGATATTGACTTAAAAAGGAGATTTGGGTTTGTGGAGTTTGAAGACCCAAGGGATGCAGATGATGCTGTTTATGAGCTTGATGGAAAGGAACTCTGCAGTGAAAGAGTTACGATTGAACATGCAAGGCTTCGCTCAAGAGGAGGTGGTGGTGGACGAGGACTTGGCAGAGGAAGGTACCCTGATAGATTCAGCAGCCATCGCCCACGTAATGATAGAAGTGCACCGCCCATCAGGACTGAGAATCGTCTAATTGTAGAAAACGTATCTTCTAGAGTCAGCTGGCAGGATTTGAAAGACTTCATGAGACAAGCTGGAGAAGTTACATTTGCTGATGCACACAGACCAAAGCTGAATGAAGGGGTTGTTGAATTTGCATCATACAGTGACTTGAAAAACGCCATTGAGAATCTTTCTGGGAAAGAAATCAATGGCAGAAAAATAAAGTTGATTGAAGGCAACAAAAGACACAGTAGGTCAAGAAGTCGGTCCCGATCTCGTAGCCGAAGCTCCTCCCGCTCCCGCAGCCGTTCCCGCTCAAGAAGCAGAAAGTCTTACAGCCGTTCTCGTAGCCGCGGTCGCAGTTCTCGTAGCAACCGTAGCAAATCACGTTCTGCTAGCAGGTCTCCTGTAACAGAGAAGAACCAGAAGGCTGGATCTTCGAGTCCATCTAAATCACCTGCCTCTGTTGACCGACCGAGATCTCAATCAAGGTCACGGTCTGTTGACAGCAGAAACTGAACTATTCACATCTCATTTAAAAAAAAAAAAAACTGTTTGTTTTTCACAAAGTAAAATCTAGATGCTTACTTATGTGGTAAGTATTTGTGGGGCTACTTAGAAGAGCAGGAGATCTCAATTTTATTTTATTTTTTGTATATAATTGGACCACCAATGGACAAGAATCTTAAGCTTGTGTGACAAACTGCTTTTGTCCAATGTGTATAGTTCGTGTAAAAACATTTTTATTTGAATTTTTTTCCCCATCCCTCTTCTCCTTTGTTTGAAGTATAGACCCCTGATATTTTGTATATAGGCGTACTAGAGGTGCTGGGTGTCAAACTAAAATTGCTGTACATAATGCAAGATTTTTTTAATTTTTTTTTTGTCTAAATCAACTTTTTAGTTTTTGCTGCATACATTGTTTAATTTTGGGAATTAAATGCTAATTGCTTTAAATAAACTTTATTAATAAAAAAAACAAAAAAAACTCTGCATTCACTATACACACTCTGCATTCACTATACACAGACACTGCGTCTAATACACACACTACATCCACTACATAAACACACACTGCATCCACTAAACACACTGCATCTAATACACACAAATACTATACAAACTACATCCACCACACAAACACTCTGTATTCACTGTACACACATTGCATCCACTACACAAACACACACTATGCGTTCACTATACACACTGCATCCCCTACACAAACACACACTCTGCATCCACTGCACACACTGTATCTAATACACAGAAACACTACATAGATAACAAATGTACTCTGCGTCCATTACACACATTCTAATTCTACATCCACTGTACACACACCAAATTTAGTCCTGCATCATTGTTGGCATACTCAGGAAAAGCCCTGTGGGTAGACTGGTCGACAGGGGCCCAGACCTTGAGCTTGGTCAGGGGGCCCAAAATTTCTGATGGCAGCCCTGTGCCAATGCATGCCTCTTTATAAGAATAAATAGATAAATTGCAGGATGCACACACTAATTATTTGTGCTGTGCACACCTAGTGTTTTGCGTTGGTCTCTGTGTAGGTTAGCTGTATGTGTAGGAGGTAGTGTGTGGAGGCTGTGTACATAAACAAATTCCAGGATGCACTCCCTCATAAGATTTATTGTGCACACCTATGGCAGTGAGCAGGTCTGTTAGGGGCTAACTGTGTGTTCAATGCGGAGGAGGGCTCTTTGTGTAGTGTGTGAAAGTTGTATGTGTAGTTTTTGGTGGGCTGTGCTTTTTCAGCCTCCCCACATGCTTCATTGTTAATAAAAATACTTCTGCACAGGGAGGAAGATATCATCCATGGTGGTCTCAGGGCCGGCCCGTCAGTAGGTCCCAGTAGGGCCATTGGTCAAGACGGGACTTTGACATGGGTGGCCCTGATTGGTCTGGTAAAGGTAACATCCCTTTTGGTCCAGACTGAAGCTCCCATGGGTGCAAATCACTGTAAATATTCCTCCTGGTCCGGTGCTTCTCAATATCTTAGCATGCTGGAAGGGTAACCCAGTAAAAGCGCCCTGAATAATTTAGAATCAGACACAGTATGGAGATATTTCATCTCCTTAATAACTTATGCAGCAGCATTGCACCCTATAAATGCTGCCATTCCTAGCAAATGCCTAATTCACCTATTAGACGTCATCTCAATATCAGGATTATTATACTGAATGGTTTATTGTGAACAGTTGCCTAATGCATAATTACCATGGAGACCTAATTTTCTGTCCTGAGTCAGGGGGTTAAACAACCATTGATATAAAACATATACATATCATTTTTCTGCATCTTTAATTTTTTTGGACATTTTTGTGACAAATACCTGTCAGTTCCTTCAGTGCTTCTTTACAGAAGACATCAAACTTGTCAAATTATTGCAAAATTCATTTCAGCCAGGAATATAACACAGACAGTTCTCATTGGAAGTGCTTACACAGCCTCTCAAAGTCAGCAAAATATTTAGAAACAGGATGATCATCATAATTAAAAAAAAAAAAAATGTCCTAAATCCCATATTAACGGTAGATTATGATGTAGCTAAATATATGCACTAGGGCAGGCATAGGCAACCTTCGGCACTCCTGATGTTTTGGACTACACCTCCCATGATGCTTTGCCAGCATTATTGGTGTAAGAGCATTATGGGGGATGTAGTCCACAACATCTGGAGTACCGAAGGTTGCCTATCCCTACCCTAGGGAATGTCGAATGATACTTCAACACACGCATGTTACTGTAGGACAATATCAAGTGTAAGGGTAAAATGTAAACAAGGCCGGAACATTTTTTACTCTTACTGCATTTTTTTGGGTGAAGACGTTTTAATATTAGCAAGAAAAGCATTCCCAGCAATTTTTTTGTTCTCGGCTTACAAATTACAGTGTCAGATTTAGACTACAGATGACTGTCCCCATTTCACACTGGCAGGGCTATTTTACAAAGTCAGCATTCAAAGTGAATTGGAGATATAAGCCCAACATAGCCAAACTGAAAGCAATCTCTGTCAGCTATGCTAACAGTTCAACATTAACCTAAATTCGAAAGACGCGCTTGCATTCTGGTGCCCCAAGACAGTTCCCTGATGTGTCTAAATGCAGTGGGACAGGACCACAAAATCGGGATTGGCTTGACGAAATCAGGACTGTTTGGGGTTCTGGAATATTTAAGAGCTTTATTCACTAAGTAGTGCAGTTGAAGGGGCACTTCATGCATCCTATAAAACTTTTTTTTTCTTCCTAGTTTGATGCAAAATTGGAAGTGCTTCAAACTGGCGGGGTTGCCTTCTTTTGGATCAACAGCAAAAACAAATGTGAGGACGGCTAAACTTGATGAACTTGATTCAGCTATGTAACTATGTAACTTTCCACCAGTGTTCTCAGCCTATCATTGCTGTCCGGGTCGTGTGGAAATCAGTCTGTTCGGTGGAAGTCTTATCTCTGCATTATCAGTGCAGGATGTGGGCGACATGGACTAGAGATAGTTTGACAGGAAATGGTGCTGTCTCCAAAATGATTTGACAAAAAGTTGGGGGACAGCACACGTAAACCTGTAGCAGTATAACTGTGTAGTGGGGATAATGCACAGAATGTACCTTTAACAACAAATAAATAAAATATTTTCAAACTTGATTATTTTGTCCTAAACACTTGCATTTTTTTTTTTGCTACAATCAATCGTACTGAGTTAATCTTGTAGTATTGCAACCTCTAAGTCTGTCACCACATCAAGATTTTACAGTCATCATATGCTAGAAACATTATTATAAAACCACATTATTAAAACACATTTAAGTGACTGGTGCATACAGGGGATAGGGGAATTTGTTCATCCCCTTTTTTATTATTATTTAATTGTTGAGTAATTCTATACAGTATTCATATAAATAAAAATAAGACATACAGACCTAAACACCCATCTAATGTACACATGGGAAAAAATATCTATATTGTGCTTTGTTTATATGTAGAATGTTGTTTATACATAGGAATTTTACATCAAACTTCTTCCATTCAGCATTAATATATTTAGTAGCTGTAGGTTATTATACATGTCTTTAAGGTACATATAACAATTCTCACATATAAAGAAGTATATATACTGTATATACAGTTACACAAATGCATAAAAACTATTTTGTCCAAAGTATGAAATAATTTACAAAATGCGCGATTGTCTTCAGATTTGTTACAATAACTAGGGCATGTTAGTTAATATTTACATTTTTATTAACCTGTCTAATGTCTAAAGCATAGTATTGCAATGTGCATAGCTGTCAGTGTCATTGTCATTATATAGTCTGGATAAGAATTTGAAAATGTTTTATATGGTTTAATTTTGCATAAATAGATAACGCTGGTGACTAAAATTCTACAAATCAGCTATTTTCAGTTAAGATTTTCTATTTCAGTCACTTCCCAGTTTAGTCAGTTACCCTTCCAGAATAAAGCAATTTTTGTACAAATTTCAGGGGAACGATCTACAGGAACATACAATTGTGACTACATTGGTTTAATGACCACACCATGTCTCAATGTCTTGAAATTGCTCTATGCACATACATTCCTTTGCTCTTCTTCAACTGTTTTTTAGTAGTAGCATGTTATCATGGATCACATATGGAAACATAAATAACGTAATCACAGATCTTTGCAAATACGCACAATGGTAAAATGTTTTCATACATTTTGGATAGTAGATCAACTTTCTAGACCTGTAGGCACTATTCTCAATGACAAATTTACATTTGCTGTACTTTAGTAGCAACTGATTCAAACTTCGTAACGATAGCTTGGGATACTGAACACGTTTAGTGAAGGTTTAGGGTCTAGGGGAAAAAAAATTGTAATGGCTGTAGAATAGAATTATGAGTATCAACCTAGTCCTATAGCAAGTCTTATTTTATTGTGCTGTTTAGTCTGTTTTTCTAGCCTCTAGGGCTAGTCCCATTTATTGAATCAAAAATGTTTCTTTATCATATTTTTTTTTACTATGCATGTTTGTTTTTACTGACCATCAAGCATTTAAACATTTAGAAGTGACTTGATTTAAAATAGGCCATCTGATAAAAGTTGGACCATTGAGAACAAGACAGGAGATGGTTTAAGTCAGTCAAATAATTAGGTCTTTATAAAGGTATGAGAAGATGAATACATTATTGCCAAGTTTAGTCTAATATCTGAATGCACTCTGGGTTAGCAACATTTGATGAAAATCACAGATTTGACCTGGAGTGGCAATTCAGATGTATTTCCTAATGGCAAAGCCAGGGGGAAACTTATTATTGTCACGGAATGTACACATATCATTTAGACTAATGCAAAGTCTAGTTTATCATCAGTAATACATCTATACAATGTATGGCATGTTCATATTTATTAAACCAAATCTATTATATTTATCAATTTCACTTTGATCGGTTCTTGTAGGAGGCATATTCCAAATACATTTACCTGCTTTTCTCTTTCTGCAAAAGTAAAGAAACTTGCAATATGGTTTATTTTTCACCCCCCACACCACGTAAGGCAGCACAGTTTTCTTAAGTGAATCAGGGCTCTTAACCCTCTGTGTGTTTTGCGCTTTTTCTGTCTCTTACTCTTGCGTCATTGTATCACAAAGAATTCATCGCTAAATTTTCATTTAATACCAAGTGGCTGTTTTTCACAGCTGAATAAAACTTCTATCATGATGTCATCAAAATACAGTTTCATGCACAGGATTCATTGTCTTTCTTTATTAAAATTATTGTGCTTTCATTCACCACAACGCAAGTATATTTCAAGGTGCTCTGTAACATATTAGCAAATAACAATGCATACGTTTAAACATCTCCTTTAAGATGTTTCTGTTGTAGAGTGCTTTGAATAAAAAGAAAAGCCAAGAGAGTAATATGAAGCTATGGAAAAGCCCTTATATATAACATCTGCCACATGGTCCTCAATTTACATAGCAATATATGGGAATTAGAAAAACTGTATCCATAGACTCCATGTTTGCCGCAAAACTCACAGATGAATAACTCAACTCCAGGCTGTAGAGTGGTAAGAGGTGTGTAGGTCTTTTATTCTATTGGTGGTCCCACCAAGATACTCATAGCTGTTCCCATTAGCCCGGATCAAAATGTGTCTTGAAATAGCCATTAGGATATTTACTGCACTTTGTATATTATTATTATTATTTTGTACTGCGGATTAGTCACAAATAAATATTTAGACTATATCTATCTTCCTGCCCTGTACATTACAGAATAACTGGTAAACGATGGCAATGGGAAAATCTGGTTTTCTTTTTGTTTTTTAAGTACAAAGTCCCATTACATTGAAATAAAATCAGTTTTATTCAAGGAGGGCAGTTCATGTTTGCACATATTCCCTGGCTGTAACTATACTATTTCTTACTACAGTGGAGGACTTGTTTAGCTTCTCATACAGAACATCACAATGGTTGCTCCGGTGTATCAGGAATATTGTTGGTGTTTCTTGAGTCTCACTGCTTCACAGGACATAAGCAAAGCATTGTAATTCTTGGGATACTGTTACACTTGTGTAGAGTTAATGATGATTAATGCAGAGATAGTCTGTGTAGAGATAAGTGACTTTCCTGAAACACTTATCTTTGAAGTACGATAACTATAATATGTTGATCTCTCTAGCAAAATACAGACCAGTATATCAAGTTGAAGAAAATAAATGAAGCAGGAAATATCATCCTAGAATATGTGTCAATGGCATGAGTGTTTTGCATGATACGTAAGCCAACGTGACCCTTAACCTTCTTCCTGGCTGCACTGGAACTGGGGCTCATGGCCATGTGAACCACCATCTTGTCCTGTTTCTCCACATCTTCTGCAACAATATGGCTTTTTGTATATCCTGCCAGGCTATTTGTTTCAGGATCTCCATACATTCCGTCCAGCATCATAGTTTTTGTGTGAGACAATCCGCACGTACAAGGAAACTGAAAAACATGTGGCAAGTGACAGTTAATCATTTAAAATTTGATATTTTAAAAACTGGACCTAACTGGTGGCCTCTAAAGCCTAACTACAGTCAAGTCAGGTTGTGAAATGAAATAGTTACAAAATGCAAGCTTAGGCAGGCTTCATATTTTATATCCACATTCCTTTAAAACATTACAGATCTGTTTAAAATAATGTTCTACTTTTTGCAGGTTGTATTAAGTGTATTTTCATTCTGTAGTGATGTAGACATCATGCCTTGAAATCTGGGGAATTTGATTGATATAATAAATATCTGAGGGTACAACGGAATGCTAAGATGTGTACAATATAAGAAAAAATAATTATAAAATTTAACTACACATGATGTGTTAACTGGGTGAATTTCTTAACTATGGAATGCAGATTAGATGTTGAGTAACCCCTTATGATTTAACAAACAGTATAGTGTATTAATAAAATATGACTGAAAAACATTTCTGATTTTGTAGGTAATTAAAATAATAGTACAAAATAACCATATAAAGTGAGCTGTGCTTTTAAATTAATTAGAAATATATGTGATTTTGTAAAAAAAAATAAAAAAATGACAAAACCAATAGGTCATTCTTCAAATACACACATGTGCTGAATGAAGTACTTTGTGTTAAAGTGATCACCACAAATTCTTGTGATTAAAGAAATATGATAGGTTTCTTTAATCAATCATATTTCTTTAATCACAAGAATCACATTAGCACAAAACACTTTATTAAAGGACCACTATAGGCACCCAGACCACTTCTGCCCAATGAAGTGGTCTGGGTGCCAGGACCCCTAGTTTTAACCCTGCAGCTGAAAACATAGCATTGCAGGATTAATCCAGCCTCTAGTGGCTTTCTCCCTGACAGCTACTAGAGGAGCTTCCGCGATTTACACTGAGTAAATCGCACCTATTTGACGCTGGATGTCCTCACGGAGTCCAGCGTCAAATAAGATCCCCATGGGAAAGATTTGAGTAATGCTTTCCTATGGCTGGTTTGAATGCGTGCACGCCGCTGGCCACGCATGCACTTTTTAGCTCCACTTGGGAGCGGACATTGGCGGGGGAGAAGAGGTCACCAGCGCCGAGGGAAGGGGGCACTCCAAGAGCCTATAGTGCCAGGAAAACAGGTTGGTTCTCCTGGCACGATAGGATCCCTCTAAGCACATGTGTGTATTTGAAAAATTACCTTTGTATTTTTTTTTTTTTTATATAACTTCTGCTTTTTAAACAAAATCACATATATTTTCAATCGTTTAAAAGCACAGCACACCTTATACGGTTATTTTGTATTATACATTTTTGTGTTCTGGGTTATTGCACCAATTATGTTGATGCTATTTAAAATAATTCACTTGCTATTGTTTTGATTACAATTAAAAAAATAATGAACACACATAATAATGCAAAGTAGCCTCAACTTGGGGTCGTAGAAGTTTAATATTATGTTTTATTATTCTGACTAAGTGTGTGTTTTTTTTTTTGTTTTGTTTTTTTTGAGCAGAAGAACTGCATAACCATTGTAAGTGTAGAATTTTAAATCTGCTTTATATTCCTTCTCACTAAATACTGTTTGGCTGATTCCCAGGCATACAGTGTAAGGTGCAGGCTGGAATTTTGCTGTAAGCATTTCTATATTTCAGTAGATGTGGTATGACTTAACAGGGATCTGAAGAAGAAATGTTAACCTCATACAAACTAGGTGTTGGCAGTTGGAGTGGCAGCAGTGGTGGCAAATGAACTGCCATATACACTATATGGACAAAAGTATTAGGAACACCTGACCAATACACTAACAATGACTTTTATGACATTGCATTCTAAATACATAGATATTAATTTGTATTTTGGTTCCTCAAACTCTAGAATTCCTTTAAATATCAAGACAAAGAAACCAATTAGAAGGAGAGGTTAACACAACATACAGAACTCGGTGAGTAGTAAACATCAGATTTGAGCAACAATTTGTTCCATATGCTTCGTTCATATACACCTGAACTAGTCGATCAATCTAGGAATTATCTGTGAAGAAGTCTTCAATGGACTATACTCCACAGGCAAATCCTGGGTGAATTGATTCACTCCACCTCAAACTAATTTTTGCGCACGTCTAGTAAACATTAAACAATGATAAAAGGTTTGTCATACTGAGATCGAAAGAAAGCATATTTTAGAGTAGCCCTGTTAGAGCTAGGGGAATCTATACATTAGCACTGTTGATGATCAATAAGTTTACATCCAGGGCTGGATTAACATAGGGGCTGATGGAGCTGCAGCTCCAGGCCAATGCCCATGGAATAGGCTCATTGAATGAAAAAAAAAACAACAACATTTTTACGCACTACTCTGAGGGTTACACCTGGCCGGTATTTTACCTGCTGCCTGGTCAGTACCTGTATTGCAGTTTTACTGGCAATACAAATGCCAGTATTTTTCTCAGTATTACTCTGCAATATCAGCACCAGCATAGGAAGTTACAGCATATTCCCGCCTCTCTCTACTCACTGATCTGCGGGGGAGTAGGTAGACATCACAATGAGCCCAGACAGCAGCTCCCAGCCTGCAGAAACAGCCTTCTGCTCAGGTAAGTGAGGGATGGGGGGAAGGCTGCAAGGAAACATGGGGACACTGGGAGACACTAGGGGACACTGGGAGACATGGGGACACTGGAGACCTGGGAAACCTCGGGACAATGAGACACTAGGGGACACTGGGAGACTTGGGGGAAAATGATACACTGGGAGACACGGGAACCCAGACACTTGGGGACACTGAGACAATAGGGTATGCTGGGAGACACTGAGACATTGGGACACTGGGAGACTTAGGGACACTGAGATCCCCCATGTCTCCCAGTGTTCCCAAGTGTCTTAGTGTCCCCATGTCTCCCAGTGCCCCCATGTCTGTGTCCCCATGTCTCACAATGTCTCCTAGTGTCCTAGTGACATGGGGACACTGGGAGACATGGGGACACAAACACTAGGGGACACTGGGTGACATGGAGACACGAGAGGACACTAAGACATGGGGCACTGAGACACTGATACATAGGGGACACTGAGACCTGGGGACACTGGGCGACAGACATTGGAAGACAGGGAGAAACTGGGAGAAATCCATCGAAACGGCAGAATCAAACTGTAAGTAGTTTTTGAGTGCTTTTACAAAATTTTCTCTTACGTTACGCATACATAATTAATTATGCAAATTATTAAGGCCGGTATTTTTTTCCATGAAAGGTTGCAACCCTAACTACTCTTCACATACTCTTGCATAAGTATGGAAACTTAAAAGGGATGTATGGGAAGAAAACTTGTGTGGACAGGCTGACAATGAAATTAGTTAAGGTAATGCCGACTTTAGTCTCTCTAACACTGTGGCATCTCCTTTCTTCTACACTCACTACATACAACTTTTCTATGTCCCAGACTATATACCAGGAGCTTCTGCCTGCTAGTAAGAAGGAAAGGTGACAAGTGGACATGTGAGTGCTAGGGAACCGTCCTTCGAAAGCATGGAGCGAACACATCATTAGACGTATCTATGCCAAGCACAGGGGTCTGTCTGCATATTATGCCCTTAGTTGGCCAGCCTGCATGATTGACAGGCAGCCTGACATGCATTCATGCCAGGCAGGCCTTCCAATTCTTTGGGCTGCCATGCCCCCTTTTTGGGCATGTTTGTCCCTTTCGACAGTTCTGGTTACATGATTTGTGTCAGTGGCACACCCTTTTAGCCCGCCCATTGACTTCCTGCTTCACTGGACACTGCTATTAGGGGTACGGATTTACTTGAAAGATGAAAGTGAGAGATTAGCATTGGGTATTTGTTTTCTTATAGTTGCATCCTATGAGTTTCCCTCCAGCATCATCTCCATCAGATACATGACGCTTTGGAGGTATGACTGTTTTAGTGTTTTTAGTCGATAAGATTCTGTAATTAGGCCTATTGTAATTGTCCGCTCCAGGCCCATTGGGCTCTTAATCTGGCCCTGATTACATCCCTTACCTTCTCTCTGAGTTTCCTTTCCTTCCTCTCCTGCACCGTGGTCAGATAATTCACAGCCGCATACTCTAGCACCGATAGGAAGACAAACACAAAACTAACCCAGAGGTATATGTCCACAGCTTTGATATATGAAACTCTTGGCATGGAGGCATTTACTCCAGTAATGATGGTGGACATGGTCAGAACTGTAGTTATACCTGGAAAATTGAATTTACATTTGTTTTTTTAGTAAAAAGCACACAACAAAAAATTGTTATAAAGCACGCATCTCTTAACCAAGCATCTCGGCATTCTGTATATCAGGGTCTGTCTCTTACTCTTTCTAAAACAGAGCTCTGTTTCTGTTTGGGTTGGTCTTTTTGCCACAATGTAAAAAAAGAACAAGTAGAGGAAACAAAATATTTGTTGCAGCTCTAGCTGTGAATGTATGTTTCTCATGCAGTGATTGTTTCTGCTGAGCAATAGATACTTTGTGTCCATAATGTCCATGATAATACACTCAACCATTAAAGGAACACTATAGTGTCAGGAATACAAGCAGGTACTCCTAACACAAAAGTATTAAACTAACTATTTAGGTCTGCGGCCCCTCTCAGATCACATAGGAAAAGCATGTCTCCCATGCAGTGCTGGTCTTGTCGTGACTAGCCCTGCCTCCATGGCTGAGATAATCAATCTTGATGATAGCAGCCAATCCAATACTTCCCCACAAAAGCATTGGTAGGCCATTGTGCATGCGCTGCAAAACGTTGCACTGTTCAAATAAAGCATCTGGCTCAATTAATCCCATTGGGATACGTTCAGTGTGTCCATGCAGATCGTGGAGACACCCAACATAGGTGGACTAGACAGCACCTCTAGTGGCAGAAAACACTAGAGGCAGCACTTTTGAAAAGGCAGCATTTACAGTGTTCAGCCTGCAGGGACAGACTATAGGTATCAGAAGCATTAATGGACGTTGTAGTGGTTCTGGTGACTTGATTGGGTGTTGCTTTAAAGTTGCCAACGGACCTTTTTGATAAACAGTCGGTTATTTTTCCAGTCAGTCATCACAATGAGAAAGCGCCTGCCAGTATTTAGAGCCAATCACACAGTAGTGTGATGAGTGGGCATGCCATTCCAATGTATTTGCCTTGTACTCAAGCATCTGCACTAGTCTTATATATTAAATGTAGGAATATGAATGTAGCGTTCTTGTATCTGACACCCCTGGTCTATTTCCAGCCACTATGGGTTTCTCTACAAATTTGTCAAATACTTTGTGAAACAGCAGAATTTTTATTTTATTTTTTTTAAACCTTCTGACATATGCATTATACATTTTTTCGGTCTGAACTACAGTTCAAGCGATCGGTCTGAGTCCCAAACCGAAATGTACCAGAATTAACATTATATAATATAGCATATATTTTGCATTATGATTGGCCCATTTTTTGTACCTTTTGGTCCCCCTGATATATTTTCTGAAATGGGTTTTTAATACCCAAATTCTGCCAAGGCAGATTGACAATTGGGCAAATTTCAGGCCTACAGAAAAATTTACTGTTTTTGAGAATTTTTTTTAACTTTGACTAATTTTCTCACCGTGTACAAGTTTAGTATGCACTCCAGTCTGTATGAGTAAAATTATTGCATAAAAAAAAAAAAAAATGCATTTTAATATCCCTAACCAAATAATGCCCTTCCTGTCATGGCTGTCTAACTAAGCTGTTACCTTTCAGTGACTATGTCTAGCTGGGGGAAAAAGCTTTCTCAAAAATAGAAGCCTGACAGACAGGCCATAACTGTCAGACACAAAGATAATCTTTGTTATTCCTTTGCAGATCAAAAGCAATTTCTCCTCTTGTAATGCATTGTACGATGCATGGTTTACCTACCCAGAGAGACACGAGCAGGAACTGCTCTACGGTCAATCCAGAAGGAGACCCAGGATAGCATGACCATCAGTGTAGCAGGAAAATATGTTTGCAGCAGGAAGAAAAAGATGTGACGCCGTAATGTGAAACTAATGTAGAGTCGATTGTAATATCCTGTTAATTAAAAGAAAGACTATTAACAGTTGGTAAAGGTAAGATTCAGGCTGAAAAACCTGCAAATTCTTTGAATAGGAATGCTTGACTAGGAATGCCCTGTATTCCAAAAACTTTTTTATTAATGAACCAATTTCAATTATATTACATACAATGAATGCTTAACATATGGAGATTTGTTTGACTAGGTACGGAAGATGTGATCTTAACATAGAAACATAGAATGTGACAGCAGATAAGAAGCATTCGGCCCATCTAGTCTGTCCAATTTTCAAAATACTTTCATTAGTCCCTGGCCTTATCTTATAGTTAGGATAGCCATATGCCTATCCCACGCATGCTTAAACTGCCTCACTGTGTAAACCTCTACCACTTCAGCTGGAAGGCTATTTAAAAAAAAATAATTTTAAGTCGGGCTCTTTCAATTGCATTGTTCATAATCCTATAATTTAGTTAATGTTTAAGGCACTATTATTATTATTTATTTCTGCATGGACATTCTTCTTGAGTTACACAAGTGTACCCGGTTTGTTCAAGTAACCCACTCCTTCAGATATCCCCACAGGAAGAAATCGGGAGCTGAATGCTCAGGCGAACGTGGCTCCCAATTAATCAATGAATTTCTGGAAATTATCCACTCGCTGAACAGTTGTCTCAGGAGGTCCATTGTGGCCCTGGTTCTATGGGCAGTGGCCCCACCCTGTTGAAACCATGATTTTAAACTACAGGATGTAAAAAAAATCCAATTATATCCCAATATCTCACACCAATAAAATACCACTATTTTTACTTGTTTTTTTGTGAAATTATTTTTTATCTAATCCTTGCATCCTCAACCTCTTTCCTGGTTTGTACACCAAGCTTATAAACTTCAAGCTAGGTTCTAAAAGGCTCCAAACAAAGTGAACACTGATTTGCATTTTTAATACCAGTGCTACTGTAGAAGGAAAGTCTTGATGTAGTATGGAACTTCTGGATCAAAAACTGAGACAAAGAGATCTTTTCATCTGTTTTTAAGGATTCGTTTCCATTTTTCCAGTAAAGCATTAAGTCTTCATCAGTATAGGCATCTTATAAATAAATAGGAAAAAAGCATACAATGACCACCATAACCACTTATAATTCATTAATAACTATGATAAGCTACAATTAAGTGTGAAAATAAGAAACATAATATGAATACAAGAAAACATTTCCATTCTTTTCGTGACAATAGATCAATTGAATATTTATAGAGCGGTAATTATGTACAATATTTTCTAGAAATCAACTAATTTTAATATATATATGTGTGTATGTATATGTGATTCACCTTTACATTAAACAGTGAGTAAATTAATAGAAGTAAATGATACAAGATATAGTAAATGATAAACAATATGTAATACTAGTTTGTGTTAGTAAAAGATGGACTAAATGAAATGTTATTAAAAACTGGTGACATGGAGATTTTAAAATATTCAACAAAAGTATTACTTACAACTTTCCAGCTCCAATGAACATGTCTGGGTGTCCAAAGGGAAACGACTAAAGTCCATATTGCACATTGCCGTGACAGTAATTCTTGGCAAGATATAAAAAAAATTGATTAATACTTCATTAAACGTAAAATGTTAGCATTTTCCTCATTACATACTTTACTAACAATAGTTTACAGCAACAGGGAGCAGTAACATAATAGGCATAAGAGGACAGTAACTGGATATGCAGAGTAGGACAACATTAAAGCTATAGGTGGCAGTAATAACGGGCAGATTATAATAACATTACAGTTAAGGAACACACCTAGCACTATAAAAACCACAGCTCACTGTAGTGTTTATGGTGCTGCCCCATCGCAAGTAGTCACATTTTTAAACAGTACTTGATACCTGGGGCCACCGGGCATTATTTCTTGCATCCTATTAAGCAGAAGCTTTAATACCATTGAACAAGCCGGCCCTGCATGGCTTAACTCAGGGATAGGCAACCTTCGGCACTCCAGATGTTTTGGACTACATCTCCCATAAAACTCTTATGGCCATAATGCTAGCAAAGCATCAAGGGAGATGTAGTCCACAACATCTGGGGTGCCAAAGGTTGCCTATCCCTAGCTTAACTCAATAGATCTGACTGACATTCCTGCTTGGTGAACTTAATGCACCAAAACAGCTTACAGCGAACTGTAGTAGTTACAGTACATGTCCCATTAATGCCAAATGCAAGAGTTACAAAAGACAATTGACTTCTGTAGCTGGTATATCAATATATCTTCTTATTGGTCATACTTCCAAATATTCTGCCAGCTTGTAGAATGTCAAGCCAATAGTCAAATTCCATTCTTTAAATTCACAGAAGATACTTACAATGACAATTCATAGCTGAGAGGCCACATGTTGGAGAGTTTTTATCCCAAATTGATGTCATTTGTTTACCACTTTAAAACAGAGGAGCCCTGTTCTAGATGTGAGTTCTGGGTCCCTGTGTACTCCACTAATAGGTCTGTTAGGGTGTCACTCCAAGACTACAAGAGGAAGTGATGGACAGCATATCCAAGGCTATATTTGCATTCTAGATCTCTCGATGAGATAGATACAGAAAAGTCTGTCATGGCAGACATATATATGTCTTCACAGGAAATAGTTAAAATCGCACAGAACGCAGTCAGTTACAGTGGGACCTCGGTTTACAAATTTAATGCGTTCTCCGGGACGTTTCGTATTGCGAAATATTCGTAAACCGAAACACGGTTTCCAATAGGAATGCGTTGAAAACCAATTAATGCGTTACGGAGGTGAGAAAAAAGTCAAATAAAGTATTTTGTCTGTTTAAAACTCTTTATAAAGTGCACTTTAAAGGCATAAATACTGTACAGAGACATGATTAATCAAGCAATAACATTTCAAACATCCAACTTTATGTTTTAAAACATCACACATCAACCTTTAAAACATGGCAGACTGTTGGTAACATGGTACAGTACACTTCAACTGTACATAAATCACACGTCAACAGGGAAAACATGGAAAATTTCAAAAAATTTCAACACTTTTTGGAAGATGAGGACGAGGGCAATTGGGCAGCACTAACACAAGCAGGTTCTTCTTCATGTCTAGGCTGTTTTTGTAGGAACCTTTCCATTGTCTGCTGCCTCTGGCGCCTTTTAAGCATCCCTCGGAAAGGGGACATGATGTCTGTGTCAAAACTGCTCACAAGCCTGTGGGCTAGAGCCTTATCTGGGTGGTGCTGCTATACAAAAGTCTGTAGGTTTACCCACATTTGGCATGCCTCCTTGAGTTCCGTGGAAGAGAGCTGTTCCTCACTCATTTCCTCCTCCTCCTCAAATGCGATCTGCTCCTCCATCGCCTCCTTCTGCAATTCCACCAGCTCCTCGGTGGTTAGGTCACGGTCGTGTTCCTCCACCAGCTCGTAGACATCCTCCTTAGTCACCTCCAGGCCCATGGTCCTCCCCAAGGAAACAATTTCCTCCAACACAGTTGACTCTGGTGCAGGTGCAGAAGCACTGGAGGCAGGTTTCACAACACAGTCTGGCCACAGGTTGCGCCAAGCAGAATTTAGGTTTGTCTGGCTGACCCCGGCCCAGGCAATGGTGATAATCTACAGATAGCTCACAATGTCAAAAGGCTCTCTCCAAAATTCATGGAGGGTGAGGCTTGAGCGATCTGTCATCTCAAAGCATCGCCGGAAAAGCTCCCTTGTGTAGAGTTTTTTTAAAATTGGAGATGACCTGCTGGTCCATTGGCTGGAGTAGTGGGTTGGTGTTAGGCGGTGTTATCTTTTCTTTCATTTTTAGGATTGTACCGATTGTGGATGCACTCCTTCCATACTCCACAACCTGCTGCAAATGGCTCCAAAAGGCTCCACAATTTGCTGCAAATGGCTCAAAAACTTGCTGCAAATGGCTCGAAAACTTCTCCAACACCTCCACACTCCACACTCATGTGCTACCCAGACTCCAGTATGCAGGGGGCAGAGCTATAAACCGGGACACTTGTTTTCATATTACAAAAAAAATTCGTAAATCGAGGCATTTTTTTTTTACGAATTCTCATTTGTAAACCGAATTTTTCGTTTACCGAGGCGTTCGTTAACCGAGGTTCCACTGTACTCCGTTTTAAAGGACAGCCTTACTGTAAAGGGGACTAATAGTGACATTATACTGACTGGAGAGCCTAACAAGACATAACAGTTTAAAGAGAAAATAAAAAAACTACTAGGTATTTTAATCAAACTGCTTATGTGCTAATTACATATTTGCTCCATATGTCCGTAATACATAAAATGTCAATGTCATTAAATTAAAAAGTATACTTCTGCACAGCATAGCTTCTTACTATTGTGAAAATGGGCTTTAGAATATTTGAAAAGAATATATAACGAGTGAACACATTCTGACGGCGGGCTACAAAATTAATACAAGTAATGGAACATTTCAGCTATGAAGAAACGTTAACAAACTTAAACCTCCTTAGTTTAGAAAAACATTGCCTGAGAGGGGATATGATAACATTATACAAATATATAAGGGGCCAATACAAACCACTGTGTGGAAATCTATTCACAAACCGGACTTTACATAGAACACAAGGTCATGCGTTTAGACTGGAAGAAAGAAGATTTTGACTAAGGCAAAGGAAAGGTTTTTTTACTGTAAAAACAATTAGGATGTGGAATTCTCTGCCTGAAGAAGTGATTTTAATAGAGTCCATACAGATGTTCAAACAGCAATTAGATGCATACTTGCAAAAACTGTATATTCAAGGATATAATTTTTAAAAGTAGGGTAATAGCTGCTTGATCCAAGGATAAATCTGACTGCCATTCTGGGGTCAAGAAGGAATTTTTTTCCTAGTTTGTTGCAAAATTGGAAGTGCTTCAAACGGTTTTTTTTTTGCCTTCTTTTGGATCAACAGCAAAAACAAATGTAAGGAAGGGTGAACTTGATGGATGCAAGTTTCTTTTTAGCTATGTAACTATGTAACTATGTGATATGTAACTATGACAAGGGATATATACATGCTCTGCTATTTAATTCCCATACTGTAACATCTCTGTATGTTGGGAGTGCAGATGGGAAGAAATTATGCAAAGCTTGGGGATTAATAAGGAAACAAAGACTTGTTGCCAGAGCGAAGGGAAAAGGATAATGACTGTGGAACAAACAACTAATGAAAACCTGGCTATAGAGTTAAGAAAGAAACAAAAGATGAACCAATTATGAACAGACTATGGCCTTAGGAGGAACAAGCCTAAAATTGAATTTTACTTAGAAATGGTGATGGATATAGGAAAAGTGCAAATTTCTCTCATAAGGAAGAGACTGACTTTATATATTTTTTCATGGTATTAAGCGACCAATCCTACCTCATACTGTAAAGAACATGGCCATCCGGGTACACACGCAGCATAATGTTATCTGTTGTGGTGTCATGAATGAAGGATCTTTTGGAGTGAACAAAAAAGACATCAGGAACCCATATTTTCTTTACCAGACGACTATCGAAAGTCATGCTTTTATTGGTGGTGCTAGGAAATGACAATCGTTCATCTTTCCAGTAATGCCGCAAGTACAGTGTCATTGTGAAATCCTAGAGTAATTATAAAATGAAATTATTTCTTCCTTCTTATATTCACTGTAAGCAAGGTATAATGATATATTGTACTGCCCCCCCCACACATATACATTGCCCCATACACACACTGCCCCCACACACACACTGCCCCCATACACACACTGTCCCCACACACACACACACACACACTGCCCCCCACACACACTGCCCCTCCCATACACACTGCCCCATGCCCCTCCATACACACTGCCCCCATACACACATACTGCCCACCATACACACACTGCCCCCACACACACATACACTACACACACTGCCCCACACACACATGCACTACACACACCACTACCCCATACACACACACTGCCCCACAGATACAAACACACTGCCCCACACACACATATATACTGCCCCCCACACACACACATTGCCACACACACAAATAAAGTCCCCATACACACACTGCCCCCCACACACACATACACTGCCCCCCATACACACATTGCCCCCACACACACGCACACTGCCACACACACACACACACACACACACACATTGCCCCCCACACACTACACCCCACACACACACACACACACTGCCCCCCTCACATTACACCACGGCTCCTATGCCCTACTAAAATCTCATATCCCAGCAGATCCCAGGTAAGTTGTCAAACTGTTCTTAAACGGTTTGACTACTTACTCTGGGAAGGGGTCCCGGCACTCCTGGCACCATAACCACTACATAGAGCTGTAGTGGTTATTGTGCATGGATTATTTCTTTAAATAATATAAAAGTGCCCCTCCTGAAATCAGTCTCTGGATCTGCCACTGTGTTTAACCCTGCAACGGAAACATGTTTTACATTTCACAGTTAAAACTAAAGGGTCACTGCACCTAGACAACTTCATTTAGATGAAGTGGTCTGGGTGCCATTACTGGTCCTTTAAATACACAAATATATAAACGTAGATTTATTTATAGTGCCCCTTATTTTTCACACTATTGGTCACTTTTCACTTAATCTGCAAATAGGAATAACATTTAGTGGCCTTAGCCATTAATAATCTTTTTTTTCCCATCAATCATATCTTTGTTTTGGCGTCACTGACAAAATTGTGAATCATAAAAGTGTGAGTCATTTTTTGCTATATATGGCAGTTCGGAAATTGGGTATTTGGATAATCACTGTTCAATCACTGATAATCAATGTACATACATGAAAGGCCAAATTAATCAAATAAAATACTTTTTGTGTAGTCTGAATGGATGCGTAGTGGTAAAAGAACATTAAAAAGTTATTTACTTAAATGAGAAATATTGGGAGTTTCACATTTAAGACCAAAGTATTTGAACTGGAAGCATAGCAGCACCTGGAATGTTTTCCATTTTGACAGTTTTGGCCTGAAAAGTTTAATTCAGTTTTAATTCTCAATGATTCTCACTTAAGTGATTAACCACGTGAGTAGATTGGCTGTATTGCACCGAAAAAAAGATGTTTAAATAAAAAAAAAAGAAAAAAAAAGAAAATGATCCTCTGTCTGTATGCATGTTTTTTTTTGTTTTTTTTTAAGGATAAGGGAATTAACCTCTTCACTCTTGAGCACTTTTTGATTAAAAAAAAATCTCAGTATAACATTTATTTGAAACACGGGATCAATAGCTAGCATTTGTTGTGTATAGATTGCTTTGCAAAAAAAAGTAAATTTACCCAATTTTTATTTTTCACTCATTTGTTTAGCCTTTATAAAATAATTAGGAAATGAAAAATGTTTGACAATATACAGTATCCTTTATCTTGCTATATTTTACACAGGGTCTGAAATGTTAGTAAAAAAGCAATTGTTTTTTTTACATGCATTACATGTGACAGGTTTATATTTAAATATGACTTCAAACCTACCATATCAACTTCTGATATACTATCCAAACTCTCAACTTGCACATCAACTCCAACAGGAATTGCAGGACCTATGGCAAAGAATATTTACATATATTGAAATTATTATTAATTAAATGACTAATCAGTTTGGCATTATATTGCATTGCAATTTATTGAATCAGTACTTTGAACTGTTGCTAATTTTGTACAAAATGATTGTGAATAGTGTTCAATACTATCCTTACCTTTTTGTTTGACATTACCCCACTCCCTCTACCATGTAAGCTCTTTGAGCGGGGCCCTTAACCCCTTCGGTTCCTGTGTGTCCAACTTGTCTGGTTACAACTACATGTCTGTTCGTCCACCCATTGTAAAGCACCATGGAATTTGTTGGCGCTATATAAATAACATAATAATAATCCATTTATTGGATATTTTTAAACCAGTTTGTGATGACACATGGCAACGTGCAAGATTATCTCTAGATGATACCATGGTCTTCCAGAGGCGTGTTTTATACTCTCTCATATGAAGATAAACATATGATTATACCAGTGATGCTTTATTTTTAACATGACGCTGCTAGTAGCTTAAAGGAACACTTCAAGCACCATAACCACTACAGTCCACTTTGGGATTAGCAATGCTCTGGTATCTCTCCAGTGTAAGTGCCAAACTGAATTAGAATTGCCCCACTCCATGCCTGAACTACTTCTGCAAGAGAGCAGGGAGCTTTCTGTCTTACCTAAAGTATTTAGCTGTTGATGAGAGCAATTTTGGTGAGAGCAATTTAATGGCCCTCTCAGCCAATGAACTAGCCTGCATAAGTAACTGTGGTTCTCTGGCTGAAGCAGAGGAGGCAGGAAGCGGTTCCGGTGGACCCCAGGTATAATCTCAAACCACTCTAAAATCTCACACTGATTGGGTGCACAGAGTCCTAGAGGCACTATAACCACTATAGTGTGCCTTTCAGTCTGTGCTGAAGAAGATGGTGGCACTACCTCTTTCCAAGGCATCACCATGTAGACCCCACAAGTGCTTAAACACGAAGAGGAATTGAAGGTTACCAGCAAATATATGAATGAATAAAAATAAAAAATATGAAAGGAATTATATAGTTCCATTAAATGAATCTTTATAAATCTCTAAAGAAATATACTTCAGGTGTGAGTTTCTGGACGACAACAGTTTTTTGTTTTTCTTTTACAATCTATTTTTAAATTGTTTTATGTTTGAACAAAATAATAAACATTAACAAAATCTGAATGACCAAAGACTCATTGAAGATGCAGGTTCCAATAAACAACATTCAAAATCAAAATGGGCAGGAAAACTCTGCCCAAAACACTCATAGACCTCGAAATCTAGAAATGAATAAGTGTACTTAACCACAGCAAAGGGGCCAAGATTTAGGTCCTTTTTTCTTATGAAACCAGTGAAATGCTTTTTACTCTAATAATCTTTGCAGCATTAGCACTGCAATAAGCTGTAGCAGCTATTGTGTTTGGACTGATATTATTTTGTAATGTTTTGGGGTTTTATTTATAATTAAGTGGGAGTTTCCCACTTGGTTCTTTATCTTAAACTGCAATTTTAGTCATACTAGTTTGCAGTATTTTTTTTTTTTTTACTTATAAGATTTCATTTTTAGTGGTTATGGTGCCTACAGTGTTCATTTAATGCATTGCTTTTGGTGACACTGAAGTCTGACAATATAGGGACACTATAGTCACCAAAACAACTACAGCGTAATTAAGCAGTTTTAGTGTATATATGAAGTCTCACTGCTCACTGTCTTTGTTATTTAGGAGTTAAATCACTAAATCACTCTCGTTTCTGTTTATGCAATCCTAGCCACATCTCCACTGGCTGTGACTGACACAGTCTGCATAAAAATGGAGCTCTGTAAATGGAACTTTAACTACATACAAGAGGCTCCTGCAAGATCTAGCAAGCTAGTAAGAGTAAAAGATACAAAATTCTAAAGTAAACAAAATTGCAACAAAGGAAGTGTAAACATTAGATGACTCTTTATAGAACATGTTTATAAAGGCTGTGTAAGTCACATATAGGGAGGTGTGACTAGGGCTGCATAAACAAAGTGATTTAATTCCTAAAAGGCAGAGAATTCAGCATTGAGACCGCAGTTGCATGATCTATACACCAAAACTGCTTCATGAAGCTAAAGTTTATTAAGTTTATAGACTCTGTATATTTTAAATATGTGTCTGCAGCTAAGATTGAAAATATGCAATAATTCTTTAACTATAAATTATGTAATTGTTTCTATATTCATTTGTTGAAATTCAGATGTTAATCAAAATCTATTCTATTGTAAAATACCTGTAGAATTTGTGTTAAGCCATTAACTAAAGTGTTCATTATACAGATCTCATTATCTTCTATAAGAATTATACTGTTGGTAAAAGATGGTAAAATTGCTGATAGTATACTATAGTTGAAAGACCAAAGTTGAAGGACAGTCGGAAAGGGACAAAGACTCAAGTTACCTTTCCAAAAGGAACAGCAAGTAGATATTTTGATAGGCATAATAATCCCTGACCACCTACCAGCGATGGAAAGCTGAGATTTACCAGAAGGGAACTTGTGAATTACCCAATCTCCAAAAACATTATATGAAATGGAGTCTGTACACATGCTTACTTGTCTGTACATATGCTTATTTCTCAGATTTTAAGCAGTTCTTATCTGGGCAGTTGTTGCATACTATGCCAGCATTCTGATGGTCAGGAACAGAATACATTTTCCTGCCCCATTTTCTACCCTTTAAGGGTCTGACAGAAATTTCTGGGTAAATTAAGCATAACAACTGTTTAATGTAAATAATGTTTGTTTTCAGGGGGTGTTTCAGCCAATGAAATGTTGGCTATCTGTCTAGTGGGAATTCCAACTCTTCTGTTGCTTTTTCTCAACCACACTCACACTTCCTAAATGCGTTGAACTTCATTGGTCGTATCCTGATGACCCTATTCCCACTTACCAACTCCTAATGATTTATGGTTAGTATGCTTATGTCTAGTTATTTTTTCTAAATAAAAGGAGGGGTTGAAGGGGTTAATTTCTGTTCATATGAATCATAAGACTAACAAAGTACATTTCAAGGACATCACATAGCCTAGTTTTTCACACTACAGTCTTTGTTCCCCCTCTCTTAGGAAGACCCTGTCCTTATGCCCTCTTATTCTAAAAACACTCCACCTAGTAATGCCCCCTAGATAAACTTAGGATCAGTGATTTGTTTAACGTCTTTACCATGCTATTTGCACAAGCTTGTTCATGCTGTTAGTTAATAGTTGTCAATATTTGGTTGGTAATTATTTATACCTCCCTACAAATCCCCTTATTTTGTTCCTATATAAGCTTTGTTCTGCTTAATAAACATTGGAAACATAAGAAAGAATGGTCTCTCATTGAGTGTTTACAAGTACTTGGTGTGTGGTAAGGTCTGGATAGAACTTTAAGTCCATGGCAGTCGAGGTCTGGTGATCACCTAGGAGTAGTTTCAACAATAGGACACTTAGATAGGCTTAAAGGACCACTATAGTGCCAGAAAACATAATCGTTATTCTGGTTCTATAGGGTCTCTAGGTCCCCCCCACCCTCAGGGCCCCCCTCCCGCTGGGATCTAGGGGGTGGAAGGGGTTAAATTTACCTCTTTCTCCAGCGCCGGGCAGGGGACTCTCCTCCTCCTTCTTGTCGTCATCGGCTGAATGCGCATGTGGGGCACAAGCCGCGTGTGCATTCAGCCAGTCCATAGGAAAGTATTCTCAATGCTTTCCCGCTGGACGCTGGCGTCTTCTCACTGGGAAAATCACAGTGAGAAGCGCGGAAGCACTAGAGGCTGGATTAACCCTATTCTAAAACATAGTAGTTTCTCTAAAAATGCTATGTTTATAGAATAAAGGGTTAATCCTAGCTGGACCTGGCACCCAGACCACTTCATTAAGCTGAAATGGTCTGGGTGCCTATAGTGGTCCTTTAATAAGAATATGAAAAACAGATAGTCAAGGAGAGCAAGACCACCTCCAAAGGTTTTTGCCAGGAACTGAATTTTAATGAAAACCCCAGTAACTGTGCAGTATTAAATTTTGCTTCTTTGCGTTGAAAATATACTCCTGACTTGATAACTTTTTGGGTGAAGATTTTGGATATGTGTGACATATCTGGCAAAGAAGAGCATTTCAATCAAACATATGTTTTGGCTGAAATCAAATTAGAACTTATATATTTTGGATATTTTCCTCTTTTTCTGCATATTGTTGAGTTTATACTCTCCTTTTCTTATTTTACTCTGTCACATCAAATAAAAACCACTGCAGCTCTACCTTGACGACTTTACCAGCAGATTACATTATGTTCATTTAGCCGCTTTGGGTCACGTCAAATCGTGGAGAGGTTAATGCATTGTTAAGTTAGAAATTGAAATGGGATTTGCCTTGTTTATCACATCTCTCCTGCCTGCTGTATAAATAGGCATTCAGACATGCAACGTTTACTGTCATTTACCTTTTAGAGCAGTTTGTAAATAAATTCTGCGCCTTTCTCAAAATTACCATTTGCTGCTGTTTACTAAAGTGTAGTAATTGCAATTATTATGTGAAGGGTTTATTCCTTAAACAGTGAATATTTTAGAATTGAAGAAGAACTTGATCATGTATAGCCTGTTGCATGGGAATATTTCCAATTTGCATGCTGTGATCTATTTTTTTTTTTCATTTACCATAACCTTTTGTATCGACACAACATAGTATTGAAACAGTCAGTAATGCAATATACAAAATAGTAGAAATAAGTATGTAACTGTCAGTGTACTGTAGTTCTCTTCTCATTTAAACCTGTAAGTCAATACAGACCTGCTTGACATACAGCTAATATGAATTGTAGGAATAACAGAGGATAGTTCATATGGGGTATGTGCCTTCAAATCTGGTTTTGCAAAAACTGGTGTTTATCTGCTTACTAATTTTACATGCTGTCTTTATCCCCTCTAGGACAAAGGTTAAAGGGACTGTGCAATACCAAGAAAACATATCCGTTTTCCTAGCACTGCAGAATCCTGCAGTGCCCCTCTCCCTTCCAGCCCCACCCCAACCACTGATAGACAGCCACTAGAGGAGGACTTAACCCTGCAAGGTAATTATTGCAGTTTATAAAAACTGCAATAATTACACTTGCAGAGTTAAGGGTGGTGGGAGTTGGCATCCTGACCACTCAAATGGGCAGAAGTGGTCTGGGTGCTTGGAGGTTCCCTTTAACCCCTTAAGGACCAAACTTCTGGAAAAAAAAGGGAATCATGACATGTCACACATCTCATGTGTCCTTAAGGGGTTAAGCATGTCAGTTCCAGCACTGTGTTTTTTCTGAAGGGGTTAAAATAACCATATGTGAGCCCCCCCTGATTGGTAGGTTAATACATTGTATTTATATTACAGGGCCAAAAAACTGTATCCCATTTAATGCTTGGAAAGGCTGAAAGGTTGCAGGGCTGGAAGCTAAGAGATCTTTTTGTGACAACGTGAAGGTTTGCTATTATACGATCTCCTTTCTATCTCCACTTCGATGCTATTTACTTTTCTGTAGCTAGAAATCAACTGTATTAATAATAAGGTCATTCTCATCTTGCAGCAAAATCACTGGAGCCGAAACACAATTGTACTAATGGTCTATCTTATTATGGTAAAGCATGTCATCTTCCAATATTCCGCTTGGCTTGTTTGCATGGGGATTCAGACAGATACAACATTTCTTGAAGCAACTAGGGCCTACATACACAAGCAGGCATGCCATATCAACTTCCCTTCAGGTGGAGGAGGGGCACACTAAAGGCTGTGTTACCAAGAACAAAAAAGAAATTTCTGTGCAAAATTTACTGAATTTCACTGTTGCACAAAGAAGACATCACAATGCTACCGCAGAGATACAATTATAACTATGTTCAATGCATCCAGAGACCCAAACAGTTAGCCTCATGCCAAACAGTTAGCCTCATGCTTTCTTTCTCTTAGTGGGTCTAAGAAAATTAACTAAACTAAATTTAATTAACTTAAAGGGCACCTGTCATGACCAAAACTACTTTCATCTATACATTGTGCTAGCAGTTTTTCTAGGAAAGGTATAGCTTGGGAGAAAAACCTATTTACAAATGGTATTTCTCTCACCCATTAATTTGGGGTAATAGTTTGTCCATTAGGTAATTAACTTTCATTTTATAAAGCACACATTCCGCTGCAGGTGCCTTATCCTTTAACCAATGTTGTTCAAGAGATTTCTAAGGGTGGCCTTGTCTGCTCTCCCTTACCAGTCAATTATTTGGCATACAGACAATGCTGAATAATTGATTAATGGGTGAGAGAAATACCATTAACCCCTTAAGGACACATGACATGTGTGATATGTCATGATTCCCTTTTATTCCAGAAGATTGGTCCTTAAGGGGTTAAAGGGCACCTGTCACGACCAAAACTACTTTCATCTATACATTGTGCTAGCAGTTTTGCTAGGAAAGGTATAGCTTGGGAGAAAAACCTATTATCAAATTGTATTTCTCTCACCCATTAATCAATTATTCAGCATTGTCTGTATGCCAAACAATTGACTGGTAAGGGAGAGCAGACAAGGCCACCCTTAGATATCTCTTGAACAACATTGGTTAAAGGATAAGGCACCTGCAGCTGAATGTGTGAAATATAAAATGAAAGATAATTACCTAATGGACAAACTAACAGCCCAAGTCAGAAACTCAAGACCCTCCTTTCAATACTTGTGGGCATTATTGGAAGAGTTATCTAATGTTAATAGTGAGTAAGCAGAGTCCCTCCCTTCTTACCTCTCCTTGCCACCTCCCTTTTTACTTTTTCTTGGAGGTATTGAAGATATTGAACAATCCTTTTAAAAATGTCAAAACTGCAAGTTCACACATTGTATTATGTGACTGAATAATACACACCTATATACTAGCTTCTATATGGCTATTTGTGAAGAGGGACACTATAGTCACTGTGACGAAGTGCCCTTCGCCACTTGGTCCTGGAGAGGCCTGCTTGCCAGCCTCCTGCCTTGCGACTATGGCCCAGGGGTGTGTGGCCCTTTAAAAACAGTGTATGGACATATTGAAACTTTTGGGACACTTTTTCTGCCCCTTTGAATTCATGTGAAGGTGTGCCTCTTCCGCTCCCCCTTTCCCATTGTTCTCCAGCAGGGCGTTGTCTAGCTGCTTTGTCCCTCCTCGGTCAAAATATGACTTCCACCTATCTCCTGAACCACTTAACCGATTCAAGTGAATTTTGGATATGCTTGTCCCCAAATTATGCTGGTTATAAAAATATAAGTGTTATTGATATTGCATGGAAACTCACAAAGTTACAAAAATGGCATAAAAGTATGTTTTTTTAGCTTGGGGATAATTGAGTTGATACAGTAATTAACTAAATTATCTCCCAAGCAGAGGGGAAGATTCTCATTGTAAAAAGTGGGTGTGCTTATCCATGTACCTTTATTTTATTGATTGTTAAATTTACAGTTCCAGTGCCCCACAAGGTCCACATGGGTGGTAACCTTGCTGGGAAAGTTGTATATAAGCAGGAATAAATGCTCATTGGAGTCAGTTCTTCTTGAACCTCAACACGTAGTCTTGTCTGGTGATTGGAGGGGACAGCTAAACTCACACTGGGGATTGCTATGCTCTGCATACTCCCCTGAGCTTTAATCACTTAGCTTTTAAGAGCTTGTTCCTGATACGCTCTCCTGGAGGAGAGGTCTTCCCCACACGGTCCTGGAGGACAGAAGCTGATCCAGGGTGGACAGAAGATGGTGAGACTCCAGTTAAGCTACGGCGGTTGTGGAGTCTGCGGTGGTTGTGGTGTCCAGGTGCGGTTCTTGTGGTCCTCGGCGCAAGTTAGGAAGTGTCCATCAACGGAAGGTACTCGGTCGGAGTACGGGAAATTCCGTTACAGTCACCAACATAACTGTTAATGAAGTTTCACTGCTCAATCCTCTTTTATTTAGGAGTTAAATCACTGTGTTTGTGCAGCCCTAGTCACACCTTTGTAAATGCTTCCTGTAAAGAATCATGTAATGTTTACATTTCCTTTTTTGCAAATTCTATTTAATTAAAAATTTCTTATCTCCAGCTCTGCTAATAGCCTGCTAGACCCTGCAGGAGACTCATGTAAATAATTAAAGTTCAATTTACAGAGCAGGAGATAAAAACTTGTAAAGTAGGTTACATCTGATTGAAAATGAAACCATTTTTTTTTCATGCAGGCTGTGTCAGTCACAGCTGGGGGAGGTGTGGCTAGGGCTGTATAAACAGAAACAAAAGTGATTTAACTCCTAAGTGTCAGTAAATCTATACATAAAAAACTACTTCATTAAGCTAAGTTGTGTTGGTAACTCAAGTGTACCTTTAAATAAAGAATTTAAAAAAATAAATGTTATATTTAATGAGTATTAGTTTGAAATGTGATCAGATACAAAGTAACATACAAAGGGGGAACATTTATCTTGGCAAAACAGGTTCTACTTAGGATACAAAAAGCTAAATGCAGAGAGAGATATTCTGTTGGTTTCGTTATTAACACTTTACCGCAGAAGTGCTTGTTTTCCATTGATCAATAAATGAGACCCTTATATATAGACACTCTAGAATTTTATTACAGCTTTGCTTTAAATGCAGCACCTTTTAAGTTAAAAATAAAAAAGCTGGAAAAAAATGAAATACAATACAATAAAACTTGTAAAAATAACTCAATACAAACACGAATACCCATATATCTGTGCTAACCCCCAGAAGCTGCCACTTATAAGTTATATTTCTTCAAATGTCACTTCCAATGTATTCTTTGGGAGAACTGTACATTTCCACAATGTTTACAGAAAATATGCAGAGGCTACACGTGTCTGCAATGGACTCTCTTTTGGTGTATCATTCTTTGAAAACAGGTGAAATCATTTTGCGAATTTGAATAGAAAATGTAGGATTACATTCAATTGTGCTTGTTGCATTTTGTTCATAAAAAAAAAGTCTCTAATTATACTTGAAAAAATTGTGAAAACTAAATGAATGCTTTCTGATTAACCCCTTCATAGCCTTTGATTTTCTATTTTCTAGATACAAAAAGTTTAGACAAAACAGCAATTCAATGGATTCTACAGAAATGCTAGGTTTTGCCCATTGTATGAGTACATAAGGCAGTGCTGGATAAATTGCACGTAAAAGCATTTCTCTGTCAGATGCATGCACCTGAGGGCGCCACAACACTGAAGTGCAGTGAAGGTTAGACAGTTGTTTATGCTGAAAAGGCAAAGATGAGTTAAAGGGACACGTTAGACCCCTAAAGCACTATTAGCTTGCTGAAATGCTTTATGTGTGAAGAGTGTGTCCTCTTTTTCATTTTACAAAAAGTGCAGATTTCAATAGTAATTGACACTTTTATAAATTAACCTTATTACACCTCCTGGCTGTCAATCAGATAACCTGTCCAGTTACTTCCTGGTTGTTAAGCTCAGTGGATTCAACAATTGCTTAGAGTATCTGCCTTGCAAAAACCTTGCATAGTTCTGCATTGGGAAGTCTGTGATTGGACAGCTACAGAACGTCTTGGCTGGGGAAGAAGAGAATGACTGCACATAAGAGATTTGCAGCTTTCCAAGCTGTTTTAGATATACCCTGAATGTTAAAATGCATTAGTGAGAGGAGCCTGAATACTCTTTAAAAAGCTGTAAAAATGTTTTGTACATACATATTGATGTATGTCTTCTTAATTTTGTACATAAAACTTGTTAAACCCCCCTTTCCCATTAAAAAAAACAATTTTCTGTATAAAATAAAGCTCCTCGGGGGGCGGAGCTAAGCTGCCATGCTGAGCGGTCGCACTGGAGATGAGCTCCGTGCAAAAGCTCTCTCAAACTGCCAGAATCAGGGCACAAACTCACCAAATTGACAACTAGGCGACCTGGAGAAGGGAGCCCTAACACTGCAGAACCAAGCAACAAGCATCCCGACCAAAATCGGAGGCTCCTAACTGGGGATCGACCTGAGGCCTACCAGAGAAAGCCTACAGACAACCACTTATCTGGAGGTCTCCCCGGCATATTTCCTCCCCCCCCCCCGCCGGAGAGGGATATCCCGGCAACTAAAGCCTGGAACACAGCGAACCGACTATAGAAGTGTCTGTCCTACACAGCCAGAACAGCACGAGCACGCATTGGGTCACTGGGAAACAGCTAAGATGGCCGTCCAGCGAGGGCCCCACAAACCAAGCATACACACTCAACCAACCTCGAACCCCCTGGGGGAATTCGACCGATTCTGTGCGAGCCTCTGGACCTTGCTGAGCGACCGTGGAATGACTTACCGTCTGGCGGTGAAACTAGTGGCCACATGGATGCGTCCAGTGACCCGGCGGCGCCATTATAGGCATCCACCACAAGCAACCAGAACGGCAGCCAGACCCTGCAAATCCCGACGAGCCCAAAGGGGCAAAACACCACCAAGCAGCAGGAGAAAGCACACAGGTCCCCACATTCACAAGAACGAGACTACCAAAGCAGCCTCCCACATAAGCTATTCACCAGCGACGGGAACCGGCGTCCAGCAAAGCTCACCTCCATGCCTCCAAGTCACAGCTGCAAACCGGGGAGCTGCATGGCTGAACACCCCACTGAACACCACTGGAGCTGGACCGCGGCGTGCGGACGCCTTCAAGGAGACCAACGTTGACAGCAAGAGACACGTTCATGCATTGGGCATCGGATGATGAGCCTGCCTCTGTGCCTCTCAAGTAATCATGGCACACTTGCATCTGGAGGGCACATTCACAGCCGGCAACAACCATCAACATATGGACTACCCACGACTAGTAAATATAACTAGCACTGCATGGACTAAGTGTTTAAGCGGACAATGCTGGCAAACTTATAGCCTAGGTACACAGAGATGTCGTGAAGTATGCCACAGACTACCTAGTTATTTATTTATTTATTTTTTGTTTAGCTTAGGGACAGATAGTCACTTCTATGTCCACATGTAGTTAAGATGCAGTAGATTAGCATGTTATCACATACCCAGCAGCAAAATAGTCTAAACGAAATAGCTTGAGCTACGAATTAGTATCTTAAAACAACATCTATTGCACTGTTCCAAGCGATGCCTCAATATTGTTTTAATGATGTTTTATAATAGCAAAAGCGAGAACTACACTCTTGAATTGATAATTCTAATAACCTAAAATTTGTGCCTGACTAGCATATGTCACAACCTGTATAGCAAATGTTTTCCAACCTATCCTGATGCCGCTGTTGTGGCGCACCAGGGCTACTTGTTACTATTGTGCACAACAAAAATAAAGAATTAAAAAAAAAAAAAAAAAAAAAAAGCTCCTCAAGTTCCAAAAGACCTGACAGGGAAAATGCATTACACTGCTAACTGTGGCAGTACAGAAAGAGTTAATTGAAGTGGCGTAGCTCATGCAGTGAGACCTGATGCCTCTTAGTATGGTTAGCATTTACATGCATTATTAGCAATTATTTAAACCCATCTCATAGCCATGGGAATCGGTAGAGAGTGGTCAGACAGCTGTAATATTTACAGATAATGTAAACTAAATAAATGTATAAAATTTCACTCTTTATCTGGTCAAATTCTTACCATGGATGCAGCTGCATGGACATCTATTGTGCACATGAAACACCAATCTGTTCTTAAAGCAAATCCTGTTGTTACAATATGTGATAATATGGCTAGTTAAAAATATAACTAAGTAATACACAGATTTATATTATAACTCTCATCTTATAAAAGACAGAATCCTTTTAACAATGATTTGAAGCTGGCCTTTTAATTATAAACCAAATAAAGAATTTAGAACCCCTTGCTAGTTTTGTGACCGTGCAGGGAAGTTACATGGGGTATTTAGAGGGTAGTTACTAAAGCAAAGTATCGAACCACCTCATGTCAAGTTCTTGCTATCACCAGCATCAGAGGATTTGTTTATTCTGGAAATCAAAGCAGCCTCCCCTTACTGTTATCTGCTCCCCTGACTAAGCTCTCCAGTAACTACTGGTTAATGAGATATTGTTTACCCTTCGTTCTCATTTTCTAAATTATTTCAAACAGTTAATCTCTCGCTTTTCTGTCTCTCTCTCTCTTTCTCTCTCCAAGCTGATTTGATATCTGCTCTAATCTCTACATCAATACCAAAGACAGTGCATTGTCACAATGACTCAAAGCTGGCAACATGGCCACAGATATTACCGTTTCCCTTTAGGCTAGCATTAAAAGATATATACACACAGAGACAAACCGATCTAGCGCTATAGATAAATACATCTAAATATAGACAGATGGACCGTCAGGCTGAAATCACAAGTAATATGTTTAATTGCTTGACAGGGTTGCAAATGCTAAGCTGACACAGTGATAATAGCATTCAATACTGGTCTGTTGTTAACTACAAAACACTAGCTCCCAAAAAAAGTGATAAATGGTCAGTTGGATAAAAGTAAGTAAACTCTGCATATACAGACTCCAATCACATTACAACTTCAAAACATTAAAGTAGTGCTTGTAGTAACCTTTTAAATAATTAAATGCTGTTTTATAAAATAGTTTTTTTTTAAATAAAATACTCATATTGTGCTGTAATGGGTCCCGAAATGTGTTTCTCTTACAATTTTGTTCTTCCTCTGACGTTTTCTGTGAGAAGTTTAATCTCATACAGCATGCTGCTGGCAGTGCTTGCTGACAATCTAAACAAAGGTTGTGTACTGAGTAAATGTAGGTTGTGTGAGTCCCAGACACAGGGTGTGTAGGACTGGAGAAATAGAGTGGTTTCACACCTAAATGGCAGATAATTCAGTAATGAGACTGCAGTGATATGATACACACCAAAACTACTTCATTAAGATGAAGTGTTTTTTATGCTTGGATTGACCCTTTAATATAAACTCACTGTCTGAGATTAGTAGGGCAGGATGACAGAGTTATGATACAGTCTCTATACTAACCTAGATACTTTGACAAGGCATAATTATTAGAGATGTAATTTAGGTCCAGCCTGGAGCCAAGGCTGAAAAACCATAATTGCTAAAGGTAAAACAAGGTAAAACATTATGGGATAATATAAGACTTAGCTAAAGCATATATGTACAAACACAATCGCAAAATGTGAGCAATTGCTCACCCAATGTAAATTGAAGACTTAAATTCAGCTTTAATTCACTAAATTTAACATTCAGAATGACCAAACCAAACTCCAATTTGATCAGATCACATTACATTTATGATGTATGCGTTTGATATTACCATCTATTGTCTCAACCTGGATTACATTTAACTGGGTCATGGGAGACATCAGTAACAGTGTCATTAAAGGAGCATTTGAAATTTGATAGACAACCATTTCACTAAATTAAAAAAAATGTATGCTAGTTTACTCGGTGGGGAAAAAATATGTTGCTGATGGCAACTATTGAGAAACACATTGCATAAATCTCCGTACTTTATCATTATGCATTGTGTCTAAATTCCTGGAATAAAGAAGACACTGAGTAGGTAAATGTAACCGATAAATAGGAATCACATACAGCACACTTTAATCTCCTTTAATCCCTCATGCCATGACCTATTGCTGTAAAACTGCAGGTTTATATCTGCAAATATCCACATCTTATTTTTTTCAGATGATTTGCAGCCTTCCCTCTGGTTTACAACCAATAACATTTTTACATAATATTGTCATATAAAGCAAAAGATTTTGTTAAATACCTGTTATATTTACTAATCTCTTTAAATCCTTGTAAAACATGTAACAGAAGGTTCACATCGGTCATGTGATCTGAATATATGATATAATAATAGTGATGATACCTAATTGACCCCTTAAGGACGGAGGCAATGGTACACGTTCTGATCAAAACAAAACATAAACAAGACCTAGAATTTACGCTATATGTCTGTTTAACCATAATTCACCTCCTTCATGTTAAGTGCATCCATATTACTATATATCATTTTGTTCAGGGGAAACAAGACTTATTTTTCATATGAAATATTTACTATGAAGCATAATGTATTATGAATATATTCTAAAACAAGTGTGAGAAATTAAGATTTATTTTTGTTGTTTTTTTAGTTCTGCATGGCATTTTTACTTTGAATGTCACAACACTGTTAACTTTTACTGCAACAAAATACTCATATTTATGTTCAGCGATGTCACACGAGTACAACAGTAGCCCTCATCTACAGGTTTTGTGGTGTTTTGGAAAGTTACAGGGTCAAATAGAGCACGTAAAATTTTTCAGCTTAGGGGGCGGAGCTTGACCGCCATGCGGAGAAGTCACAGGCACCCAGAGCTCTCACCAAATGGCGGACTTAGAGCTTCCCTGGTCATAACCCAGCCAAGTTAAACGGGTCCTACACCCACCCACACCACAGAGCATCAGAGATGAGACAGGGGCACTGCGAGCACCCCGGAGGCGCTAGCCATGGCAGGTCCGACATGCGGCCTAGCGGTTGATGCAGGGCTGGGGATGCGGCCGGTCCTCCAGTCCCGAAATCCTGCAGACGCAGAACCTCCCCCCCACCATGGTATTTCTGCAGGCCCGAGTGTCAGTACGTGAGCCCCGTTGGGCGGGCGCGGGGGGAGGCGATGGCACCCCGCTCACCAAAAATGGCGGCACACAGTCTGACAACAAACCCTCGGGGAGTACACAAGATGGCAGCCATTTCTGTTGACCTGCAGTCATCATGTGAAGCCAGATTGCACACGTTTCTTCAAGGAAACACACCCGCTACGGCTGGACTCCCGGAGGTCTCCCACGGTGTCCTGGTGCCTCCTCCCCCCCATTGGGCAGAGTAACATGATGACCTACAGATGCATCGCCTACCCGCAACCACTGCTGCACCAAGACGCTCACCGACAGGAGGAGAGACAAATAAGCCGCGGCAAGAAAACAACGGAGAACTCACCCAGCGCCTTAGCGACTGGCAGCGGACCTGACACCCATACACAACAACTCTGCAGCAGAGGCTGAAGGGGCTATCCCTCACTCATCTCTAGTGGGACTCCTAAATACCGAGACAGTATTGCCTCCAGCAATCTCACTCCTGGGGACTCTGTACCATTATCACCTTGGTGATCTGTTCTACTAGGTGGTATATTTTGTCTCAGCTTGCTCACAGGTCACCTTCTAAGCCAGAGTACTTATTCTATTCAGTCTGTCCATAGTTACCAGCCATCTACTAAATTGTTAAAAGCATGATAATATTTAGTTTTGTTCTTTTATCGCATAAAGTGCATATTTTGACTAGGCATACACCACGCATCCTGTTAATATGACACAACTAATGTACGACTTAACATAAACTGACATACTCAGCATCAGCATGTGAATCATTTAAAAATGAAAAATGCTTAGTCTAACTTGTCTACCTTAACTATATAATGTGCAGTCTGGTTTAAAACAGCCATGAAAATCTATAATATGTATTCTTGTTTGTGCTGCCGTGGCCATGTTTGTAATTCCCTGCTTGCTATAAATAAAGAATTACAAAAAAAAGGCAAAAAAAAAAAAACAACACGTCGAAGTTTGCCAGGTTGGTTATGTTGCCTTTTAGACAGTATGGTAGCTCAGGAATGAAAATTACCACCATGATGACATACCATTTGCAAAAGTAGACAAACCAAGGTATTGCAAATGGGGTATGTCCAGTCATTTAGTAGCCACTTAGTCTCAAACACTGGCCAAAGTTAGCGTTTATATTTGCTTGTTTGTGAAAAATACAAAAAAACAAATATGAATGCTAAATTTGGCCACTGTTTGTGACTTACTAAAGTGGTTACTAAAAAAGACTAAACATACCCCATTTGCAATACCTTGGGTTGTCCGCTTTTGCAAATAGCATGCCATCATGAGGATAATTCTCATTCCTCATCTACCATACAGTCTCAAAGGCAACATAACCAATCTGACAAATTTCAATGTGGAAAAACTAAAATGGGTAAGCTTATATTTAACCTTGTTACTTTGCAAGATATCATAAAACCTGTACATGGGGAACACTGTTATGCTCGGGAGACATCCCTGAACACAAATACAGTAAAACGCATCACAACGATATCGTCAGTGAAAGGGCTGATTGTGTGTGAGAACTGCAAAACAAATGACGATATCATCATTGTGATACACAAAGTATCTCAAGTATAACAGTACCTGCCATGTACAGGTTTTATGGTGTCTTGGAAAGTTACAGGGTTAAATATAGGGCTTACAAATTAAATTCTCTAGACTTTCTGCCTGGGTTGTCAGGGAGGACCTGATCAGCTGCAGAGGGACTGTTTGGGTTCTCAGGCAGTCCCTAGGATCGCAACAGCCGGCGGGGATCGGTGCGGACCGGGTTAGTAATAAGAAAGACAGGAACGTTCTATGCTGACCTGCGGCATTTAGGACCACTTCCTTAGAACACTCGCGGTCTTTAAATACACACAATTATATTTACTAATAGCAGAAGTGACTAGCTACCAGTATCAGGAATAAATTACACACTGAGCATCGAGACAGCAGAATGAAGAAGCTAATGCTAGCAGTTTACTGTAAAAGTTTGGGTTTTAACTTATTTATTTTTCAGTGATGCTAAGAGACATACATACATTTATGAAGCATTATTCTTTGTTGGATTCCCCATTTTCAGAGCACTGCTGTAAAGGAATCTGGACCCCAATTCAGTGTTAAGCCTTTTACAAACAGTTAAACAATTGAAGGCAAGAAAGCCCTGGGAGACTCCTGGCACCATAACTACATCATACACAGGAGGTAAATTTGGTGTCCAGAGCATTCCTTTACATTTAGGCTGAATTGTTGAAATAGAAAGATTACTTGTATCTGTCCAAGTACAGTAGTAAGCATAATGGAGCATGTGACAGATTTCTGTATCTGCGTGGCTAAACGATACAGGTATTTCTAAAAAGTTTTTTTTTTAGAGATAAATTGGGAGATTTTATAGATAAATAGAAGGCTGCAGTATAGGTAAGATAAATAAAAAAATAAAAGACAAAAAATTGTAGAAGAATGGGGAAAATAGAGACAAATTAATAGTGTGGCGGAACCAACCTCGCCACTGTGCACTGGAGAAGACTGGTTGCTCGCCTGCTCCCTTTAGACTATTGCCCGGTGGTTAAAACCTTTTCTTTTCCCTGCAGAAAAGCGAATCCGTGCCTTTCTGCAGACTGTTAAAGCCATGATACCCCAGATAGCTATGCCATGGATCCGAGCCGTATACTGAAAGACTGTATGGAAGACTTTGGCTCCATGGCGATTGAACTGTATGCATGTGATCTGAGCGCCATCCGGTAATAATGTGCACTCAGATCTAAGCTATCTGTGTGATAAATGTAACCGTATGTAATTGTATGTCTTTTATTGTCCTTTGTCTGCCATGTGGCTAATGGAGTTTTGCCTCTGTCCTTGGAGATAATTGGATTACTTCCCAATTATCTCCAGGACAGAGAGGAGGGATTGTGATGCATTGTGGGAGTGTTTAAAGGTGTATGTCTGTGATTGGTCAATGCCCAATATGTTTCCCAGTTTCTCATCTGGTCCCCTAGGGGAGTGTCCACCAGGTGGGAGACCTGCATAAAAGCCAGGCAGGCAGCCACAGTAAATCTGTTCCTGCTTAACCCTCAAACGAAGTGTCGTCTCGTTATTGGGGGAATTGGATTGTATGCTGACTGCCAGGAGTGTAAACCTTTCGGATGGTTTTTCCTGTTCAGCTGTTTCCAGTATTCGTGTGTTTCCTGTTCGGGAGATTGGTGATTGCAGTAGCTGTCTGTGCATCTGAAAGGGGAATATCGCCTAAACGGTTTTTAACCTCTTGTGGGCAAAACGGTCCGTTACAATTCATGGCAAGCGACGGGATCATTCCCACAGCCCAGAAGGACAGCTACAAGGTAACACCAGTTCCTGGATTACAAATTGAGGGCAACGCTATTACCCGTACAGCGCCCCTATCTACAAAAGAACCAACTTCAGCAGAGCAAGCATGGCGCCCAGCTACACTCAGGAGGAGTTCAACGCTATGCTGAAAGAACTGCTGGCTTTCTTCTGACCCAATCCAGAGGAGAAATACGTACAGAACACGAGGAGAATAGTGGCAGAGTACCTGCAGTTCAAAGCAGATTTGGCCAAAAAGGAGCCCCAGGGAGCCAAAGGTGTCGTCCTTCCTCCCCAGCGGCAGAGTGAGTTACAGGGAGCCAAAGGTGCCATCCTTCCTCCCCAGCGGCAGTGTGTGTTACAGGGAGCCAAAGGTGCCGTCCTTCCTCCCCAGCGGCAGAGTGAGTTACAGGGAACCGGAGGTACCGTCCTTCCTCCCCAGTGGCAGTGTGAGTTACAGGGAGCCAAAGGTGTCATCCTTCCTCCCCAGCGGCAGAGCGAGTTACAGGGAGCCGAAGGTGCCATCCTTCCTCCCCAGCGGCAGAGTGAGTTACAGGGAGCTGAAGGTACTGTCCTTCCTCCCCAGCCGCAGAGTGAGTAACAGGGAGCCGAAGGTGCCATCCTTCCTCCCCAGCGGCAGAGCGAGTTACAGGGAGCCGAAGGTGTCGTCCTTCCTCCCCAGTGGCAGTGTGAGTCACAGGGAGCTGAAGGTGCCGTCCTTCCTCCCCAGCAGCGGAGTGTCCTGCAGGGAGCAGAGACCGTCGGTCTCGCACCCCAGCAGCAGGACAAAATATTGAAAGGGAAGACAGCCGGTTCTCCCCTCCTCCAGCAGAGAAAGTGTCAGGGAGAGGAGCCCACTACCACCTCTCCCCAGCGGCAGCTTATTTCGCAAAGGGGAGACCATATTCTTCCAGATGGGGCAGATGAGGCAGTCGATCTCGCCCCCCAGCAGCAGGACAATATATTGAAAGGGGAGACAGTCGTTTCCTCCCTCAACCATCAGAGTGGGAGTCAGGGAGAGGAGCCTGTCATCCCCTCTTCCCAGCAACAGAAAGTGTGTACGGGAGAGAAACATATTACCCCCTCTCCCCAGCAGCAGCCTAGCCCACCAAGGGGAGATGATAAGCCCCACACCCATGCAGATGGGACCATGGTCTCTGCACAGGCCTCGCAGGGGCTAGGGATGGTCGGTCCTGTCCCCCGGCAGCAGGGGTGTTCATCCAAAAGAGAGACAGCCTGTCTTTCCCTCCAGCAGCAGTACCAGGTCCAGAGTGAGGAGCCTACTGCGCCATTCCCTCAACTGTGCTCCAACCAGGCTACTCCCGTGGTAGCGCTGGTCTCTGCCCACTCAGCAACCCACCAACCAGGAGCACTAGTACCCCCAGAGCCGAGTTGGAGCTCCTGGACATGGACAAGTTACCCACTACCCCAGGTGTAGTAACTCTTTATTGTGGGTGGACTGTACTGCTGATGGTGTTCTGTGGGAGGGTTGCTGGACTAACCAGGGCACTGACCGACAGGAGGTCCGATACCCTGTTAGCCTGATTGGTAAAAGGGAGAAATGTGGCGGAACCAACCTCGCCACTGTGCACTGGAGAAGCCTGGTTGCTCGCCTGCTCCCTTTAGACTTTGGCCCAGTGGTTAAAACCTTTTCGTTTCCCTGCAGAAAAGCGTATTCGTGCCTTTCTGTGGACTGTTAAAGCCATGCTACCCCAGATAGCTATGCCATGGAGCCCAGCCGTATACTGAAAGACTGTATGGAAGACTTTGGCTCCATGGCGATTGAACTGTATGTATGTGATCTGAGCGCCATCCAGTAATAATGTGCACTCAGATCTAAGCTATCTGGGGATAGGTAGAATCTGTATGTTCTATGTGATAAATGTAACCGTATGTAATTTTATGTCTTTTATTGTCCTTTGTCTGCCATGTGGCTAATGGAGTTTTGCCTCTGTCCTTGGAGATAATTGGATTACTTCCCAATTATCTCCAGGACAGAGAGGAGGGATTGTGATGCATCGTGGGAGTGTTTAAAGGTGTATGTCTGTGATTGGTCAATGTCCAATATGTTTCCCAGTTTCCCATCTGGTGCCCTAGGGGAGTGTCCACCAGGTGGGAGACCTGCATAAAAGCCGGGCAGGTAGCCCCAGTAAATCTGTTCCTGCTTAACCCTCAAACGAAGTGTCGTCTCATTATTGGGGGAGTTGGATTGTATGCTGGCTGCCAGGAGTGTAAACCTTTAGTATGGTTTTTCCTGTTCAGCTGTTTCCAGTATTCATGTGTTTCCTGTTCGGGAGTTGGAGAATTCGTGTAGTTTGCAGTTCGGGAGATTGTCTGTGCATCTGAAAGGGGAATATCGCCTAAACTGTTTTTAACCTCTTGTGGGCAAAACGGTCCGTTACAAATAGCATAAGATAATGGAGTGGTTAGAAATTGGGAATATAGACTAAACTATACCAATGCATCCAAAAAGAGAGTCCAGTGTTGAGACGTGAGAAAGGCTCTCCTTATCTGCCAAAACTTTATCATGTAGTGCTTATTCTTGGAGCACCAGCATCTTATTTGGATTAATTACCTAATAGGATGTGCACAGTCCCGATTAGAAACATATAAACTATTGCAAACAAAGAAGAAACATTGGGAAAATGTCAGCTGATAATGGAAATTGGGAAAACAATAAGATGAGAGACAAGTAAAGCGTGCAGAGAGAGTCTCATCTAAGTAAACTGTGTGTGATAAGTCTGTACATTGACATAGACCAATGAAATGTGTTAATTCTTTAGGTCTCTGTAGAGTAGTGTATACAATCAGTCTTTGTTTTCACAGGGACAAACTACCTCTTTGCAGCATAACAGGAGTCATATTTTGTCTCCTAGAAATAAGGGAGGAATAGAGTTCAACAAATTAGCTTTGGAGAGAGAGAATTTGAAAATTTATGATTAGAGAGGGAAAACTTGAAAGATGGGTATAGATAGATATTGTAAGGGGGGAAAAAAAAAAACTGAAACTTGGTCACAGGACTTTGCTGTTGAGTGAAAGGGGCATTTTGGACATTTTCACCACTCTCCATTGAGGTTAAATCTGTTGCATACATTATTCTACTTTCTAACTATCACTTTAAAAGTTTGGCAAAATATATTTACCATATTGTACAAAAATACATATTACTTATATAAGCATTGTGAATTTTTTTTTTTTATTTCATGAGTGTTGAGAATTATGTTTCCCTTTAGCCCAGACTTATAACCAAATTACAATTTATTATCCCCATCCGTGTTCTGCATTCCATGTACAGGTAGATTAAATGTTAACGTTTTGTCTATCTACCTTACATTCTTCTTTCATCAAAGGAAATGCACTGCATTACATTAAAATATATATCAACTATGGACTCCTTGGCCAGTCTTTACATTAAATTACTGAAACAATTTTATCAGGATAACTAATTTAAGGTGAGTGATTGTTAATCTCTTATCTCCCATTCTATGTGAATGACCGATTGGAAATAATGAGGTAATTGAGGGTTTCTCCGTAAATGTAACCGTTTAGGCTTGTCACTAATCTTCCCATTCAAACCCATCATCAGGCATAGGCAACCTTCGGCACTCCAGATGTTTTGGACTACATCTCCCATGATGCCTTGCCAGCAATATGGGTGTAAGAGCATTATAGGGAATGTAGTCAACAACATGTGGAGTGCCGAAGGTTGCCTATCTCTTATCTAAATCCTCAGAAGGGGATAATGTAACTATTAAGGGGCTAAATGCCAAGGCTCCATGACCATATTAATTTCAGCTCTACCCCCTATTAGTCCAAGGAATGCAAGCTGCCTTTGCACAGCTTACACTCAAACCACCAAGCTAATAAAATAAAAATGACCTCCCTCTGGAACAAGGGTACAGAGTAGCACATGAGTATCAAAATAACACCTTAACATTCCTTCTCCAGAATAAATTGTTTCCTCTAGGCCTTAGTCTGAAACATTTTGATCCCTGCAAAGACACTTTTACGTCTACCAACTAAATTACATTATAACCTTGGAAAAGTAAGCAGCAATCATAAAAGAGGTGATTTTTCCTTTGGTAAGTTCCTCTTTTACAAGCCAGGAGCAACGTTGCAGTTTTTAAACCACAATAACTTCAAAATGTGTCAATAGGCATACAACAAAATGAAGAATAAGGTGTCTCTCAACATCTTCCCTTATGTGACACCCTTACAATTTGAATTACTTTAGGTACATTCCATTAGAAGCATTACTTCCTCCATCTGTACTAAGACTACTGAAACCTAAAGCACATAACAAATATTTATCCTTTTTCTTATTAGAAGTTACATATAGAACATTATTAACAACTCTCAACGTAGTTAAAAGTGAAACCACCATGTAGTGGTTATACTGGCAGCATAACCCATAGTTTTTATTTTATAAGGTTCAAGGATGCAGGATTTAACACCAATTGAATGGGTGAAATAATAAAAGTTTCTTTACTAAGGACAAAACAGTATTATCTTTATAACTACAGGTTATAAAGGCTAATGCAGTATAATCTATATAATTACAAGTTATTAAGGATAATGCAGTTGAATCTATATAATTACATGTATTTTACAAAAAGTACATCATCGATTAATTTATTGCAAAACTACATCCAGACCCAATTATGGCTGGGAAGCCCCATTTTCAGTCCAGTCAGGAGTTGCAGATTAATTGGGAAGGTAACTAACCTGTCCACTCGTAGGTGAGGCTTCTGGCAAAAATCCAAAAAGTCCCAGTTTTTATACTCATATAAAAAGGGGTTAGCTATGCAAGTGTCATGTGCATTTCATTAGTGCGAATGTGCAATATCTCATATATGCAAGATATCAGTGCATCTCTGAAGCTTTGGCCAGGCGCCCATGGATGCCAGAGTCTTATACTACAAAAAATCTGCACACAATAAATATTGTCCAGATCTTCAGAAGTCAGAGTTTATTTCAGTTCAGTTTCAAACTTCCAAAAGTCAATGATACATACTTAATTTCAATATATGTATTAAGGCAATTTGCCTGCATTTGTGGGAGGTGCTGGTTTTCTACCCCTAGCCTACTTAAGGCACTCCCCTTGCCTGGCTCCTTACCGTTCGAGGTCAGCGTTGAATGAGGATCCACTTCCGGGTTCTCTCAGACGCCATCTTGGTTTCAGTATCCAGGAGGTTTCACCACGTTAAGCTGTGTCCAGGAATCCTGTTCAGGCCTTTCCGCCCGTCCAGCTTCTTCTGACTCCGTTCTCCGTCGTAGATCGCGTCCCAGGGACTCCTAAACCGTAAGTCAGACCTTCCTGTCACGCCAGGACTGGTTCCCACGGCGTACGGTACAGCACGGGTCCTCGCTTTACGGCTTTTCCCTGGTTATGACACGAATGTTTCAAGCCATTCGCGGGCTTTTCATTCGTACGGTCATTCGGCTGAACATGTTTTAAATTGTTCAATAGTCATTTCGCATATCCTATTCATGTTATTTAAACGAATGTTCATTCGGTTGTTTTGCCGTTCGGCAAATTTTACATACGCTCATACACGCTTTGGTTCGCATAAATCATACGGTTAAACTATTCTAACTTCTGTGTTCCCCTCACATTTGCTTTCGGCTGTTCTGTGTGTTCACGTATAATCCTTTCATGAATTATATTCACCATTTCATGTGTATATAACATTCGGTTAAAGTATTGCTTTCTTAAATAGATTATTGTTGATTACTTTTAACAATTGTCAGTATTGTATTACGTCCACAAATCAAGTCCACTTCTCTGTGTATACTATTTGACTCCCACGCTTTCAGGGGTCTGCATTACTTATCCATTTATACGAATGGACTCAGCCTATGTTACAAGCCTCATTTCTGGGATATTTATACAACATATACAAGGATAGGTTCATTTAAGCAATAATTCTCGGGTTGATACGTCTTTGCTATACATACATATCATATAGATATACATCACTTTACATCATGTTAAATCATTTTGGGGTATCCCTGCCTTTGGTCTTTCTGCTACATATCATACATAACGCTGTGTTAATTAGGCCATGACCTCATCCATGTCCCTTTCTATAAAACCAGTTACATTTCGGTACAGATCATTGAACTCCCACGCCAGGAGTTTTATAACTATCCATTTCATTTCAATTTACTCAGCCTACATTACAGGCCTCATTTCTCTGTCATGACGATGACACATAAGGCTTAAATCCTTTTGCATGCATACTCGGGTTGAATCACACGTACTGATCCAACCAATCATACGTCCCCTACACAGTCATATACATATGTATATAACCTACGTTTCATGTTTTCCTTTACACACCATTATCACGTAACACATAGATTGTTTGTACATAGGCCACGGCCTCCCTCAGATGTCTTATTCAAGCATGCAAACATTTCTGAGCCACTCATAGCTATTCCCATGGTATCAACATAATTTTATACATTGCTGCTACAGACTATAAGTCTGGTTCTTTTACACCCCACACTCATCGTACTACTCTCTTTTACCCATTTTTAGGCTGTCGAGCTTATATAATTGCTCCACACGGTTTATTCCTGTGATTTATCATACTACCAGGTACGTACACCTGCTCATATGGTATTCTACCATACATTTCATTTCATCCCCTAGTTTAGAGTACTGGCAATAGGGTCACAGGATTCCCAATAGGTATTTACCCCATCTTGGCTGTCGCCATTAGTTAGTGGTCCCGCAAGGCCAACACCCCGCCTCAAACGTTTCGGAGGCAAACACCCATCGGGCCACACGTTAGCTAGCCGCCTCGCATGTTGCAAAGAGAGGGCCTCACCTGTCACTCCCTTCCCCTGTTTTCTGTCGTACAGTCACCGAGAGGCCTAAAACTCCTGCCACTACGTCAAGTGGCCTCAATAACCCCTCGCGCCAACGCATAGATAGAGCCTCTCAAGCCGCTTGGCAATTAGTAGGGCCTCACCTGTCACCAAACAAGCATAATACTTTCGCCATCCGGCCTAGCTAGCCTGCCAGTACAATTTGGTGGTTCTATATACTAATTATTGTTTTATTTATAGTATGTCTCAGGAAGGGGTAGAGGATTTCTCCCTGCCTAGCACCCCGGCTAGAGCTGTCACTCCCACACAAGGAGGAGAGCTAGCTAGTCCAGCATCAATTAGATCCTGGACAATCCCGCGCATAACCACGGAATTAAGGAGACGACAAATCCCCTACCCCGCTACAGCAAGGAAGGCAGAACTTTTCAAACTGCTACGCACATCAACCAATAACATGGAAGCCGGGGAAGGATCTAGCCAGTCCAACCCAGGGGACATACATGCCATGTTATCCTCACTCATGGCATCCATGGGCAAGGTCAACTCCAGGCTGGAGAAACTTGAGTCGGTCACCACGGCCCTCACTCTAGCAGGGCCACCCGCGGCTGCGGTACAAACACCAGCCTTGCCATTAGTCGCTCCAGCCAGCCCCCTGGATGACCAGGAAGTTAGCCCGGCCCACATGATACCTGAGCATATCAAAAGGGATATCCTGGAAGGTAAAGACGTCAACCTGGCTTCCCTGTTGATTGCCTCCCAGGACATTGTGGAACATAAGACGTATGCTTATGATGATGTTTCTGTTATTGTCAGATCTAGGGATGCCCGCCTGAACAGGAAACTGACTATCCCTGAATTTGTACTAGCGTTTGGTATTTACAGGGATGTCGTCTGTGCGGTTTATCCCAACAGAAGAGAGGAGTTTGATCTCTATATGCACAAGCTGGTAGACCTGGGCAACAAATATGGTGGTTCAGCATTCTATGACTACCATAGGTCTTTTTCTGCAAAAGTGGCTGGAGCCTTCTCCCAGTACGGTACACGATCCAACTGGGGAAGGATTGATACCGTCTTATTCTGCAGACACTTTGCAGGTCTAAGAACACCAGCTTGTGCATACTGCTCCTCCACAGCCCATACTACTAATTTTTGTCCCAACACGGCAGACGGACATGCCTCCACACAAGGAACTAGTTCCTCTGGGGATCCAGGGAAACTATCCAAAGACAAATTGGGACGCCCAATCAAGTTTCTGGGCAAGTCCCAGATATGTAATAATTTCAATGTTGGGTCTTGTAATTACAGTGGATGTAGACTATTGCATGTCTGTTCAAAATGTTTTAGGGCACATGCTAAGACCATGTGTCCAAATAAAATGTATTCTAAGCCTTACCTTACGTCCATTAATATGCCAGTATTCACAGCATTGATGTCTCAGCACCCATCTAGACACCTGGTAGATTTTCTTATTTCTGGTTTAACAGAAGGCTTCCACACAGGTATCCTACACATACCAGCTGGCACTCTGGAATGCCCAAACCTACAATCCGCCCAACACAACCCCACAGTGGTTGACACCCTCATAAACCAAGAAGTGGAGGAGGGCTTTGTATTGGGGCCTTTTAGAACTCCCCCATTCACAGAATGGCGCACCAACCCTATTGGTATTGTCACAGGGAAATCTTCCCAAAAACAGAGACTCATCATTGACTTATCGGCTCCCCACTCATCGGCCAACCCCAGTCTTAATTCCCTCATACCCTCTGAGGAATTCTCTCTGCAATACACCACCATAGATCACGCCATTACAGCCATCATACAAGCAGGGGTGGGAGCCTGGCTCAGTAAGACCGACATTACTAACGCCTTCAAATTACTCCCTATCCACCCCACACTGTGGCACCTGCATGGCATCAAGTGGTCCGAGAACTACTATTTTTTCTCCCGGTTAACTTTTGGGTCCAAAAGTAGCCCAGCTATTTTCGACACATTTGCCGAAGCACTATGCTGGTTACTATTGAACATAGCCGGATGCCCTACAGTATTACATTACTTGGACGATTTCCTACTGGTCGAGGAGAATACTGCACCTCCCACTAGCCTCAAAGCTACCACTAAGCTGTTTGAGCAACTAGGTGTACCCATCTCCCCAAAGAAAACAGAAGGGCCAGACACGGTTATCACTTTTCTGGGTATCCAGTTAGACTCTGCCACAATGCAAGCAAGCCTACCTTACGAAAAGATAGACAATATTCTCACTTACATAAACAACTACCTACAGCTCGGCACTTGCAACCGCAAAGAACTACAGTCCCTGCTGGGGTCACTAAATTTTGCAATGCGCATCATACCTCAAGGCCGCTCCTTTATTTCACGACTATTGCATCTTTTCCCACTTTTTCTACATGACACGCACAGGTTGTCCTTAGATGCCCAAGCTACGGCAGATCTAAACATGTGGAAGAGGTTTTTAACCACTTGGAATGGTAAAAGTATGTTCCTCCCTCAATTGACTGAATCATCTCCTACCATTTGGTCAGATGCGGCATCTACCACTGGTTTTGCAGCAATTTTTGGGAACGAATGGCTTTGGGGCAGCTGGCCTTCAGCAGTTCTGGATTTGGAAGGTTTTTCCACTACCTCAGCTCTTTTTGAGATCTACCCCATAGTGGCGGCTGCCGTAGCGTGGGGTCATTTATGGGCTAATACGCCAGTGCGTTGTTACTCAGACAACCAGGCACCTGTCACATCATCAACAAAGGTCGTTCCAAATCTCTTACGATTATGAGATTTCTGAGGAAACTCACTTGGTTGGCAGCTTGTCATAATTTCTTCCTATGTTGTTTCCATGTGCCAGGTGTATACAACACAGCTGCTGACAGTTTGTCTCGCTTTAAATTTCAGGAGTTTCATCAAGCACTCCCGTCAGCAGCACCCACAGCCACCATCACTCCAACATTTCAACAACTCATACTGGACTAGACGTCATCATGCAGCATAGCAGGACATTGTCTCAGTTGGCACTTTCACACAATACAAACAAAACATACAACAGGGCTTTCACACTATTCAAACGATTCCTTCTGGAACATAACATCATACAACCGTTTGTTATGACATCTTTTTTGGGGTTTGCTTCCTTTTGCCACCTTAAACTCAAATTGTCATATAACACCATCAAACTCTATCTCACTGGCATTCAACACCACATGCTCATCTTACACCCAAATAACAACAGTTTCATGGCCTCTCACCAAATTAAGACCATACTCAGAGGTATTCAAAAATCAGAACCCATACATTTGGCCCAGAGGCTACCCATAGATAACCATATCTTCAAAGCTTTATCTAACCTACTCGACCTGAAACCGTTTGACACTAATACGAATTCTATCATCAAAACAGCAATATACATCGCTTTCTATGGATTTCTACGACCCAGAGAATTCACTACGACCTCCACGACCCAAACCACTCCATTCCTCCTCTATTCCCACTTGACAAACATATGGATCATTACATCCTGTCTTTACCTCACTCCAAAACCAGCCAGCACATACCTGTAAACATTCCGTACTACCCCACGCACAACAGATGGTGTCCCGTAAAAGTTCTTGATGCCTACATACAGCACCATCACTTACTGCCCTCGCAACCGTTATTACAACTACAAGGTGCAGTACTCACCACTACAACCTTCATGACCTACGTCAGGTCCTTGCTCACACAACTGGGCCTCAACGCTAACAATTACTCAGGACACTCCTTTCGTATAGGAGCCGCGTCCACAGCCTCCAGTTTCAACATCCCAACTCATGTTATCAAAACACTGGGGCGCTGGAAGTCATCCGCTTACTCACGGTACATACCGAACCCAGTACAAGAGTTAAGAGATGCTTTCATAAACATGTCTGGTTGATAAATGTATATGTATTGGTGGTCTGTTAATAAATTGGATTACTTAATTTTTGCCCTCTTCTTTCTCAGGCCTACCTCATCGTCGGTTTCGGCACACCACAACCGACTTGCTCCTTTTATCATCCTACGCTTATTCATGGTATTTCACACTGTACTATCTTAAGCACCTAACACAAGTATTAAGGCAATTTGCCTGCATTTGTGGGAGGTGCTGGTTTTCTACCCCTAGCCTACTTAAGGCACTCCCCTTGCCTGGCTCCTTACCGTTCGAGGTCAGCGTTGAATGACCCTCCCACCACACCACTTTTAAAATTTATTTTCCTTTCTATTTCTTTTCCTGGGTGGGCCCTCTTCTTTCTCAGGCCTACCTCATCGTCGGTTTCGGCACACCACAACCGACTTGCTCCTTTTATCATCCTACGCTTATTCATGGTATTTCACACTGTACTATCTTAAGCACCTAACACAAATATATATATATATATATATATATATATATATATATATAAATCCAGTATGCCTGCACTCCAGGTATAGATGAGATTGATGCCCGGTGCAAATCCAGCAAAACTTGTAGATATCCAGAAAAATGGAATGCACTCCAGGGTCTTTTGATTGTATAAATCAAATATAACTTTTAATTCATAAATAAAATAAAAGAATATACAAGATGTATATTATTTTATTTTATATATGAATTAAATGTTATATTTGAGTTATACAATCAAAGGACACTGGAGTGCATTCCATTTTTATGGATAGATATATATATATATATTTTATTCTTTTTTTTTTTTAAATTTATTTAAGTATATTAATATACACCTCCTGGCCAAAAAAAAAGTCACCACCTGGATTTAACTAAGCAAATAGGTAAGAGCCTCCTATTGGATAGTTACTGCATGGGTGATTAACTTTCAGCTGGCAACAAGTTATTTAACCCTAACTGATGCAATGAGTAGCTTCTCATTTCTTAAATAACCATGTCGAAAGACATCCCTTGGTCAGGGCCGTCTTTAAGGAGGGGCAAAAGGGGCAGCTGCCCCGGGCCCAGTTACTCCTGGGGGCCCTAAGGCAGCTGCCCCATGGGCCACCTGAGGTAATCAGGGGCCACAGCCCTTTAATACTGCTCTGGACTGGCCCGGGCCCCTGTTATATGGGGGGTGGCTGACTACATACTCACAGCTAGCCCCCTCACATACTGCCCTGTGAGTCTCTTTGTTTCCTGGGCATGCTGGGAGGAAGTGAGGTCAGATTGCTTCCTCCCAGTAAGAACTGATCACTTCCTCCTCAGTGCCGCTGGGGAGGAGGCACACACCACATGGAGGAGGATGCAAGCATTGTGGGGGAGAGGGACTGAGAAAGCTGATGGCAGACTCCCATCAGCCTGGGCCAGCAAGCTCCCACTGGACCCCAGGGAAACCACCTTTCTGTACCCAAAAGGTAAGGAGACAGGAGGGTGGCTAAATATGTTTTGTTTTTTGTTTTGCTAATTTCTGATATCACTTTTATTTAAGTGTGTTGGTGCTTGTAATGTAACACACAGGGAATAAGTACGTGTTAAAAATCCTAGAAGAACCTGACAGTTCCCTATTAAATATAAATTTAAAAAGTATTTATTTTAACATATTGCATCAAGTGTTATCAAAGGCTGTACACCATTTTCAAATGTCACTTTTGCCAAATTCTGGACCAGGGTATGTAAGAACAGAGTTGAGACATTATATTGGCCAAGGTTGCTGGGAGTTGCTGTCCAAGAGCTGCTAGAAGGCAGAGATTAAAATATGTAAATGTACACATATATATATGTGTGTATCTGGCTGTGTTTATGTCCTTGTGTGTATCTGGCTGTGTTTGTCTGTGTGTCAGTGTTTCTGTGTGTATGTATACCTCATACACCTGTATGTGCACCTGTGTGTGTGTTTCAGTGTGTGTGTAAGTGTGCATCTGAGTGTGTGGTAATGCATACATCCCAGCATTTTAATGCCAACACAAATACACTCCTACATTCCATCTCTAGCACTGTACACATATACACCCCTGCATTTATACCTTTATGTATGTGTGTATCTGAGTGTGTGTGTATATACCTGTGTCAGTGTGTGTGTATGTGCCAGTGTGTGTATATCAAAGTGCTTGTATCTGTGTGTCAAAGGGTGTGTATCTGAGTGTGTGTGTATGTGTATGTGTCAAGGTGTGAGCATGTGTCAGTGTGAGCATGTGTGTATCTGCGTGTTAATGTGTATGTGTATATGTGTTATAGAAATCACACAACATGCAAACAGACCCCTGCAAACACAAACATTACAAACACACCAGTTTGCTGAAACACTAATACTACACACAAATGTACACATGTATTTAAAAGACAACACTACATCCAAACACCCCCCTGCATGCAAATACAAACATTACATGCAAACACATTCCTGTATTAAAACGCTAAAATTATATACAAACACCAACTCTACACACAAAAGTACACCTGCATTTAAAAGCCAACACTACAAACAATCACACATCCCTGCATTAAAATGCAAACACTACACACAAGTACACCACTGCATTCCAATGGTAACAGTACATACAAATACACCCCTACATGCACACATACACTCTATACAATAACATGCTGACATTCATTTGCACAAACACTGCTCAAAAATACAACCCTGCAAGGATGGTAGATCCCCAGCTGGCATAGCATCGCAGGAGTTGTATGACAGATGGGGATCTATCTTTTCTTTACTCTTGTGCTACAGGGCAGGCCTGAATTTTTTTTTGTTGCACCAAGGCACTCTCTACATTAGTTTCGCCTCTAGGTTGGGGTGGAGGGAGTGATTGCATGCCCAGGGGGCCCAAACAGATGCTTGCCCAGGGTCCAATCAATATTAAAGATGGCCCTGCCCTTGGTCGTGAAAAAGATGTTAGTTTGATTGAGAAAGGTAAAATCAGTGGCATGCATCAAGCAGAGAAAACATCTCAGGAGATTGCAGAAACTACTAAAATTAGTTAAGAACTGTCCAACGCATTATTAAAAACTGAAAGGATAGTGGGGAACCACCAGTGATGGGGACATCAGGGTAAGAAAAGAGGCCGATGTAGTGATGCACCCATCATGCCTAGTGCCTACTGTACAAGCCTGTGGGGGCAGTGCTATGATCTGGGGTTGCTGCAGTTGGTCAGGTCTAGGTTCAGCAACATTATGTGCCCAAAGAATGAGGTCATCTGACTACCTGAATATACTGAATGACCAGCTTATTCCATCAATGGATTTTTTCTTCCCTGTTGGCATGGGCATATTCCAAGATGACAATGCCAGGATTCATCAGGCTCAAAATATGAAAGAGTGGTTCAGGGAGCATGAGACATAATTTTTCACACATGGATTGGCCACCACAGAGTTTAGACCTTAACCCCATTGAGAATCTTTGGGAAGTGCTGGGGAAGGCTTTGCCCAGTGGTCCGACTCTCCCATCATCAATACAAGATCTTGGTGAAAAATTAATGCACTGGATGGAAATAAATCTTGTGACATTGCAGAAGCTTCTTAAAACAACGCCACAGTGAATGCGTGCCGTAATCAAAGCTGAAGGCAGTCCAACTAAATATTAGTGTGTGACCTTTTTTTTTGGTGGTGACTATTTAGTTGGCCAAGCAGTGTAGTATATAATATATTATATACTTACATTATTAATTTACAAATTTCAATACACACATGTCCTTTGATTCTCAGCTTTCAAGAAGCTTGACACAAACCAAACCAGGCTCCTCAGTGTGCCTGCTGTCAGCATCTTGCTTGGGATAATGCTATTGTCAAACTTATATTTCCCCATTTATCAATTTTGTTAGCTCAGCCAGTGAATTCTATCAAAATATGGATGGAATGGATATTGTAATATGGTTTTTCGCAATAGTAATATGCTAAAGTTCTAAGCCACATGCTCAGGGGACCTTCGGTTTGTATCAAACCACTCAAAAGCTTAGCTGAAGTGTTTGATGCTCTCTGTCTAATGGCGCTAAATATCGTGAACCAATACCCACATCATCCCACCCAAATGAGCAAGAGAGCTAACTATGTACAAAGCAAGATCTGTGGCAAAAAATGGCTTGCAAACCCTTAAAACAAAGCACTACATCACAACAAACAAAATTTTGCTTCACCGATCGAAAGCCAATATGGTGGACGGAGCAGATTGCAACGGCATCCACATCATCAACACCATGCCTCTCTACTGCAGCTCACTGAGGAACACCAGCACCAGCTGAAATGAGGTTACTGCTACAGGAATTCAGTCAATACATTAAAAATGACATAAAGGGCCTAGTTGATTCCCTGAAGAGGGAATTACTGGAACTGGGAGGAAAGACAAAACATGTAATCTGGAGGGATGTGTGGATGATAGTGGCCCACCATAATAATCTTGCAGATCAGCATGAAGTAAAACAACTAAAACTTATAGATACTGAGGACAGATCGTGCCACAATAATCTTCGGATCAGTGGAATATCTGAAGACATCAAGGCAGAAATGTGAATTTTTATCCACATTATTACCTGAGAATAATAGGGGAACCATAGTACTTGATCACCTACCAATATCTCCCAGACAACCCACGTACACCCCTATGGACAAGATCACAGCAGTCCTCTTCTATAAAATAAAAACAATTAAAGTGGAAAAAGCCATGGCATCATGAAACTATGCTGAGAAATATTAACATCTTAACATTTTTGCAAACCTATCTCACAATACAACTTGGAAGATAATTCTAAAATTGAGGCAATTAAATATACATTGCGTTGAGGCAACAAAATATACATTGTAAAACGAGTTGCCCAGTAACATTAGTTATAACCAGAAACAGCATAACATTTGCAGCCAACTCACCCGGGAAAGACTCAGACTCCAGCTACAATGAAACATCCAACATAAAGAACTCTGTGCAACATCATCTTTGCAATCAAAATTTCCAAGGATGTAGCCAGACTGGAAAGCAGCAGGATCAGCACAAGCAACAGTACCCATTATTATGCTGAAAAGATAGGACCCACATTAACAGTGGGGAACCCCTGGAAAAGCAATCATAGAAAATGCACCATGCAGCAACATCCAGAGACTGTAATGGACTGCCCTACTGAAACAATCTCTCAAACTTGGAATGGTAAGATATCCATAACAAAGTTATCACGAACGATTGTAAACACTCACATTGTTCCATTAAAAAAAATCATCACATTTACCCTTCAGCCCGTCTCTCCCAGCCCAAGCATCTCTTCCAGTGGCCCAGGAGTTATCACAAACCAGCAGAAAAGTCATAGAGGCAGGCTGTGCTTGACCGGGAGGAACACACAAAGCCTCTGGAATTCTTGATCAGATCACAGAGTTGCCATGGTTCATAAAACTTTGTGAAGGGTGTTCTCGGTCTCAGAGTCACCATGACAGCGCTATTTGGAGGGGTGATGGAGGAGGTGGTGAGGCATTGAACGATACCAAGGACTTGAGGGAGCTACATGTACAGACCGAAAGCGCCATCATTTCAGGTGACCGAGATTTCCTATCAAGTGCTGTGGAACTCTGGGCCGGATCACTTGATGGTCACAGCCTGGACAAAGCTGTACTTCCAGCTACCTTGGATAGACTCCTCAGATCAGAGTGTTTTTTGGACAGAGTGGGCACTCAAGAGAGCTTATCGGGGATGGCATTTGTTTGGAGATGTGGGCACGGGAACCCTAGTTTTATTATAAAAATGTTTATAAGCGCAGAGGTGTCGTTAATTAAATTACCTTGTCAGACACAGACACGTAGGTGTTGGATGTTGTGTAACACCTTGTGTTATAAAAGAGTGTCACTTGTCCCAATAAACCAGTTCTTCTTCACCCTGCACTAAGTCTCGGCTAGTGTTTGGGTGGAATAGCGATATTGGCTGTAATCTCTAAGCTATATTAATTCTGGCTATATTCACAGGGAGAAAAGGAGACCTTGGCCAATACAAACCATTGTCTGGAAATCTATTCATACACAGGACTATACATAGAATACAGGGTCACATATTTGGATTGGAAAAAGGAGTTTTAGTCTAAGACAAAGGAAAGGTTTTTACAGTAAGAACACTAAGGATGTGGAATTCTCTGCCTGAATAGGTGGTTTTATCATATTCTGTACAGATGTTTAAAGCTACTGGATGAATACATACAAAAACAAAATATTCAGAGATATCATTTTAAATTTTTGGATTAATAACGTCTTGATCCAAGCAAAACTGCCATTCTGGGGTCAAGAAGAGACTTTTTCCTAGTTTGTTGCAAAATTTTAAGCACATCAGATGTGTTTATTTTTATTTTTATTTGGATCAACAGAAAAAACAGATTTGAGAAAGGCTGAACTTGATGGAGGCATGTCTCTTGTCAGCTATGTAACTTTGTAACAAAATCTATTATACCAATGCCACACAATGCCAACCCAGGTGTTCGACAAGACTCTGAAATCGATTCAAGCAGGGATCAATAAATGTATAAATGCCAAAAACGGCAGGCGTTTTTCTAGGGGTACTTTATACAAAAGCAGGGTGGAGGAGGGGGAACGGCAGTTCCCTGTATAAAAACCTATTACCAAGCCTTATTATTGGCCCACAGCTTGCTCTTCTTTGCTCCAGAAGCACAGATCCAATGGGTAGATATTGAGGAGTCTATTTTAACATATGGCAGGATCCAGTCGATGCTATTGACTCCACCATCACAGAGCTTATCAATGTCTCTTCTTGGGATAGACCAAGTATTGGTTCTCCTAATTATTAGATGCGATATTCATCATTTTACCGATAATCGGTATTTACCAATATTACCTATAACTTACTCACCTCTCCCAGTCACCACACACTGTCTTCTGCACCTGGAAACTCTAGCCGCCAGCCAATAAGGCACCATTTTGTGACTTCATGTCACTCCTTTTTGTGAGTCCATACATAATGCGAAGCTCAGTTTAGGGCAGGGAGGTGATACAGTGAATAATTTACTGTAATGTACTCGACTGGCTGACAGAGTGATATGAGTGTGATTGTTGTCAGCATGTTAGTTAATGCCAGATTTGTGTAGAAATTGTGTTACTTTTTCAAAATAGTTATCAGCAATCGGCCTAAAAGGCGACTGATAATCAATATCGGCCACGGCTCTGGAAAAATTATATTGGTCAATCCCTATTCTCTTTGAATGCCAACCTCCAGACTCTCAATTCAAATGTAGGACAAAATGAGTAGAGCTCTACTGGCATTGACTAACTTAAAAGATCACACATCACTAGCATATTTTGACCAATCTCTGGTTTATCTTTTAAAACTTAGGGTCAATAAGGCCTAACAATACTGGGCCACATACACATAAAACACACTGGAAACATTCCAGGAGATTTGTGATACAACTGTGTTACTGCAAAGAGAACTCAGCTCGTTCCTAAATGCAAACTCACCTACAGGGAATGTAGCTAAACAAGATATAGGACCATTATATAATCTAATAACCAAACATGTTTAGGCAAAAAAAGCTTCTCCATATGCTCCATGTACAGACTCACACACGCAGAAAACTCGGAGGTATGCTCTTACAACGCCAAATGGGCAGCAGACTTGCAGACTGATATCTCAGAGACAGAATGGTCCCTACCATTCAAATTGGTAAAGGGGTTTACCAAAAGTATGTCACATGTAGAACTTTTATATAAACTACTGTTGAGGTGGTATCTTGTTCCCACAAAACAAGTCCTGACTGCTACTCAAATGATAGCGAAACAAACGAAAGGAAGGAATGTCACACAGGCGTCAACAAACACTAAATGCTTAGAATGGGACGCCTTAATGGGAGGAAGAACATGACAAATAGGAACTTGAACTTCTAACAATCAAAGCGGACACAGAAGTAATGGATGGCACCAGGGAATTGCTGGTACTGTAACCTCAACAAGGGACTTAAGTGGTCATGGTGAATAACATGTTATTTTTTACTCTTCATAATTGGCTTCATGGGACTTTTCAGGCACCCACATTATATGTCTGATACAAGGTGTTAGTTACAGTTAGTTTTGCTGGGTGTGATTCATTATTTTGCTCCCTAAGTCCACCCTCTATGACTCTCCCTTCCAAACTGTCATACTTCCCAACATTGGAATGTTTGGAATTGAAGTGGGTGTGCCATTTGCTGAAAACAAAACAGGGATAATATGTCTCAGCTCTCTTTCAATGGATTAACTGTGTCATAGAATATAATCCGAGAGCTTGTTAAATGTTCTTGAAAAACTCTGCTTAGAAATAAACTTACTTGTATGTTAAAACATTAATTCCCTTAAAGATATAATGTTTTGCCTACTGTTAAAATGAACATTAGGTGGCTATGTTTAATCACCACAATTTTTAAAACTATCTTTTTCTTCTTGTATTGGTTTAAAATGTAAATGAAAAAATTAATTAGCTTTCCATGCATGTAGTTGTTTGAAAGAAAGGAAGGAAACTGCGCTCTAAATTAATTTTACATACATACACTTGATGTCCCTTAGTTGGTATGAGTAATATATCCTCAAAAAGAACACAAAAAGGGAAATATAATAGTGCAATATGCTATAACAAGTTTGAAACGGAAATGATGTGTAAAACAGAGGTATTTTAAACTCACATTTGGTAGAGCTAATCAGGAGCTCTACCTTAACTTGCACGGACGGTACAATCCCCGTCTCAGGATAGAAGGTTCGACTTTTCAATACTCCATTGGTGTAGTGGCATAGACAAAATGGAAACAGAGAAGAGAAACTCCAATAGTGTAGCAATTCTGATTCCAAATATAGAAAAAATAAATAAAAGTTGTTGTACTCACATTTATAGAAAAAATAAATAAAAGTTGTTTGCATTAACAGAAGGAACACTAATTTATGTTTCTAAAAAAAACAGCCAGGAAATCATGGGAGTTGTAGTTCAGCCACATCTGGGGGGCTGCAGGTTGGACAGCCCTGGCATACACTTAGCTATAAAGGTCTCACAACTGAATCTGAGCAAGAAAACAAGCCACGAGGTCAAAGGAACTGCTTCCAAAGCTTAGAGACAGAATTGTGTCCAGACACAGATCTGGAAAGGCTACAAAAAATGTTGGCTGCGTTGAAGGTTCACAAGAGTGCAGTGCCCACCATAATTCCTAAATGGAAGAAGTTTGGAACAACCTGGGAATGATCAAGGGATAAGGGCTTTGGTAAGAGAGGTGACCAAGAGCCCAAGATCACTCTGGGTAAACTCAAGAGATAGAAGAAACTTATGGAAGGAAAACCATCACTGCAACGATCCGCCGATCAGGCCTCTATGGCACACTAGCCAGCACTCTCATACTATGAGACACAAGATTCCCTGGTCTGAAACAAAGATTGCACTGTTTGGCCTTAATTTAAAGCACTTCTTATCACCTGCACAATACCATTACAAATTACATCATGGTTTGTGGTGTTTTTCAGCGACATGGACTGGGACACTGGTCAGGATGAGGGGAAGATGAACACAGCAAAATACATAAATATCCTTAATGAAAACCAGTGCCAGAGTGTTTAAGCTTTTGTTCTGCCATAGGTGGATTCAAACTTGCTCTGCTCAGTATTTCAGTACCGCCTACTATCCCCTGTCAAATTACCTGATCTCACTTGAATCTCATCTATTCATCAGCTGGTCTGAGAACTTCTTCCTGCTTTTGACTTTGCCATATATGGCTGTTTTTAGTGTTAAAGCGGCACTGTCACCTCCATTCCGCTCACCACCTTACCCGCAAAATGAATATTTCATAAAGACAAAATCTTCACTGAAATTCCAACCCAGTCAAAAGATACAGGTATATTGAGACAATGTATGGACTTCTTTGTCTCGGTATTTTTCCTACGTCTGACACGTCTAGACACTGGGTGAAGCTACCACCGCTGCAGGAAATTGCCTCTGTCTATGGAGGATCCCGCAATCGTGCGGTACCAGCCATAAATCAAAAGAGAGTACGTGTGAGAGTACAATAGTGACGTTGGCTCATGGCGCAGAAGCACCAGGAGCAGAAGAGGACTGGACGAAAGAAGATGGTGGCTCTCATGAATGACAGGTTCAGGTCAGTTAAACCTTTGCCTTCCTGTCTCCAGCTACCGAACCCTAGCTGCTATGTGTCCGTCAACGATCTTTGGAAACTATGTAAAATCCCCAGATGGTGACAGTGCTGCTTTAAGCTGCCTGCACTAGCAACTATATTGTTTTCTGTTAACCATACTTCTATTAAGTTGTGTCCAGCTAGCTCAAGCTGCTGAAATGCTTTTGGAGTCTTCATTTGGTGCATTTTACGGTCCACTCTGCTTTTATGTAACAAATTCATTTTTATGTCATTCGAAGAGAGATGGAGATATTTATTCCCAAAGTGACAAAGCCAGCATTACAATGAGGACATATTATACTATTATAATTTTTTCCTCCAGATATGATATCAAATTTTAAAGGAACTGTTTTTAATGACTTTTCTGCTTCTTGAAGCACTAATTTTACTACATAATTTCTTGTACCTATTTTAAAGCACTATACACTTTGTTCTTTACTGTATGTGTGTAGACCAGTTTATTACAATGCTCAAATAATTATTTTGGGTTGCCTGACAGCCACATATGGCTAAATATTACTGTGCCCTAGTGAGCACACGAAGAATTATTTAAATGCTTTTCTTTTTTTCAGCTTACATGAAGCTTCCACACAAATCCAGGAAGAGTTTTTTCCACTCATTACCCCAGTATGGTGCACTGCAATCTAGCACAATAAACATTAATCAGGCGGTTGTGTTTGGATCACAGTACAGATTTGTCATGTAAATGAAAGTGCACATACGGTGCTTATGGTGAAATCCTATATGTGTAAATGTAAGGATGATATGAGGGATTGGAGATGACATTATAAATCCTTCATATCATCCTATCATATGAACATTTATATTATGGTATTTACAACAGTGATGTCTTCAGACCATTTGCTTTGTAGAACTAACACAGAGAATTAGTGTAGATGTAGAACATGGCTGAGATAATATTTAATGTATTATAATTATGTAGGACCAGAACCCTTATTATGGTGTTGTACACATCCACAGTCATTTGAAAAGAAACAGTACAATGCCTTCATTTATTTTCTTAATTAGCCATTGTCATGGTTGGCATGATTTTTGTAACTCTTGGGTAAAGAGAGAATAAACCAATGTGTGAAAGAGAATGTGCTGACCCAGCAGAGAAAGGCTAAGCACTATGTTGTGCCTTTCTTCTCATTTTTCCAAGCAGATCCACCCCTGTTGTGTTTTTGTATTTATATTGGAAAATTGATGAAGTCTTTGGGGTAGAGTTTTTCTGCACAATGACAGTTTGATTCCAATTTTTTACTTGTACTGTTTCATTCATACAGGGTATATCACTGTATAGATTCAATAGTTAAATACAAGCATCACATAGCACGAGCAAAGGAAGAGGTTTTTCTTTTATTTGTAAGCCAAGTCACATTTTCCAAGCTCAAATGTTTTTTTTAATCTGTTTTTTTATCTTCCAACTTTGGTGGCTGAAGAATGCATTGATCACTCCAGTGTTTTGCAGTGGTCATGGTGCAAGTAGTTTGTATGAGCACCGTTTAATTATGAAACTCTGCATGTACAGAGATATTCAGGCTACTCCATCTCTGGCAGAACATTAGCCAGCCTGGAATTAGAGTACTGGGCAGACTAATGTCAATTATGTGCATATTCTATGTACAGATATTTATTCATTGGAGAGCACTCAGTTGACACTTTCAGCCAATAAATGACCAACAGGATCACTTCTGCAATTCCCCTGAAGGCAGGCTAAGCACCCAGCAAGACCCAGGCAAAAGGCAAACTGTAGCGAAACAGTTTGCCCATTTGCTGGGGAATAGCAATAGGATACTCCTCGCATCATAACAAGTACTGTAGTAGTTATGATGCTTGGATTAACCTCGTAAGAAAGTGTTATACATTAAAGTGTCAATTAGCTCAAATATAATATATGCATAAACTGGAGTGGCACTCGCTAAAATTTCCATATGTAGTACCCTCAGACCAGCGTAAGACTGTATCAGGATTGTTCAACAAAGTGGGAATTCATGGTAAATTCAAGTTTAACATAAAATAGTCATTTTGCAAACATTTTCTAAGTTAGCTATGCTTTCATTCCAGCTATTCTAGCCTCAAATTTAAAATCCACTTTAAATTCTCACTTTAGTAAATAACTAATTAAACTTGTTAAACAATGGGTTAAACTTGTGAATACAGCGGTATTAATGTCTGACTATCATCTTCTAAATAAATACAAGTAGGGATGTGCATGGGCAAATAATTTGGTTTGGTTCGGTTATTTGGGTAAGAAAAATAATTTGGCACTTCGGCAATTCAGCACTTCAGCAATTCAGTTTGGTTCAGCACTTCCGAAATTCGGGACTTTGGCAATTCAGGACTTCAGCATCTGTAGGGCTCCCTTACCCCCTTACCCTACCCCACCCTAACCCTAACCCTACTCCTAACCTTAACCCTATCCCTTACCCTACCCATACCCCTAACCTTACCCTTAACCCTACCCCTAACCTTAACCCTACTCCTAACCCTACCCCTGTCATCATTCACGTAAGTTTACCTCCCTCTCTTGTTATGCCACTTTTCAGAAATTCGAAGTACTTTGGCACTTCAGTAATTCGGCACTTCTGCAAATCGGTTCGGTTCAGCACTTCGGAAATTCGTCACTTCAGAAATTCGGCAATTCATCACTTTGGACATTCGGAAACATCCGAATGTCAGAATTTACTGAAATTAGGCGAAATTCAAACGAATTGCACATGTCTAAATTCAAGTTATTTGTTTAAGAGCTTTTGGGAGTCGACAGTGATTATTAAAGCTTTATCTTTGTAGTCGCAGGTCTACCAAACTACATCTCTTTTCACATCCTGAATATTAGGAATAAATACTAGTATTAGGGTACCCCAGTAGCCAGAATGGCACAAAAAAAAGTGTATAATAATAGATTCATAAATACTTTTACTGTCGAAGCTGTGTGTCTTCAAAGGATTAAATTGTTTCCAAGTATTCAGATACACAAATTTGTTATTATAGTGACTCCACTACAGTTTGCCTTGGGCTATTATATCACATAAAAGCAGCAGCATTATAGTACTTAGTCAGTTTGCTGCACTGCGCAGTACCAAAACACTTACAGTACTGTACTAGAAGATTAAAGCAAATGGACGTCTAAAAAAATAAAACAGCATATGCTAGCTAGTGTAAAATTTGATTTTGTCTATAAATTTTCAAACAATTCTATGTGTGTCTATAGATGAAATGTATTGTCTCCAAAATACAACTCTTGCATTTATTCGAGATTGGGGTATTTTTAGAGTGATATCAGCACATACACAACTACTTAATTTTGCTAATTTGGAATTTTTGCAAACAACCAGTACAGTGTATCATTTTAATCAATTTATAAACATTTACATTTATGAGACTGCCATATTCATATAATTGAGGATGAAGAGCAGAAGAACAAAGGCGCCAAAGCCCTGTGCATGCACAAGGGTTAAACAGCTGTTGACCACTCACAGAAAGCTGCCTGCTGTTTTTATTCATCTAATCCTTCTGATCATTAGGAAGCTTCTCTGGTTAATCCCACTGCCCTGCAAAGACACCCACACATGCTGTACGGCTCCAGATGTTTAGAACACACGTGCACCATTAAAACCATCCAAAAAGATCTTCATATAACCCTTCGTAATGGTTATTCCAGACAAAACATAACCACAGCTAAGGGATTTACTATTTATTGCTTTACTTCACAAATTTGTGACATATCATACATGGTCCGGACATTGCCTCTTCTTCTTTTGAGCTACTACTTCTCTTATCTCTATATGAATAAGTGAACCTGTATTGAAAATATGAACTCACCTTAAATCGCTCCCATATAGATTGAATACACCATATATCACAAAGATCCATGATGTATTCAATTTTAAATATGGAGATTTACTCACCTCTCCTCCAACAGGAGGTCTTTATTTCTCTGATTGCCAGTCGATGTCTTGGCGTTGTGTGTTTGCTGAGACAATGACTGAGAGCTGGGAGAAAAAACTATTTTTAAATAGTTTTTTTTCCTAAACTGTACATTTGCTATAAAAACTGCTATCACAATGTAAAGGCAGAATATTTTGCTTGTTCAAAAGAGCATAAATTAAAATAGGATTAAATGTATTCTTTAATTATTTAATTATTTTTTTTTTGTTTTAAATGTTGTATTTGTTGTGAGTTATTTCAATGTAAAAATTCACAAAAACAAGATAGCAAGATGTATATTCCCCATAACAGTTAATATACATGAAGAAGAATGTAAATATGGCTGGAAATAAGTTCATTTTGCTATTTGTTTTATTTATTGTTTCAAGGCAAGGACAAAGCTAGATGAGTAACAACAAAAAAAAAAAAAAAAAAGAGATGCACTGTCACTCTGTAAGGGTTTCCAAACAAAAGTCCACCAGGACCACAGCAATTAGGTAGCCAGTCCCAGTGAGTATGGTCAGGGCCGGATTAAGAGCCCAGTGGGCCTGGTGCTGACAACTATGAGGGGCCTAAGTACAGAATCTTATCGACCAAAAACACTGAAACAGACATACCTCTCAAGCATTATGTATCTCGTGGAGATGTTGCCGGAGGGAAACTCATAGGATGCAGCTATAAAAAAAAAACTCAGATTCTCTTAAAATATGCTAATCTCTCTCTAAATTATGCTTTCATCTTTCAAGTAAATCTATACTCCCTAACAGCAGTGTCCAGTAAAGCAGTAAGTCAATGGGCAGTGTAAAAGGGTGGGCCAGTGACGCGGATCATGTAACCAGAACTTCTGAAAGAGCCGAACATGCCCAAAAAGGAGGCGTGTCTGCCCAAAGAATTGGAAGGCTAGTCTAGCATGAATGCATGCCAGGCTGCCTGCCAATCATGCATGCTGGCCAACAGCTTCCTGAGCTTGGCATAAATGCATCTAATGATGCGCTAGCTCTATGCTTTCTAAGGACTGTCCCCTAGTACTCGCAGGTCCACTTCTATCCTAACCTACTTACTAGAAGGAAGAAGCTCCTGGTATACAGTCTGAGACAGAGAAAAGGTGGATGTAGTGAGTGTAGAAGAAAGGGAACATGGCACAGTGTTAGAGAGACCAAAGTCGGCATTACCTTAACTAATTTCATTTCAGCTAGTCCACACAAGTTTTGTTCCTCTGTATTCCTCTTAAGTTTCCATACTTAAGCAAGAGTATGTAAAGAGTAATTAGGGTTGCCACCTTTCTTGGAAAAAAATTACAGGCCTTACTAATTTGCATAACTAATTATGTATGCGTGACATTACATGATGTAAATCACAAGGAGTGACAGAGAAAATTCTGTGAAACCACCAAAAAACTACTTAGTTTGATTCTGCTGTATAGATGGATTGCTCCCAGTGTCTCCCTGCCTCCCATTGTCCCCATGTCGCCCAGTGTCACCTAGTGTCATGAGGGGACACTGTGAGACACGGGGACACTGAGACTATGCATTACAATGTCTCTATATCCCCATGTCTCTGTGTCCCCATGTCTCCCAGGGACACTGGGAGACATGGGGACACTGAGACACTAGGGATACTGGGAAACTAGGGTACTGGGAGACTAGGGACACTGGGAGACATGGACATACAGACACTAGAAACACTGGAAGACATGGGAACACTGAGAATCTAGGGACACTAGGAGACATGGGGACACAGACACCAGGGACACTGGCTTGGAGACATGGGGACAATGAGACATTTGGGGACATTGTGTTCCTAGTGTCTGTGTCCCCATGTCTCCCAGTGTCTCAGTGTTCCCATGTGTGTCTGTTTCCCCATGTCTCAGTGTCCCCATGTGTGTCTTTGTCCCCATGTCTCTAAGTGTCCCCAAGTGTCTCAGCATCCCCAGAGGTCTCAATGTGTCCCCATGTCTCATAGTGTTCCCTAGTGTCTTAGTGTCCCCACGTCTCCCTGCAGCCTTTATCCCATCCCTCACATTTCTGAGCTGTAGGCTGTCTCTGCAGGCTGGGAGCTGCTGTCTGGACTCTTTGTGCTGTGTAGCTGCTCCCCCGCGGATCAGGGATGCTTTACAGCAGTATGTTCCTGCAAGCATTTTAATGTAAATACGGCCTTTACAGATGGCCACTAGAGGTGCTTCCTGAGTCAGTACGTTCAGTGTCTCCACTCTCCATGGAGATGCTGAACGCTGCCATTAGAGATGCATGATGAGATAATGATTGGCGCAGACCGTGTGTTTTGTCGCGCATGCACAATAGCCTCTGAAAACATTGGATTGGCTGAGATCATCGAGGAGGTGGAGAGTGGGCTGGGCCAGCCACAGCCCGCTGGATTAAGGTGAGTAAATCAACTTTTTAATCGTAGGTAAGCGGGGGCTGGGGCTTAAACAGCTATTTAGACCTACAGTGTCAGGATACACATTGTAATCATAACACTATCGAGTTCCTTTAATATTGAATCCTTTGAATCCTGACTACTCGGCTGTTTTTTTTCCTTCAGGACTTTTTAGAAAAGCATGGGAAATAATTTCTGAGTAGTTTGTACATTGTATTCATAACACTATCGAGTTCCTTTAATATTGAATCCTTTGAGTCCTGACTACTCAGCTGTTTTTTTTCCTTTAGGACTTTTTAGAAAAGCATGGGAAATAATTTCTGAGTAGTTTTTGTTAGCTAGTTTTGGGGCACATTGAGCCAATTTGAATGGGATCTAAATAGGGCTCATTCAAATCATTTTATTACATTTCTGAATATTCTCCAAAATATCAGCTCCAAATACTCTCAAATTGTTTCACATTTTCTTTTCCACACATTTAAAAAAAGAAAAAAAAATGGAGCTAAGTGAGTAACTCCAATAGTGTCTTAGTCTAACAAATGTTATCAATATTTATATTTTTCTATCCACTGACCTTAAAATTTGTTTTATATTTCTATTCCAGCTTTTCCCTATGTTGATTCTACTTTGTAAACTTATTTTGCCCTAAGGAAATTATTCACTAAATTGCAAATTATAGGGAGTTAAAAAAACAAATTGCACAGGTGGGGCCAGACTGCCATGCTGAATAGTCACATGGAGGAACAGCTCCCACAATTTTCAGATCTTTTGGTTCACAAACACTGCAAATTTCCTCATATGACACTGAGAAGCGACAGTTCAGTGCACTGTGGGGTGCTTGTTAAGAAGTTCACCCCAAAACTTGTCTCAAGGTCCCTTGTGTGGAGATATCAACTTCCTAGATTGCAGCCAACCCAGCTGCCCTTTTATCCTGCCTGTCTGCAACAATCCAGAATCCTTCGATCATAAAAGGCACCAGCCCTGTTTCTCCCCTGCGCACCATTCTAGGCAATCATACCCGAGAAGCATGCAACTCATGTGGCCCAGATTGGAGCAGATTGGAGTGCAGCTATCTGGCACTGAACGACGCAGCTTCCACCACTGGTTGAAGTGACCCCCACGGCTGGGCTATACTTCTCCTTCTGCTAACCCTAGTTGGATGGGGAGTTAGGGTCAAGGGTTGGGCTTCTTTAGAATTGGGGTTACAGTTGCATGTTTGAAGGGCGATGGGATCAAGGCTCTGCAAGGTGTGAGGTTCTACACTTGGAAAAATGCTGAATGTCTCTTCATCCATTTGGCATGTACCTTGTAAGTGATGAGTCAATCTCTTTTGATATGTTAATGCCATAAGCCTTGTTCCAGTATCATATCCAAATGGAAGGACAAAAACATTCATATTTACCACACAGAATAATAATTAAGCCTCATTTTTGTTACATTTGGAATGTGACAAGCGCCATCCTCTAAACAAGTCCAAATATGAGTGGCCTAACTTGATCATAGGGGAAGGAATTGTGATGTCCATCCTATCGGATCGCAAGGCCGGCATGCAACATATATATATAGAATGGGAAAATAATAACAAATTCATAGAGGCAATTATTATTTCTGTGGCAGGTACATAAGAGAAGCTAGAGCCAAATGTTTACATTTGGATTGACGTTGGTCTGGAACAAAGGAGGTGGTCACTTATTATTTCTGCCCCTATTTCTATAAGTATGCCTTAACTCCACCCCTGGGCAAGACTTGATAATCCCCAGGGTATATATCCAATGATTTGGAGTTGGTGTACTTGCTACGGGCCAAGAAGATTAATTTTAAGTGAGCCACCATCATTATTTCTTGCCAGAGCACCCCTGGGCAGCAGTTGTACTTTGAAAACCTAAGTGAGCAATTAGGACTTCTGCTGTTTTATCCTTTGTGTTTTTATCTATTGTTGATGTAAATCATTTTTTTATCATATATTTTTATATGCACTGTGACTATTTTTTGCTCATAATAAACATTCATTTATTAAGTTATGCCTTTGTCTGGTTAAGAATCACGTTACCTGAAGAGACTAATTAGTATTTTTGCAATTCCTTATATATTGTGCTAAGTAATATTTGGTGGGTTTAATTATTGATTTACCTGGGGGACCCGATTTATAAATTGTCTTGGTGGTGGCAGCATAAAAAATTAGTAATAGTTTTATTATTATGTTGAAGTGTGGGTGGTGTTAAAAGGGGGATTTTGTCATTATTTCCAGTCTAGTGCAGACAAATAGTGAACTTTAACCCTTTCACCGCCACAACTACGTCACGCACACGGAGTAGGGTGCGTTTGTGACAATGACATTCATAGTTAAAATGCCATGCCGAAATTTCTAGATTTCTCAAAGTTTTTAAAATTTTATTCATATTAAATTATATTTCATATATAAATATTTGATAATAAATGAAAGCCCTGTTTCTCCTGAACAAAAATAATAAGTGTGGTTGCACTTAATATGAAAGAGATGAATTATGGTTGAACATACATTTAGCGCAAATTCCAGGTTTTATTTACGTTTTGTTTTGATCAGAATGTGTACAATTGAGTCCGTCCTTAAGGCATTAAAGTTCAATATTTTCAGGACAGCATGGAAGTTCCAGACATTCTTAAGTCACACTGTTTCTGTGTATGCAGCTTAGCCACTCCTGCCTGGGTGTGACTCACACAGACTCCTTAAAAAAAAGGTCAAAATCAATTCACATATCAGTCCTGATTGTTAAATGCCTCATATGTCTAGAACAGTGGTTCCCAAACCAGTCCTCCTGGCCACCAACAGTCCAGGATTTATGTATTTCCCTGTTTTATTCTGATGGAGATACTGACAAAACCTGGACTGTTGGTGGGTTTTTAAGACTGGTTTGGGAATCACTGGTCTAGAATCTAAATTAATATTTGGTAGTTAACATCAGGGGCGGACGGGGGGGCAGGGAGGCAATTGCCCCCAGGCCGCCCTAAATCCAGGGCTGTCGCTACTAAAGGGCGGCACAGATAGCCTTCTTAGGGCACAGCGGCCAGGGGGTGCAAATATCCAGGTGACTGGCAGGAGGGAAGTGCCCAGTACTCCTCTCCTGCCGGTCATTTCCTGTAGTGTGGCTGAGCGCCAGTATCTTGGCTGTCCGGTGCATTGTGTCAGTCCTGTATAGCTCACAGCCCTGTATAGGTCATGGGAGCTGGAATATGACGTCACATTCCAGCCCAGGCACCACTAGGGGGCATGCGTGGGAGCTAGGGGGCATGCTGATATGGAATGGAGCTCCCTCTCTCCAGCTCTCCAGGTAGGGAGAATGGGTCGATTGAAGAAAAAAAGTGTGTGTGTATGTCCCACTCCTCCTTCCACAGTGTGTGTGTACTGTCCCTATCCCGCCTCCCCCACCATAGCCCCAGTCCCCCGCAATGCTTCCCTACCCCCCACAATACTGTCCCTATCCCCCCCTGTATAGCACCATTCCCCCACAATGCTACCCCCCACCAACCCCAGCCCCCCACAATACTGCCCCTATATTACTGTTCATACCCCCCCACCATAACCCCAGTCCACCACTATTGTCCTGCCCCCAATACTGTTCCTATCCTCCCACCAAAGCCCCAGTCCCCCAAAATACTGCTCTTGCCCCCCACTAAAGCCCCAACACCCACAATACTGTCCCTATCCCTCCCACCATAGCCCCAGCCAGCCCCCCACAATGCTTCCCTAACCCCCACAATACTGTCCCTATTCCCTCCCACCATAGCCCCAGACCCCCACAATGCTTCCCTAACCCCACAATACTGTGCCTATCCCCCTCCCACGATAGCCCCAACCCCCACAATACCATTCCTATCCCCTCACTAAAGCCCCAATCCCCCTCAATACTGCCCCTATCCCACCACGCAAAAACCCAATTCCCCACAATATCATTCATATCCCCTCACTAATGCCCCAATCACCAACAATACTGCCCCTATCCCCCCACACAAAAACTCCATTCCCCACAATACTGTTCCCAAGCCTACCACTAACGCCCCAATCCCCCACAATACTGTACCTGTCCCCAGACTAAAGAATCAATCCCCCACAATACGGCCCCTGTCACCCCACACTAAATAATCAATCCCCCACAATATGGCCATATCCCCACTCTAAATAATCAATCTGCCACAATATAACCCCTGTCACCATCACAATAACCCCTGTCACCATCACAATTTTGAATGCTTTCCTATGGAGAGATCTAATGCGCATGTGCGGCATTGCCGCGCATGCGCATGAGGTCTCCACAGCCGGCAGGCGGGATCAGTCTCGCCCACAGCCGACGTAATGAAGAGGAGCAGCGGTGGCGACCCGAAACCACTTCCGAGGGACATCGGCGGGGGTCTCAGGTAAGTGACTGATGGGGTTTTCACCCCTTCAGCAACCGAGGATGGGAGGTGGGAGGGAGAGGGGACCTGCAGTGCCAGGAAAACGGATTGTTTTCCTGGCCCTGGAGAGTCCCTTTAAATACCCTAACACTAACTCTACACAAACCCTAAGTCTACAATTTACCCTACCCTAATGCTAACACTAGCCCTACACAAACCCTAAGTCTACAATTTATCCTAACGCTAACTCTAACCCTAACCTTAACCTTAACCCTCTGCTAATATTAGTTCTGATATCAGTAAATGGTCTTCTGAGTTAAATATAAAATATTTCTGGCTGTATTTAGTTTTACAGAAAGTTTTATTTTTTGCTGATAAGTATCTAGTATTACTTGTAGACCAGTCACCCCTGTACGCCAATAAATAGTATCCTTCAATTTAGTTGTTTTTTTAGTTGCTGTTGAAGTGTATTTGCCATCTGCAAGAATATTTCACAGACAATGGTTCACAGCAATGGTTTCCTTGTTTTTTTCTAAAAATATAAATAAAAAATCCTTGAAAAGTTTTTTTCCCAATTTGGATTTCTATCATATACTTGTGCAGCAAGTGCATGCACTGCAGATCCCATTGGGCAGGACCCCGGGCTGTGGGGAAGCTGCTGAGATCAGTCAGTTCTCTGACTGTACAGCTCCCTGGCCGCATTGAACTAATGCCAGGAGTCAGAATTTAACATCACTCCTGCGCCGTCATCAGTACAGAGCTGCAAGGAGCTGTGCAGTCAGTGCACAGACTGATCCCAGCAAGAAACCAGGGATAAAGGTCTAAATAAAAATCAAATGTGTAGGAGTGTATGAATGTGAGTGTCTGTCTGAATATGTGCATGTATATGAAATTGAGCATGTGTATAAGAATGTGAGTGCGTGTGTGTATAAATATTTGTGCGTGTATAATGTGAGTGTATGTAATTTCTTTAACAAATAAGTGTTAGGCAGGGCCAAATTAAGAGCCCATTGGACCTGGTGCTGACATTTCTGATGGGCCTAATTACAGAATCATATCAACAGAAAACACTAAACCAGTCATACCTCCCAAACGTAATGTATCTGACGGAGGTGGTGCTGGAGAGAAACTCACTGGATATAGCTATAAGAAAACACATATGCAAATGCTGAACACCATATGCTAATCTCTCATTTTCATCTATCAAGTAAATTAATACTCCCTAACAGCAGTGTCCGGTGAAGCAGGATGTCAGGGAGTGGTGTAAAAGGGTGGGCCACTGATGCGTATCACGTAACCAGAACCATCAAAAGGGGCCAACATGTCCGAAAAAAAGGCGTGTCTGCATGAAGAATTGGAGAATTGGCCAACTAAGAGCTTACTACGCAGACAAAACCCTGAGATTCGCATAAATGCCTCCAATGATGCGTTTGCTCCATGCTTTCTAAAGACTGTCCCCTAGCACTCACTTGTCCACTCCTCTCCTTACCTACTTACTAGCAGGCAGAAGCTCCTGTTATACAGTCTGGGACAGTGAAAAGGTGTATGTGGTTAGTGTAGAAGAAAGGGAACATGCCACAGTGTTACAGAGACCAATGCAGCAAGAGCATTTGCATAGTGCACAAAGTCAGCTTTATATTAACTAATTTCATTATCAGCCAGTCCACACAAGTTGTGTTCTCCTACATCCCTCTTAAGTTCCAATAGTTAAGCAAGAGCATCTAAAGAGTAGTAGAAAAAAAAGGGACATTGTAGAGGGAGAAAAAAAATGATTTCAGAAAAGTACAAAAAGTACAAAACAGCCCATTAGAGAAGAACCATCAATACTGTGGGATCCTCCCTTGTGTCTAATGTATAGCGTTTTGTTGCACTGGAACTGCAGTGAAATTTTAATCTAATATATATTATGTTTATGAAATCCTAGAAGTGTCATTTTCTCTTTATTTTGAACCACACACTGTAAAGATTCATATTTTTAATTAGCACCCAACAGACAGGTTGTGATAACAATGCTGACACCAAGTCTTTAAAGGAATGGTGTTATGTATCGTCACACATAGGGCTATTCACCAAAGTGAAAATTAAAAGTGAATCTAAACTAAAATTCAAATTTAAGGCCAAAGTATCCTAATTGGTAGCATTGGTGATTTAGAGAATTTTTCCAGTTTGGCAAATTTGACCTTAAATTTGAAATTCACTTTGAATTCTCACTTTACTGAATAACCCTATTCGCTTGCTGAGTAACAGCATCACATTGCATAACAACCACTTTGCACTTATTAAGTCACATGATCTTCTGAGCCCTGGACCGATCTGCACAAGCTCGGCTTTTTAAAGCAACAATCACATAGTATGTTATATTTATCTGTAATGTATCCATTCTAACCTGATGACTCCTTTCTAAATATCCTGAATTGTTGGTGCATCTGGGAAAGTAAATGAGCACAATGCCCAGAAATAAATTATCACTGATTAAACAAACATCAAAAAGTTAAATTTGCTGGGGGGCGGGGCCTGACTGCCAAGCCGGACAGTCGCATCCCATGTGGGCTCCGGCACTTAAGCCTTTATTAATTGAAATCACCGCTGATTACAAATCGATCAAGACCCTAGCTGTCAATAAGTGGCTCCTGGACCAACTGTGGCGATACCTATGCATGTTCTGATGTCTCTAAGTGTCCACGCTGCTAAAGTGCTGTGAGCTGACCTGGCGGCCCAGTGAATCTGGGTGAGCGGAGAAGCAGACGATCTCTGCCCTAGACCTGAGCTGCAAGTGGGTGCCCCTTACCCCAGCTGAACCGGTGGGGGTGATCCCCGTCTACTCCCTAGAGGCTCCTTTCCTCAGCTGAGGGCGCGCGGCACAACCGCTGAACAAGCAACAGGCATTCAAGCACACACAAAATGGCGGACGCTGCGTGGATCCCCAATGCCGGAGGAGTCTATCACAATATTCTACAACACCTCAACGGGCTTTTCGAGTCCTTCTGGGCACAGCTGAGGGAGTGTATGTAACCCGAGGTGCCTAATGATCTGACTGGCGTTGAGAGCCCACAGAGGGACGCAGTGCAGACGGAGAGTGAGCCCTTTTAAGCATGGGCCCAAGTGACACGTCAACAGATTCCCAAGGTACATGGAGTGAGATTGCACCAAACAAGACAGGACTTGGGACCGCTGCTGACCATGAGGGGCTTGCCCAACTGCCACACTGCTTTCACACACAACTACTCGAGCAGGCTTGTGGTCCTACTACCGGTGCACCCATGGTGGAACTGTGTTCAACCCCTAGAGGAAGTCGGCTGATATCAGAGCTGGGCCCGGGAATACCTACCTAATCTCAGCATGGTGTCTCGATGGTACTTCTGTAGTTCACACTAATCCAGAAGTCACTTGTGCCTACATCCACATGTAGAGCATCCATTCATTTGAAACCTGTTTGGGGGGCCTCCTGGGAGTCTTATTAAGCTACCTGCAATCCTCTACTGTTATTTACTGTCTCCACTTTCCAGCCTACTCTCAGTGCATATGTCTAGCTATTTTAATACATCCCCTGCACTGTTCCTTTAGTCTTTCACCTTAATAGAAAACGTGCTTACTCCTCTGTACACTAACATGCATACCTTCTATAAAAAATGTGCAGTTCATCTTGACACTTTGTGCTGTATCCCTAAGCCTATATTTAATCATTTTGCAATGCAACATATGTCACTGTCATACTGTGTATTTTTCAATACACCACAAAAATAAAAAAAAGTAAAATAAATAAATAAATGTAAAAAAAAGTTGAATTTGCTGGTTTCAAATTTAAGTAACTCTCGAGACACAAAACCGGAATGCCAACAAGAATGACCAAAAGCCATGCATTGATGGATCACTATACAACACCTGCTTTAGTCTTACCTCCAAATGCAGGCCTCATAGTAAAGTCATGTTCATCAACGCGAAGGAGCTGGTTGTTTTTGCTTCTCCGAACTTTGGTAATGTCATGATTTTTTTTGTACATGTGGCTGCAAATATAAAAACATTTTTGGGTCAACATGGGGATTAACATGTGGATCTTTGTAAGTTTAGCTATCATGGGAGTTCTGGCTCACCTTGGCATTATAATTAAGGATGTGTTACATATACAGATTACTGGGACCTAAAACTAAATGAACATTCCACATACACGAAGCATGCTTTACGTGCTAGGACAGGGATAGGCAACCTTCGGCACTCCAGATGTTGTGGACTACATCTCCGACAATGCTCCTGCAGCCATAATGTTGGCAAAGCATCGTGGGATGTGTAGTCCAAAACATCTGCAGTGCCGAAAGTTGCCTATCCCTGTGCTAGGATATGCTCTTTTTAATTGCAGTTCATAAAAGTGCTGATTTCTATTTGAAATATGTACTTTTCTAAATAATTGCTTAACATCTTCTTGCCCATTCTTTGGTTTGCCTGGCTATCTCTAAGAGAAAGTTTTCAATTGTAAAGCCGTGTATGCACTTGCAATATTAGAGCTTAAAATCAGAGGTTTTTCAATAAGTGCGTACCCTTTTCACTCCATTTGTGAACAGGGAGCTAGTATCAGGTGTCAACAGCACCCAGTTCGAGGCTTCCGGATCGAAGCCTAGGACTCGAACAGAAATATCAATGCAGTGCTGATGGCCACTGAAATAAAGACTTTAGGGTTAAACTGTTCATTAATGGTTTAACTCCTGAAGGTAAGCTGCCGCCTGTAACCTCCTTGCACCATAGCAACTTTATTCCGATGAAACTGTTATGGTGCCCAGAGTGTTCCATTGCAATCATTTGTCTGGCATAATAATATCCTTTTAGAATAATGACTCTAAAATGTTTTGAAAGCCAAACTTAATCATAGGTAATACTTTCAATTTAACTTCTTTGGTACTTATTGAATAGACCTCATCGATGTTGTGTTTGATTAATTTGACTTTAATCAATTTTACAATAGCAACACTTAAATTGTGATCAGTAAACAACATGATGATTACAAAGAGAGTCCTTAGGTTATAAAATGCATATAAAAAAAAAAAAAAAAAATAGAAAACAAATGAAATTGCATATGGTTTCAGGAGATAAGATATGACAATCTACTTTTGTGTATGCACATCTGTGTAAAATGATAGAAACGTGGAAACCTCCAACAGATTGTGTCAATGGTTTAAAAGATTTATTTTCTTATGTAATGCTGCTAAGTACACCAAGTCAGTAAGGCATAATCACGTTTAGTGGAGTTTGAGAAGTTGGAAAGAGAGATCAGTCTATCAGCCCTAACAAGGAAGCTGTGTTATATAGGCAGATCTTAATAACAACGCAGCTTGTGTGGTTGCTAACAAAACACTGATGAGGTCTATTCACTAAATGCTGATCAGAATTTTTATACCAGCTGAAGGAAAGTTGATGATTCCTTACATACACGAAGAAATTGCTAAAACCCTCTAATCTTAAGTCACACTAATACTACCCCAACACCCCTTAAACCTATAATGAGACCCCAACAAATGGTGGTCTCTAGAGATAGAAAAGTAAGTGATATGTGATCATTTCAAGTTTTACTTCCTTAGAGCAGTCATCTTCCCAGACGAGACTGCCAAGAGTTGCATAATAGTAAAGCATTGGGATCTATGGAAGATCACTCAAGAGCATGGACGTCTCCATAACAGGTCTACTTGTGCATGTGCCAGGGGATAACATTGTCAGCCAGATCACACAAGTTTTGTTCTCCTACGTCCCTCTTAAGTTTCAATAGTTAAGCAACAGCATCTAAAGAGTAGTAAAAAATAAAATGTTGGCCTTTTTCATGGGAAGTAGGCCAGTAGATGCAATTTAATTTCAGCTTTCATGAGTGATAGCTAAAAGGAACTGGGGACACATGGCAGATAGAAATTTAAAAATACTCCAGATTTGCTGTGTTTTTCATAGACATACTGTCAAAATTATCTCTTCTTTTTCTAAAATGTATATTTTATATAATGTATATAATTTTATCAAAATGGCAATACATCATATAGTTAGTTTTTTTTTTTTTTTTTTATTAGAATCTATGAAAAACTGAGTGGCAGGTTCTTTTAATTTGAATTACCCAAAGTAAACATGTATCTTTTCTCTGCTTGTAACATCTCAGAAGTTAGCCTGCTCTTGCATCCATTTTATTTTACTCTGTATTGTTGTCTGCCCACAACATATAGTTAAATGTGCAGAGTGCCCAAAAATAAACAATTATAGACTAAACTAGAATTATACTTTTAAATTATTTTTTTAAATGTATTTATTTTCTATATTTTTTATTTATAGCATGCAAGATAATACAAATAGGCTTGATATGCCACAACAGCATAGTCAAGCATTTTAGGTAGATACACATGGTTACATTGTCATGGCACATAAGAAAAACTCCACATTTTATTTTAAGGGTAGGCAACCTAAACTAAGCGTTTTTTCATTTTTTTAAAGACAAGTGATAGTATCATGCTAGCTTTGTATAACAGGAGAAGTCCCCTAGAAGGCCCCTAAACAGTATTGGGAGGATAAGTCCCGTTTGGCTATGTTCAACCTATGCCAACCAAGGGTATGACATACTCTTTCTGCCGAGGTGAGTACTGTGAGCTCTTATGTCCCAATGTGTGCTGGCAGATCAGGCCACATATCACGGTCGGGGTTCCTCTTTGCTTCTCCGATAAGGTAAGGGAACCAGCTGTTGTCACTGTCCAGCTGCCTTATGTTGTAGTGATGGGTGCTTTTTTTTCGGCACCATTTTGGGGCCTACATTACTGCCAAGACCGTGGGTTTCTGCTGTGGGATGTGCGCCGGCTTGTCTGGTGAGTAACCACACAGCTGCTGTAAGTCAGCCTGACACATCCCGCTCTCCAGCCTCCACCAGGTCTCGAAAATCTTGTCAAGCTTGGACAAAGCATCATGAGGTTCTACCGCACCACCGGGGAACCATAAGGTATCCGCCATGTTGGATTTGCCATTAGAGTTGCTGTCAACCCCTGTGGCTTTACCCCAGGGTGTCTTAAGGTCAGTGTAGCCTCCCAGGGGTGGACTGAGATCACCCCCTGCCGGTCCAGAGAGGGGGGCAGCGGGGCTCTTGCTTAATGCTGAGTACTGTTGTGCAACTACATCCTGGGAGATCGGCCGAATCTCCCGTTCGGGGTGCACCAGGCCACATGTTTCAGACAGTGTGGTAGACAAGCTTCAGGCACCTCTCTGTCCCGTGCCGTGCACTTCATCAGGACTAAGCCCGGGTAAGCAGTTAAATTCAATTCGAAGCATGCTAGGTGAGACTAGAAGCTATAGTTATATGCAGTGTAGGAGAGGAGCTCATGCAATGCACATCCTTTCACTATGACAGTTAGCCACCCATCCCTCCACCCCCCAAATTTTAAATTTTAAGCAATTTTAGCCCTAAATCCCCACAACATGAAACTATGACTCCTAAGATTGGACATTAATCACATTTATTATTATCTGTTTTTTTCACTTGGGTACCTAACCTATATAACCTTCTGAAAGATTGAACTCTATGAAGAAAACCACCAGAAGTGATCCTTTATTGACATGAGCATTCTCAGAACGGATTGGAATCATTTGTTGAACTGTACACTCCATGAGAGACAAATAAAGTTATTGTTGAACTGCATGTGTGTTCCAAGAGACGCAGAGGAATGGATTCACCTGACAGACAAACAGCGATGACGTAAGTGGAACGCATGTGCATTCCACGACAAAGCTAGATGAGGAAGTAATTCTCTACAGCTGAAACCTTCAACCAGACTGCCTGATGGCGACCCAGGAAAGAGATTGTCAGGGTATTTATGGGAATATTTTGTTAGGACACACTTTTGTTTGGTGAACCATATGAAACGCATAGGGCTGTTCAGCTGCTATGTATATTTATTTATAAAAAAATTTCCATTGTGGACTTTTAATGCACTTTTGAAGGGCTGCCTGTACAAGCACTTTTAGTAGTAGGAGCCTCCAGCACTTTACATCTAGTGATGTGGCGTTCTGGTTCCCATTGATGGGCTTGCATGATTTGTCCTAAATGTAAGTTTTTACGAATAAATTGTACATTTACTTTTGATATATTGCCACATATTTTGTGTCCTTTCTCCACATATGCACATTCCACGCTACATTGAGGAAATCTTCAAGAAGCTCAAGCACTCGTGAAGTGCCTGATATTATTCACTATCTAGTGAGTGCAATCATTAACCATCCTCTGTACTTATAATTTATACTACTCTATGTATGGTTTCTTTTCTACACTTGTAGATATTGTATCTTTTTATGAAGTTTTCTAAGAACATTGAGGAGTTCGGTTTGTTCTATAAGTGATAGTGATATAAGGGTAATTCCTTTTATTTTGTTCAGCATAGTGGTCATTTGTGGGTGTGTGTGTTATTAAGTTTCTTACTTTTTTAAAAATCTGGTTGAACAGTCATATTGTGTCAGATTTTACTGTTATCTGACCAACTGCTGCTTAATCTAACTTGTCCGCTGCTGCTGTGAGTAATGTGTTCTCTGTGTGAACCTGCATCAGCAGCACTTTAAGAGCTCAACTGAACTAGTGCCTCGTCAATGACTTAGAACCCCAGCTGTAGTGCTCTGAGTCATTGAGAAGCACCAGGGAATGCAAGGAAGCTCTTAAAGGGATTTGCCCCCGATAGTAGCAGACAACAAAACTATATTGAGTGGGAACAGGACCAAGCAGGTAAATCTTTTGATCTACATTCCAGCTCAAGGAGAATCCTTTCACAGCCAGATCCTCAAGTCCAGACCTTGTGGAAACCCAACTAAATCCTTCCCAACTTGAGCCAACCATCCAATTTCTCTCACCTCCACAAATTCCTCTCATCTTGTGCCCCAATTCAAATGTGATCAAAATATAAATTTAGAGAAAGACCATTTGACTTGTGTATGTATAAAGGTGGACACCTGGCACCACTATTCTTTCTTTCTCTCATACATGCTTTTGAAGACACCAGGCATAGAAAAGCAGCAATACTAGTTACTGGCGTAAATATTATACATTCAACCACACTACAGTAGACAAAGACACCGTGTTAGTTGGGATATCCAACAATCTCCCTATCTTGCACATGACTGCACAGCTGCAAACAGGCCCCTAACTGCCCTCAGGCCTTCAGTCAATGACCGAAGTGCCCGAGTGTCAGTCCATTCCAGTACATTGATGGCAATGGAGACACGGGAAATAGAATCTTTGTCTCTGTCAATGCTCCATCATGCTGGACAGGTAATACTGATGGAAAATGTAGGTATATATGATGCCACACGTAGCCACTCCAGCAGCCTCCATCTGTCAACCTCCATTAAAAATTACAATGCTCCATGTGAGTAAGGTCAAAAACATTATTCATTTGTACTTGTTCCCCAAGTCAAAAGTTGTCAGTCCTCCCCCAGAGGAAGGCATACATTATTAGAGATTACAGGGCATTTATTGTCTCAAGATCCTACAGGGATAATGTTTAGAAAAAAAATAATAAATCAATCCTATGTAGTAGCAACATATGTTTGAGATAGATGCTGGGCTGGATTTCTCAGGCACATGTCCTGTAGTTGTGCTTGTTTTCAGTAATTATAATATACTTTTTTGGGGCTAGTGGTTAGAGGTAAGCACCATGAGCCTTTGCCAAAGTCCTTATCAGTCCAATTCTATGTTTAATTGCCTTCTATGTTTAATTGCAGAGCTGCAGGGACAGTTACAGAGAGTACTGTTCCAGCTCTTCCTGTGTCTGTGTGTGAGTCTTGACAAGAATTGAAAGGGATCATTTCCCATCTACCCACTAAAAACCTCTCACACAGGAGGAGCAGGGACACCATTGAGTTATGCACACTGTATAACTGTTACTGCAGCTCTGTTATCCATCATAATAGGCTGCCTGGGCTACAGAAGACATAAAAGGGTGAGTATTTGGTAAATTACCCCTCAAATTCCTCATAGCCTAAACATCCCCTTGAATTCAACCGCTCCCAAAGTCTCAACAAACCTCCCTTAATCAAAAACCTTCACATTAATCCTACATTTAACTCCTCTTAAAAATATTCCTTGCACCCCAATTCCAAATTACTCTAAATTCAATAATTCCAAACATCACCTGTACTCAAATTTCAAATTTCACCCCACTTTATAATTTTATCTCTAAACTAAATAATCCTAAACGGGTACACAACTGCATATGTAATAAGAATATATAATATTCTACAGCCTCACTATAATCACAGATTCAAACATAGTACATGATAGACGTGCAATTTGTTTCGTTCCGAATGTCAATTCTGATGAATTTCGGGCAATTCGGCGACTTCCGAATGTCCGAATTGCTGAATTGCCGAAGTTCCAAATTCCTGAAGTTCCAAAATTGCCGAAGTGCGAAGCACAGTATTGCCGAAGTACAAATATACCTATTTTTATATTTATATATTATTTATATTTTTATATTCAGGGGGGGACAATAGGTCCCCTATACATCCCTGGATAGCCCTGATCTGGGTGAACAACATATCCAAAAATCGCCCAGATCAGAGCAGGGGTTCAAAAGGTTTGTGGAAGTCACATTTGACCAACCGCAAGCATGGTTTTCATGCCAAAATAGTTCCACAGATTTTGGCTGTGCGGCCGGTCTATTTTCAATGTGCACTATAGTACGGTGAGGTCAGAAAATAGCAAGGGCTGATGGGAGATTGAGGAGGGACAAAGCAGCCAGTTTAAACTGGTTTGGCAATGTCCCTGGGACAACGACCTGCTGAAGAAACAATAGGACAAGAAAAAGGGGGAGGGGAAGAGGCACATTTTCTCATGGATTTAAAGGGGCAAAAGTGTTTTAAAATCCAATAAGCCCAAATAGACTTTTTAAATGGCTATACACCCCAGAGGCCATAGTCGCAGGGCAGGAGGCTGGCAAGCAGGCCACTCCAAAAACTCATGAAAAACTCCCTTTAAAAGAGAAGTTTGTCACACATCTCCCCTCTCCGTAACAGATTTTCAAAGTTAGAAAAAGTGTGTTGTTTATTTAAAAAATCATATTTATAGTAAATTATATGATATGATGAAAATAATGATATTTTTAGAAAGACCATTTAATGGCGAGAAAAACAATATATAATATGTGAGGGTAAAGTAAATGAGTAAGAGGAAAATTACAGCTAAACACAAACACCGCAGAAATGTAAAAACAGCCCTGGTCCTTAACAGTAAGAAAATTGAAAAACGGCCTGGTCACTAAGGAGTTAAAATATGATTTTTTTTTTTTTAGACAATTTTATACCTGCAATGTCCAGTTAATACATTTATTAAACATAATGTATCTGTCTTTATTTCTCTTTGGGGGGGGAGATTTTGTGCATTTGGCACCTGACATGTAAATCAAGCCTTGGGCTGCCAATGTGCTGGGGGTGCAACTAACAAATTTAGGGTGGCCAGACCTCGTCTTAACTAGAGAAGCTTATAGGAAAATGAATTTGGTTTGGCAACAATGATTTAACCCTGCTGAATCAGGCTTAGGCAGATACCGGTATCTCGTTATCAACTCTCATGTCATTGTGTCTGAAGAAATTACAAGAAAAAAAAAGAGAAGAAACACACGATCCAAGCATTCGCTTTTTGAGCACCAGATGTTTTAGCACATATAGCTTTCTACAGATCTCCTTAGCATATAGTACTAGCACTGCAGCTATTGGTTCTTGGAAATATAATCACAAAATAATAGGATCACAAAGGTTACCTTTGTGTGTGTATTAGTATATATATATATTGCACATGGCGCCCATTCTATGCACATTTCCAACTATAATCCTCTGACTTTGTGAGAATGTATGGCTGTGTTGGTTGAACACACTATTCCTACAGTGAAGGACTTGCCATTACCCTTTTACTTTGCAGAAAGGATTTTAAATAATTAAATGTTAGAACTCTGTAAGAAATTAAAACGACCATCTAAAGATTGGTTGGAAAGTTTTGGCTTCAAATATTTTTTTTTCTTTGACCTCAGTTCTATAGATGCCATCCTCACATAATTGCCTAACTATCCATTATTGAATGCATACAGTAATATGTTTGATTTTTTTTTTTAAAGTGTTATTATATAATCCATTTAGCACTGCATAAAATGGTGGAACTACCAGAGTTGCAACGGTCGCTACTGGGGGACCCCCATTCCAAAACAGTTAATTTGTTTATTTCCAATTAAATTTCTGATAGGCACTAGGGGGGGTGCAGCAATGTGGAGCCCAGATTGTGCTATTACCCTACCCAGACTCCTAGTGAAGTCTTGGCCCTGGAGTAGAAGTAGCACACTAGCACATTTTACGTAGCTGTTTCTGTTCCTGGCCGAGAATCGCTGTGGAGGCTGGGCAGGTGAGCAGCATGATTTACATGCTCCCCCCAAACATAACGCAGATAAAAAGAGTTTAATGAATGTATTACCAACTAAACAATTAAACGTACAGATTGCAGCAGCTACGATCTTGTGGAATATCTATTCCAGTTATTAGATGCATATCATGTGGATAACATTTAACATACATATCCTTGGTGCTGGACTTCAATAGAAAAACTCATTCCCGAACGATCCCTAATGTCCACACACTTAGACCTTAGTAGTACATTCCACTGGACACCAATCTTCTTTAAAAAGGTACATTTATTTGCAAAAAATATAAAACATGGAGATACAAGCAAAAACTTGCCTAGAACAGTCCTCATATGCGCCAGTCCAATATCATATAGTATGTAAAGGTTGATAACAACGTGCTCTGTGATCCTAGCCTGTCATAATATGCAGTAAATCCCACTGAGAAAACATATATGTCAACGGTATAATAGAAGCTAGAAAAAAAATATAAAATAATGGCACCTGTGAGGGGAAGAACCACATAGAAGTGACCCAACGAAGGACCGAAATGCCCAGAACGCCTTTCACGCCTGGCTTGGCACTTTCTCAACACGACTTGGGGATCGTTTGGGGATAAGTTAATGAATTTATTAACCTGGACATAGAGGCATACATTCAGATTTGACAATTGCCTATCTATGTGTGTACAACTGCATATGTGTGTATGCATGCATATATGTCTGCTTCTAAAGTATTGTGTTTTAATCTGGTTGTATAGTGAGTGCATGCAGCTGTGTAAATGCCTACAGGGTTAAAAAAAATTGTTATAAAGCGTTTAGGATAAAGCTAGAGAGGACTTAAAGTTAGAGAGGGGTCAATATCTGAGTTTCATTAAATAGGGTTTTAAGGAAAACTATAACATTAGGGCTATAAACCTGTTCTCCTTGTGCTATAGTGTCCTAGTGTGGATTAGAGTTAGGTCAGTACAAACCTGATAGTAAAAGGTTTTCAGTACAAACCTGATAGTAAAAGGTTTTTACTTAACTTTTCTCCAGTGCTCCCGCAATGTCATTTGGCTCTATTGCAGATGGTCTCCTCATACAGGAGCATTGGGATTATTGCACATGCAAATCCAAATGTTTCTCATAGGAAAGCTTTGAATTACTTGATTGTTGCTCAGGAACCCTTCTGGCTGTCTAGCAGACAGCCACTAGAGGTGTGTTTAAAGGGACACTCCAGTGCCAGGAAAACAATCTGTTTTCCTGGCACTGCAAGTCCCCTTTCCCTCCCACCTCCCATCCCCAGTTGCTGAAGGGGTGAAAACCCTTTCAGTCACTTACCAAAGGCAGCGACGATGTCCCTCGTCGCTGCTTCTTCCTCCGCCGCCGCTCCTCCCCTTCATTATGCTAGCCGGCGGGGGAGACTGATCCCGGCCGCCGGCTGGGGAGACCTAATGCGCGCACATACAGTGCCGCGCACACGCATTAGACCTCTCCATAGGAAAGCATTGAGAATGCTTTTCAATGCTTTCCTATGGGGATTTTAGCGACGCTGGAGGTCCTCACACAGCGTGAGGACGTCCAGCGACGCTATAGCACAGAAAACCTGTGCTATAGACCAGGAAGTGCTGTCTATTAGAGAAGACTAGGGGAGGACTTAACCCTGCAAAGTAATTATTGCAGTTTATGAAAACTGCAATAATTACAGTTGCAGGGTTAAGGGTAGTGGGAGTTGGCACCCAGACCACTCCAATGGGCAGAAGTGGTCTGGGTGCCTGGAGTGTCCCTTTAACCCTGTAATGTAAACATTGCAGTTTCTACAAAACTGCTTTATTTGCCATTGCAGGATTATAATGGCAGGACCACTGCACCCTGACTATTTCATTTAAATGAAGTGGCCTGATTGACTTTTGTTTTCCTTTAAGACAATTAAAAGTTTGAGAGGGGTTATAGTTGTGGCATATCAGAAATACTGGGTTCAGGGTTAGAGTGGGGTTAAATTTAGTATTGGGATACATGCTGTGCTTAATTTTTAAGAGTAGTTTACTTAGGATTACAGTAAATAGTTTTGTTTTATGTTTAGGCTTTGAGTCATTTTAGGAGGGGTTAAATTAAGGTTAGTGAGTTTGAAGGGATTTTTGCAAAATACTCACCCTCCTATGATTGATAGTAGAAATGCAGAACTTTCATACAGTGTGAACCAGTCAATTTGGTCAATCCTTTTCCTGCAAAGCATTTCCTGTGTGAGAGGCTTTAAGTGGGCCGATGGGAAACAGTGCCTTCCACTTCCTGTCCAGCCTCACAAACAGACACTAGTTTTACACACTGTAATTGTTCCGGCAGGCCTGCTATCAAGCATAGGACGCTGGCTGGACAACATAGGACCACAGTCAAGGTTCCCTTCACCAGCCCACCTAAGCTCCAAAAAGGCACATCTCAAGTGCTGTAAAAAGCCCCTCCCTATTTTACCCAATGGTAAACCTGCCCTGGCAGCAATAGAGGCAAGGAGCACAGGGACAGTAGCTTTCTAGCTGCTCTCCTTTATTCTGCATGTAAACAGAGGGAGATGCTTGCAGCACTGATCCTGAAATAATCATCCACTACCACCCTTTACTTTCTACCCACTATATCCAGCACAGATAGGGAAATAACTATTTTTTTATAGTGTATGTGCGTGTGCGTGTGTGTACCTGTATGTGTATAACTGCATATGCCTAGGACTACATAGGACACCGGGTCACGAGTTTAGACTGGAAGAAAGGAAATTTAGTCTAAGGCAAAGGAAAGGTTTTTCTACAGTAAGAACAATAAGGGTGTGGAATTCTATGACTGAAGAACTAGTTTTATCAGAGCCAGTATAGATATTTAAACAGCAACTAGATGCATACTTGAAACATAAAATTCATGGATATAACTTTTCAATTGTAGGGTAATAGCTTCTACAGAAAAAGAAGGAACCATTTTCCTAGTTTGTTGCAAAATTGTAAGTACTTCAAACTGCTTTTTTGCCTTCTTTTGGATCAACAGCAAAAAACAGATGTGAGGAAAGCTGAACTTGATGGACACATGTCTCTTTTAAGCCAATGTAACTATATGCATTAATTTGTGTGTGTGTGTGTGTATCTATGTATGCCTGTAAGCATGTGCCTATGTCTCTGTAGCCTGTGTCTGGGGGTGCATGCATGCGTGTGCCTCTGTACCACCCCTGATCACACCCCAAGTCACACCCCTAAAATGAAAGTTTCCATCTTTGTCCATTTAAAATATTCTGAGGTATGTGTGGGGGGAACTGGGGTCTTTCTTTAATTCTTGCACCGAGGTCCATCGGTTTCTATTTCCACCCCTATCTGGAAGGGTGCATAATATATTGCAAAACATACATGTATTATGAATTAATGTTTTTATATAAGATATTATTAATTAAACACCAAATAATAGTGAGATGAAAACAAAATTGCAAAAAGCTGTGACAGTTTTGAAATAGAGAATGTTTCCAAATCAACACTTCCCTAAATCTAATTTTTAGAACATTACAGTATGCATTTAACCCATCCCCAACATTGCTATGCTGTCCTACAAAAGGAGGCATAGCCTGTATTAACGATTGGGTCCTCCCTGCAGTCCATATACTTGGCCTCCTTCGCCAGATCAATGTACACATATTGCACTAAAAGCTAACAGTATTATGACAGCCACAGTTAAAATGCCATGCAGAACTTTGAAAATAACAAAATGTCTAAACTCCTCACATTTTAGATTTTATACATATCAAATTGTGCTTCATAGATAAAGCGTTGATGTTAAAAGAAAGCTCTGTTTCTCATTGTTATCGGTTTTTGTGTGGGAAAATAAAAAATCTTGCATTCCCCTATCCTTGCTGCAAACCCCGGGTAGCTTGGGAGGATTGGGCTTCCCTAATGTTCTACAGTACCATTAGGCCGCAGTACTGGAAGCAGCTATTAAATTACATGCTCCAAAAAATACACTATAGTGGGTTGACATGGAGAATGAATATGGTACAGGAAGCTCAGCTATACACTATATGTGGACGCCTAAATGCCTACGAGACAAATCCCAAGCACTATTACCCCTTACTAGGACCACCATACAAGTTAGGGACCAGTTACACCGCTTGCAAGCGACTAACAACAAATTCCTAAAATGGGCACCCATAGGGGCACTACAATCTATATCTCCATGGTTATCATTCGTAAAATGGTCAGAACTGGGAATTACCCATATTAATAACCTATGTTTACAAAGCGACATCATACCCTTCCCAGATTTACAAGCCGCATATGGTCTCCCACCATCCTTCATCTTCCCATATGTTCAACTAAAGAGCATAATTAAAGAGCGAGTAATACACCACAACTTGCAGCTAACTCCAGCAAAGAGAGGTTGGCGCTGTATGACAGATGCCGTAAGGCCCCAGTCAAGGCCCGCTCCCTATCCCTCAGTTATGCAGCCCTAAGACACAATAACACGATGCCAGACTTCTCCTTTATGGCACAGTGGAATAAGGAACAAGCTATTCGCTTTACTAAAGATCAGTGGTTGCGATCAATCTTAGCACTAAAAGGTATCACATCCTGCTACTCACATGTAGAAGCACACAAAAAATTGATTTATAGATGGTATCTCACACCTGATAAACTTAACAAAATCTATCCACTGTCCTCAGCACAATGTTGTAGGTGCGAACAGATCAGAGGTACAATGAGTCACATATGGTGGCACTGCCCGAATATACAACCGTTATGGACGGAGGTCCAGACAATCTGTAACTCCTTAGGGGTCCTCCGGGGTAAGATCACACCTGAGATAGGTCTATTTCTTCTGATATCTATGACCACCCCTTACCAAGATAGACAGCTAATGATCATGGTAATCATGGCAGCACGTAATCTCCTAGCATATCACTGGAAGCAGAAAGAATGTCCACCGTCACAACTATTGTATAGTAAAATACGACAATACCTTAGGTATGAGCAATTTTCTACAGCTACGCCTAAACATAGGAATGCCACACACAATAATTGGCATAAATGGATAACTTTTGACCCACTGTCAGTACCATAGCCTAGAACTTACATCCCACACAGGCACTGGACAACCAGGTAGAAGGGAGGAGCAGTATAGAAAACCTCACGATAAAAGGGAGTAGCACAAGTAAACATATGTATACTCAGCAGCAACAATGACCAAAGAGCGACCACCCTTGACCACCCTGGATTGTAGGGTCGAATTGTCCAACCTTAAACGGAGGAACAACCTACTGGCAATTATGCAGATGTGCTCTTTAGCCAGGAGTCGTTCCTCAATAGCACATTCACCTGTAACACTATACTGTTGGGTATGGTATATAACTAGAATGCCACTAAATACAAAATCAGGACTTGCCAGTTCTGAAATATGCTGACATTGTGAATTGAAATGTATTGTAGTATCATTTCTTTTTTGGTGTGTACTTGCCTTTTACCTTTTATCCACCTACCCCTCTTCCTTTCTGTACCCCAATTGTTATGAAAAATTCAATAAAAGTACAAATTGAAAAAAAAGAAAGCCCTGTTTCTCCCGAACAAAATGATATGTGTTACGTGTGGATGCACTTAATAATAAAGAGGTCAGTTATGGTTGAACAGAGACATAGCTCAAATTCTAGGTTTTGTTTTGGTTCAGAACTTGGACAGTTCCCTCCATCCTTAAGAGGTTAATGAATTACTATGGACGGAAACATTGAGGTAACTATACTTTTCATTTATGCACGGCATTTACTAACATTGATTGTTAGTAAAAAAAAAAAAAAAAAGACATCAAACTCTAAACCTCTACTCAAAAGGGTGAGAAAAAGGCTGAGAAATAGCTTAAGACAGTACGAAAGTTAAATATGTTCTCATACATGTTGTGTGTAAAACTCAGTAAAGGAACATATATTACTATAACTATAGTTTAATTCATTAAATGCGACCACATGGAACTGCACAGCAGGCAAACATAACAGACATGGCATACATATGGTGATATATCAGATTTAAAGATTTAAAGAGAGGAACACAATCTGACACTAGATTTGTTCAAACAATAGCTTATCTATCAGTGTTGGGAGCTATGGAAACATATTTTTCTATTTAGATAAACTACACTATCCCCTTCCGCATGTCACTACACATGTAATGTAGAAATATACTGGATGTGAAGAAGATTCAAATATGATCTTTATTAACCCTTTAATGACCTGTGCCTGTTTCTGCGCTAATAACATTCTATATTTTCCAAGGATCCTATTCCAAAAATTGAATGCCTACCTCCGTTAACAACTGGGCTGCATAGAGCAGATGGTGTGAAATAAGCAGGACAATTCATGCAGGTCTAAGCTTTTGTGAGGACCGTATTGGGATATTGTCTAAGTGTAACATTTTGTCTTTAAGGAATTAACCTTGTGTAGGGATGATCATATCTCTAACATGTCACCGATGTCTGAGCTTTTGCACTCCAGCTGTTTTGGAACATGCAGGCTGAGCAACATGAGAAGTGGAGTCTGCACTAGCAGAAGTGATAAAGATGAATAAACCATTGCTCGCTAAAACTAACTTATTGAATATTTGTTATTTATTATGATATGACATAATAAATGCCTCTTTAAAAAAAAATTATTAACTTTGTACTGTGGCAATTTTTATTTAATTAAAAGGCAAAACAACTAGTATGCTCCTTCGTATTTGAAGAAATGAAAGCAGTCGGTTATCATTGGAATCAAAGCACAGACAGATACCTGGGTCTGAAGATGCTTACCTGGACTGCTTCTGCATTTCCATCTGACCTGCCCAACGCCTCCTCCTGTGCTTCTTGCTAGCTGTTAGAAGAATGAGGCAGAAGATTAACACGGCAAGTTTTAACGAATAAGGCATTGTCTGCGTAGTGGCTAGCAAATGATCTGCTCTGCAGTATATCCCAGCAGTGGCAATATCTACTGGTGCACACATTGAATCAGCTGTCCGTCCCAGCAGCACGCATACTGGCCACACAGTTCTGAGTGCAGGCTGAGCTGCTGATTCTAATAATGTGATTTTTAGATCACTGGCTTCACACACTGAGAGTCATTGGCCATTTGCAAGGGTCGAGAGAAGTTGGCTGTGCTTCACGACATGTCCCCCGGGGTCCTAGGAGAGAGATTTCACTAAACCCCTTATATAATAGGCATGTGGTTCACAATGTAATTACACTCTGCATGATTCATCAGAGAACTAATCTGGGTTAGATTCTCCTTTTTAGAGAGCTTTCATATGACATCTACAAATTTGGGGTATGAGGATGCAGATAATTATTACAATTAATTTATAACTCCTGGTAAGAAAACGCAGACGTAAGTAGCCAGAAAATGAAATAAATTCATATAGATTTCTATTATAATACATTGCAAATTTAAAGACAGGAGGCTTTATATTTGCTTTACCTTCTTTACTGAAAACCTCCAGCAGCAAAGAAATAGTTAACATAACTTTTCAAAACATTCAATCCGAACAAAATAACAGTAGTATAAGAACCCTCAGGCAGATCCTCCCACTTTCTTTGCTGCTGCCTTCAGGTGAGCACTGTCCAACTCAAAGAGTGTGTCTGCTCTGGGTTGTTGTTTGATTCATTGTATTTACATGCTTTTGTCTTGATACCTCTGTGTCTGTGGGTTTTTGTGGACTGACTGTGGGGTGTGTGCCTCTGCTCCTTGTCTGGGGTTTGGGTTTCCCTGGCTCTATCCCTCCCCCTCATGGGTCTCTCTCCTGGCCAGCCCTCACACTGTGAGCTCCTGCGGCTCCCTCTTAGGCTCTAAGGCACCCATCCTCTCTCCCTCGCTCCCCAGCTGCTTCCCTCGGCCCTTGGCCGCTCAACCGCGGTACGCGAGCGGTCTCGGTCTCGCTTACAGAACTGTCGCAAACCTCCATGGTTCCACACGGTAGGCCGTGCTCGACTTTTGTGGCAGATATTGTTTTGGAGTTGCGTAGGCTCCGTGCATCCTGGGCAGCCCGGTTTCGCTCACCCCACTGCTCTACTGTCTGCTGGCTGCGTGGCCAGCCTTCAGTCTCCTCCTGTCACCCCTATATTGTTTATTCTAACTGTTTTTACAGGTAACACTCTATATATATGATAATTGCACAAGTTGTAATACAATTCTACTCCTTTACGTGGGCTAACTGGCACCCCACAAAGGGAAAAGCCTCTGGCCTATTGATACATGGGGTGACTCTCTGCATTACTGGGGCACTGACCCTACTTATACTGCCCTTTACTCGGCCATAATGCTGTGCAAGTGGCACTTCTGTGGGTTGGGTGTCCCCCTCCCTTTGACTTGCCTGGTGGGCCTCCTGGGTCCTGTGACTCTTACGCTGAGGGTGACCCCCTCTCCCTGCTGGCCTAATTTGCATGATATGCTAGTGCTTGCTGGGTGACCCCCTCTTGCACTCTGGGTGACCCCCAGCTGGCCTTATCTAGGTACCACACTGACTCTGCCTTAACTTTGTTTCAGTGACATCAATCATGTCTGATGAACCTGGTTTCCATGCTCCTGAGGGCCTTCAGGCCTGGCTGTGTGCCACCTTGGTGGATTCCTTATCTAAGGCCCTCGCTGCCCTCCGTGGGGACTCTTAACCCACCGGGACGTATACCCGGACTCTCTGGCAAACGGGTCTGGTGGCTCCATACACTCTGCGGACATGGGCTCAGTGCGCAAAATGCCTTGGAAGAGCCACCCTCAGATAAAGGAAAGATGCCTGCCAAATAGGCCAGACTGGGCCCCTGATCAGGTGGTCGCCCGGATGAGGATGCATTCTCTGGAGCACCAGGCTAACACTTTCTAGACGAATACCGGGCTGGCAGCTTGGGTGCCGCGTCACCTGGCGAAGGTATTCCTGACCAACGTTCATGGTATGTGAAGGAGACGGTGTTGGATTCCCCCGCTGCCAATGCTGACGACCCTGGTGAGATCTTAGACCCCTCGGGTCTTCCGCTCTTGGACCCGCGCCACCTCAAGCAGCTTCGCTCTGCGGAATGGGCGCCTCCAGACCACATTGCAGAGTTTTTCCACTACTGGCTTCACCTCCCTTTGGATAAAGAAGTCAGGATGAAACTTCGGGCCGAGTGTCCACGCGTGACGTTACCGGACAAGGTGTCCCTTACCCTTGATTTTGACCTGGTGTTCACCAGCTTTATGACGAAATCTGGGAAGGACCCATGCAAGTGCCTGGGAACCTGGCTGCGCTCCACCCAGGATAAACTCCTCGATATTAGCGACCCGCTGACCCAGAACTTCCTTATGGTGGATGACGCACCTACAGGGGGGACCTCCGATTTCCGCTTATCTCCTCTGGGAGTGGGCTCAAAGAGCTGTTTGTCTACTGGGCAATGCCAATGTGGCCTTTAACTCAGAACACCACAAGGCGACTCTTTACAAGTTTGATGGCAAATTAGCTGATTTGGCCGCTAAGGAGCTAGGTCCGGATGCCAAAGGCCAGCTATTCGAGGACACCTTTATAAATGAGTTGAATCATCACGTCTCCATCTACATGTCCCTCAACAAGGCACAACTGTCCCTCCGAAGGGTCTTCCGTTTCGGGGACTGTTTTTCCTCCAGGGCCGGTCAACACAGGGGCCATGCCACCAGCAGAGCTGTCTTCGTTGGCAACAGGCCCCGTCTCTCAGAGTCCTTCTCCTCCTCCTCATCCCGGTACCAGTACCATCCACTGTTTTCCCAAGGATCTTCCAGAGGCCGAGTTGCTTCGTCCACACAGGCAAGATACGCCTCAGGTAAGAGTCCTGCCTTATTTAACAAACTTACCCATTGCGGGCAGACTGTCTCATTCTTTTCCTCAGTGGGAGGACGACAGGCCCCCCTCACTTCTTGAGCAATATCTCCCTAATGAGGAAGAAGTGTAATCAGCCTGTGTGCCCTCAACGCATATGTCGTCTACCGACATTTCAAGATGGAAAGCATCCATCTCCTCAGGGATCTGCTCCGTGAGGGCCCGATCCATCACGAGGACGGGTGTTTCCTCCAGTTCTTCTGGCAGGAACACGTCTGGCAATTCACATGCCTTCTGTTTGGCCTTAGTTCAGCCCTGTGGTGCTTCACCAAACTGTTAAAGCTGGTCATGGCGACACTGAGAGCCAGGGGGATCAGGTCAATTGTCTATATGGACAATATTCTGTTGATGGCGCCGGCAGATGGCGTTCACGATCCATCTGCTCCAGAGAAGTCAGAACTGACCTCCTCTCAGTTGGTTCAGTTTCTTGAGTTTGGATTCGGTTCAGGCGGTGCTCCACCTTCCAATATCCAAGGTGGCCACCATCAGGAATTACTTGAGATGCCTACTCCACAATCCGCGAGCCACGTACAAAAGGTCTGGCTCGTACAAAATGTCTGCTATCTTCCTCCCTCTAAGTCATCTTCCCGGTACCCCTGCACTAACCCTGAACTGTCCCTGCACTACCAGGCTCTCCAACACCTAAAGGCTCGCTACCTCCGTTCCTCAGCCTCCTACGACTGAATTGTGTTGCTCTCGGACAAAGCTGTCTGGAATTCCAATGGTGGCTTCAACACATGGAAGTCTGGAACGGCAAGGCGATTTGGATCCAGGTCAGACTTCGTCCTGGAATTGAATGCCAGCTGCTTAGTGTGGTGTATTACCAAATTAATATATATTACACAAGGATCTTCTACACTGAAAGGTATTTATTAGAAGGCAACAACACAATACTATAAATTTATCACATACACACAGCCCAGACCCACGGAGCACCAACCCTTTTAATCAATCTATCTATATCTATCTATCTATAAATAGTAATCCCCTTCATCACACGTTTGATCTCACCCAGGGTTAGGCCTTCACATCTGGCTCACTGCTGCAAGTTCAACATCACATCCACCAAAGAAGAAAAGGAAGCAACAGAAAGTAACATAGTTAACCATGAGCTCACGTCTGCTCAGTAGCACAGCCAAGAAGGAACAGGAAGGAATGGAGATAGGGGGAAGTGGTTATCTCTCTCCTGACTTGTAAAGGTATTGAATTACCCAATTAAAATATCATAGGGTAAAGCTTATCCCCCTGTAAGAAAGACATACATGAGTTTGGTCACATGACCCCTGGTCACCATATTAATTTGATGACAAAATGTCACCACACCTAGGCTGGGGCGCTACTTGGGATGGCGTGGCGACAGGGGGGATCTGGACCCCGGAGGAGAAGGCTCTCCCCATTAACGGTCTGGAGTTGATTGCAGCGTCATTTGCCATTCGTAGTTTCACCAAAGGAAAGAGTCACTGCTCACGTCTGTGTGCCACTATGTGCCAGTGTGTGTGTGTATGTGTGTTAGATACATACACACACACAGATACACACTGACACAGACATACACACACTGGCACATACGAACACAGATACACACCTCAACACACACCGGCACATCCAAACACAGATACACACACTTTAACACATAGATACACACACCTTGACAAACAGATACATACACACATATACACACTGTGTGTCAAGGTGTGTGTATCTGTGTGTCAGTGTGTGTATCTGTGTGCCACTATGTGCCAGTGTGTGTGTGTGTGTGTGTGTGTGTAGCTGTGTGTCAAATACATACACACACACAGATACACATTGACACACAGATACAAACAGTGGCACATACAAACACAGATACACACACCTTGACACATAGACACACGCCGGCACATACAAAAAAAGCACAATTTTTTGTATTTTCCAGAGGGGAAATAGAGGGGTTCCCAATGCAGATTTGATTATTTTGTATCCTAGTGGATCAAACACCTTACGGAAAGCTCTTACAAAGATTTTATAGCCATAAACCAGATCCTTGTTTGTCTCCCATAAAGGATTAGCCAATTTCAAGGTCTTGTCAGTTAATTGGTGCATAAAGAAACCGACCTTGGACCTTTCAGTGGGAAAAGACCTTGGCGACGTTTCAAAGGGAAACTCTATTTGGTTTATAATCCCTCGACAGGTCTTATGATCGTCACCCTATCTAGTAGGTGGTATCAGGTTTGTGGTCATACTGTTCTTACCTTAAGCTTCAAGCACCATAGGCACAGGCTGGGGAGGCATAGGTGGAAGATTTTCAGGAGAGAGGT